CTTGACTAAAGTTAACCATTTCATACCATTGCTATAAGAGTATGCCACTTTCAGAGTCCTGAACACACTCCCATATCTCTTAATCGTCAATTATATGAATTTTACCTGTTAAAATATATCATCTTTTACTGATATCATTTTAGTTTAACACTGTTAGTTCTAAAAAAGAAAATAATACTTCACACCAAACTAACACACAATATGAGAATATAAAAAGGAAGGTTTTCTTGGAGACCTGGACCGAGCATCAAAATAGTGTACATTGCTACTGTCATTGTCAAGACTCAAGAATAAGAGGGTCTAGTTGTGGGATTATGCTGGATAACAGATATGATAAGTGGTAACATCCTACAAAAGAATGTTAGCTTACTAAGGAATTTTCCTCTTACTGAATCATACAAGAATTTAACTAAGTTCCTCCTAGTCCTAAGCATTATCTTGTTTCAGAGGGAATGAGTGATTTAAAAAGATGAGGCCGAAGAGTTAGTTGTGAAGAAGGAATTTGTACTCTGTAATTTCTAAGCTAATTTTTTTCGATATTTTTAGCTATTTACTGATCTTGTCTTGACGTATCAGCAAGAGATCACTGGACCTCGTTAGTTGTTAGTCATGTTATGCTGATCCAGTTAGTGACGAGCTATGAAATAATCATTCGACCTCATTTAATACTGATCCTATCAATGACGAGCTATGAAGTAATCAGTGGATCTCGTCAATGCTCATCCTGTCCGGACTGTCACTGACGAGTTATAAATGAAGACCTCATTAATTCCCTTGTTCCAAGAAGATATTCCTCTGGTAACAACCCCTTCTGGCCTGCTTCTGAACATAATATGAAGATTCGAAAACCTAGTCTACCTTAATTGGAACTTGCTGACTGCATTGGAAAATGGAGAACAATCGAGAAATGATAATCAGTGCCAGGATATAATCAAAGTTGAATTTGGAATCCAAGGAAAACCTTCCTTTTTTATACTATCATATTGTGCGTTAGTTTGGTGTGAAGTATTATGTTTAAAAAAAAATTAACAGTGTTAAACTAAATTGACATCAGTTAAAGATGATATATTTTAACAGGTAAAATTCATATAATTGACGATTAAGAGCTGTAGGAGTGTGTTCAGGACTCTGAAAGTGGCATACTCTTACAGCAATGGTATGAAATGGTTAACTTTAGTCAAGGTCTCATGTCTCTACGACCTTCGCTTTTGGTGCTGTGAATCTTGCGCTTCGGCGCAATGCGAAAATTTCTGCAGGAACTTCCCGACATTGTAGAGACCTGAAACCTCGACTAAAGTTAACCATTTCCTACTGTTTAAATTAGAGGAGCACACATTTAGAACTCCTTCCATACTCCTTCGTGACTAAATTGACGATTTAGAGAATTTTACCTGTTAAAAATTGGTGAAAAATGTGGGCGTGGCCCAAGTCAATATTATACGAAACCTAAGAGACACAAAAACATTTTTGGTTGTTCCCGACCCTATAGAGCAACTAATTAGAGGTGATATCTAATTATTTCAACGAAAGGTGGTTTTTTTGAACCGCCCTTTATTCTACAGCGAAACATAAGAACTTAGAATTGTATGAAGTATGAGTTTATATGAGTAATTTATTATAAAATGACCTTTCACTATGCAATTTCGACTAAATTCATGTAGATATCCAATCCAGTTCCATACACAACTGTTGTTTACATTTGGTCTAGTTAGACACAATTTGTTTCAGAGTGACTCGATAATCGCAATATCAAATTAAGATATTATTTAAATGGTCCATGTCATGCAATGCGGAAATATCCCCATAAATTGGCAACTGCCAAAGTGACACTAAAGTTATTGCTAATTCCTTTACAAAACTTAGCAAGTGCTATTAACAATATCCTAATGGATCATGGAAATTGAAATGTTCAATTTTCTTTTCATAAATAATAATTATAATGCGAAGTTTTATTTACCCCAAGTTTGGAGAGTAAGTAGGTTAAACTGGGAATGCCCCTTCCCAGGGACCACATCACCCCTAATAAACCATTAAATATCATGGGAGACCATGCACAGCCCCGAATTATAGGCAGTATCGAGATAGCCCGACCACTGTCCGCGGACAACTGTCCGCGAACACCTGTCTACCAGATCATTACTGCATAATAACAGTATCCCCTGAATCAAGCAGGGTTCACATCATCCCCTGAATCAAGCAGGGTTCACATCATCGCTCGCGAATTTCAATCAGCGGTGGTGTCAAGGCTTATCAAACGATTAAGCAACCTTACGAGATCAGTTCACATCATGCAATATATAAAGAATAATCAATAACTATTATCAGACTGCATCAATCATTTCTATCATCAACTCCTTCTTGAACAACTACAACTATGCTCTCAGAGAAAACGAAACGGATGAACTCAGCCCCATCAATATTATTCGTAACTAATTATATCCGAGAGACCACATTTGAATCGTAATCAATAGTTTGATCCAGTAATTTACTATGCTACAATTAATTATGCTAGTCGTAACTAATTGCATCCAAGATACCATACATACCATTCATATGATCTGGTAACCAATCAACTATTCACAAACACCTGTTGCTTGATTCAGGGGATACTGTTATTATGCAGTAATATGATCTGGTAGACAGGTGTCCGCGGACAGTTGTCCGCGGACAGTGGTCGGGCTATCTCGATACTGCCGAATTATAGTATAATGACTTCGAATAAACCTTTTTTGTCTCTAAAAAAGGCTTAGAAAACTAGATTTATTTACCTCATTTTACCTCATTTTACCTCATCCCAATTTTGCCTTTTTTGGCTGGCCTCATGAGGTAAAATGAGGTTGACCCCCCCCCAGCCAATGTTGGCTCTAATGTAATAGAAGGTGATTATAGTTCAATACTCCCCCAATTAGGTAATTTGAACAATTAATAAATTGTGCATAAAATACTGTGACCCGGCCCCGTTTCATAAAAACCCTCCTCCCTCAATATGACCTTGTAATAGGATTCCAGCTTACGTCATGCATGATATTAGATTATGAACTCCAAGCTGAAGTAGAAAAGGGGCTCACTTTTAAGTCTTCGGAAATGTGGCGCAACCACTGGAGTATAACCGATAGTGAAGTTATTGATAAGAGCTCAGGCAAGCACCATCACCGATGTATGTAGAATATACAGAATAATCATCACAAGCACATACACGTGCCAGAACGTTCACGGAGTCCATAGATTATAATAAAATAAAAAATAAAATAAAAAATGTAACATTCTGAATGAATAAAAGTGGTCAGTGGATCTCAACATTCTGGAGAGACAAGCACATAGCCAGCGATCAAATCAATAACAGAATGGGGGAAAGTACCTGCTCTTCAAGAGTTAGGAGTTTGAGTCTGATCCTCTCCAATTCCTCTTCGTCTGGTTCAGGACTAGAAACAGGTTCAGGTCTTTCTTCCTCTTCTTCTTCTTCTTCTTCGCTGGACGGGGGTTCAGATGAAGAAGCGAGGGAGGAGTTAAGAGAGGAGTTCTTCCTTGGAATGTTCTTCCTTGGAATGGCGGTCTTTCGTGTTGGCAATGCAGAGTTCTTCACACGAAGTAGTTCAGCCTGAATTTCCTGCTCTATTTCGAGATCTATTCTAACAAGTTCGCTGGGCTCGATTCCGTGTTTTACACCGATTTTACCGACGTCCAACAAACAAATGAGTACATTTCTTAAAGCTCGAACTGATTTGTGTTCCACGATATCATTTGATTCAAACAAGCATATCTCTGACACTCCAAAGTGTTTACACCAGTTTATAAATTTGCAGACATTATCTCTGCAGAAAAATGAACCTTTTTTGGGGGTTTCGTACCATTTTCTGATAGCATAGCTCGGTAGTGGGTGTGAATGCTGAGTCGTCTCTTTGTACTCAACCGCTTTGTCATGGAGTATCGAGGCCAATTTACAAAACCTTGACCCGTCTTCAAAAAGTTCTATGAAATTTTCGGGGGCGATTTCGGTGTAAAGAAAACCAGACAGCCATATAGCCAAATCTTCGAGTAAGGGAATCAAAACTGGCTCCTCTGATAAATTAAGTCCGTTTTCAGAGGTAGATTTTTCGAATGAACGTCTCCTTTTAGGAGTAATAGGTGATTCGGACTCACAACAAGTCATGATAACAACATAGCCTGAGTCTATTTAACAGCTCGCTAACAAGTAAACAAACGCAAGCAAATAAATGGAGAGTAATCGAATAAGGTCGGCAACACGTTCTGTTATAATCCTTGATGTGTCACACTGCCAGCACTTCCGCGTCAAGGATGTTATGAAATATTTCAACAAGTTTAACAACACGTTACAAGATAAACCGGCGGCACGTAATTAGCGTTTGTACTTCTGAACGAATAAATAGTACGCTTTTGAGAATCGACTAATAGAAGACAGGGTTTACTCCGCAAACGTTTTCTAGCGTGAGGCGCAAAAGATTTATAACGTCAAGTCAGTGCGCGGCTCCAAATAAAAATGAGCCGCGCAATTTGCAATAAAATCACGTCGTGTTATGTTGCAAAACCGGCTACAATTCCACATATACTAATACGCCCTAAATAATTGCAGTCTTAACTAACCTGGCCTGTCTTGAATGTAAATGAGATAGACTAATGATATCGCTAGATTTAGTCACATGACACGCTCATAGTTCAGCTTCAGTCATCGATAATTTGCTTCTATAGCACATGTAAGAAAATGTTTAAGCGAAAATGGTTTTGTGACATGAGTGGGGAGTGGTAACTGCACAATTTCAGGAAAACTGTCCGATGATAAAACGATGACCAATATTTTTGGGAATTGGTATCGGGAATTACAATACTTTTCATATGTGTGCGGTTCAGTTCTCGCGTGATAATGATTCCGATACTACACTATTATTTATCATTATGCGATAATTCGTACATATAACATACATTGTTTGCGATACTTTGTTATACTTGTTGAAACTTAAATCTAAGTAAACTTATACTGGTCTTTAAGGACTACTCACAATGATGTCGAGGTCTTGATGACCAGAATCTTCCTGTAAAGTATTCATGTTTGCTATCTCCTTGCGTCTTCCCTCTATCATATCCTGTGCTCTCTCGTACCAAGCCTTGTGGCCTGCTGTTGTAGTGGCAAATATAGGTTTCTTAGCCCACCTTGGGAGTGGCTCAACCTCGATAAGATCTTTGTTTCGAAGTTTAAGCCTGGTGTCCAGATTAAGTTTCTCCTTTTTACCCGGAAAAAGAGAAGCTGTGAGGTTATAGTTAGGGGCTGGTATGTAACTCCGCCTGTTGAATGATGTGGTCGAGCTTGATCTAGCTACTTTTAGATTCGCTGAGCTTCCACTCCTCTTCAGACCAAATCTAGCAAAGTCAGCTGAAGCAGAGTGAAGCACGTTGGATGCCTGCTTTACGAGACTTTTCACTTTCTCATTTCTCATGTTCTTCATCGCACCTAGCCGTCTGTTTTTCTGGGCAGGATTAGTTTCAAATGTAACCATCTTCTCTCCGCCAGATACCATAAGTTCCATTCTCTCAAAGTCAAGAGATTCCAGTGATTTGGTGTCCAGAGACTCACACACAGATACGGAGTCTAAATTATCATACTTGTTCAAGTTCTCAAGGTAGGTATGGAGTGCTCCGCCATCTTTATCTGATTCTAATTCTCCAGGTGTTGTGAATTCCTCAAACGAGGACCCTTCTTCAGATTCATAAAAGTCGGATTCTTCCAATTGCGTGACACAAGTCTGCAATGTTTGATTATTTCCGGGGATGTCAACCTTGACTAGGCCTGGGTTTGAGTGAACTAGATCCACGCCCGTAATCTCAAGCTTTTCCGCATTCTCGTTAGTCGATACCTTACGAGCCAAAATAGGAGATTTAAAGACTGCTATTTGAACAGGTCGGCTCTTGTCTTCTTGAATGACCATGTTTAGATGGTGTTTTACAATATCTTCGTTATCCTCTTGTGAACAAAGCCACGTGCAGGCGTCCCAAGAGGAACACGTGATACAAACTGGCTCGCTGCTCACTGTTGTCATTCCCAAGCCCTCTCCACCGTCTTGACTTTCCTTGACTACTGGATTAGAGTAATACGTCTCAGATATATCATTTTCTGTATCTGAGGATGAAAGTATTTCCTCCACATGATCAGAAATTTCATTGTGTTCGTTTGGAGAGACCCTAACCTCATTTACTATAGCATACTCTCCTTCATCGTGATCTATAGAGAACATGCCCGACGATGACAGTATGATACTTTTCTGGGATAAGTGGGAAGTAGGACTTTTTATATCCATTCCTAGCTGCTCTATTTTTCTTTGAGTGGGAAATTTGTAATCAGGGAAATCATGAGATATCAAAGAAGCGTTAATGATTTCCATCTCAAAGTCAGACAGAATACTCTCTGTGTCAGTGTCGAACAAATCTTCAGTGTCCTGACAGAACTGAGGTTTCAAGGTGGAACTGTCCTCAGTTAGGTCAGGTAGAAGTGTGGCTGACGTTGCGGTGAGGTCCAGATCAGAGCATCTTGAAGACCTCCTTGAAACGGAGATACTGGACGTAGACATTCCTCCAAGAGGATCTATCATGCTGCACATGATTCTCTCCCTCACATCTTTAACTACTTGTTCATCAAACTCAAATCCAACTTTCTCGTTCACTTTGACTTTGTTGAACCCCTCCTTCATGATATCAAGTTTTGCTGTGTGTTTTTTTGTCTCTTCATTTATTCTCTTTAAAGCGTTTTCGCTTGCTTTCATGTCGAAAAGAGCAAAGCTTTTTTGAGTTTTAGCTATACTCTCATGCAGTTTCTTAAAGTCACTCAGATCTGGCTTATGAGGGCGATCTCGAGCAAGTTTGTATTTTCTCTCCGTCTCTGGAGATAAGGCCCCAAGTCGGCGAGCTTTTAGAATCGGGGAATTAAGAAACGCCATTATTATATGGGACTGCGAGAAGTTTATTAATTACGATAGAATAAATGTGGATTGTAAATCATGACTAATAGTAATCTTTAACTTCGTCTACATGTCTAACAATCGGTTGGCTTCCTATTGCACTGAAAAATTACAGCTCTGCAAATCTGCTTACACTGACTTTGGTGTTAGTATAAAATCACCTCAATCAAGAAAGTGACACTAATGAAGTAATCATTACGTGTACAATAAAAAGACTTGGGAACGTCAACTAATGGTAGCAAAATATGTCAACACGAACTAGAGAACCACGTCAACAGATAGCTGAGGGAAGCCCTCAGGAAAATCTAATTGGGAACATTTCACGAAACTAATAAGTTGCGGTATCCGCATGGCTGTATGCAACCAAATCCACTAAATGTTTGGTGAATTACAAGCAAATATAGGCAAGTTGGTTGTGTTGTCCTTGCATTGTAACTTGCAACTTAAAGCCCAAACATGACACAACTCCAGCTATGGATTTCAGAAAAAGAAAATTAAAGAAATTATAGAATAAATTAACGTTGCCACCCAAATCCAAACTTCTTGCAGCAGTTTAGGCAGACAGAAAGGAGATGTTTTGTGGAGCTCAGGTGGAGATAATTCGATTAGAAACCTGCCGTGGGTGCCTGTCATTGTAGTTTCTATTTTAGTGAGTCGGGAAAACGTGTCACCACTGGCTGGTCAAAACTTGGTACTTTGGGTGAATGGAGAGTAATGGAATCAAATAGTTGAGTGAAGGACTTATATTAGCAGTGGAGTGGTGTGCATACTTCATGTGGAATACACTCGAGGAGCCTGTGGTTGACCTAAGTTTTAATACCTCTTTTTCTGCGTCAAGAATGGTGAATTTATTTATCCAATAATTAAGCATTTTCCAATATTAAAAATGTTAAATTTGTAGTACTGCTATAATCAATGTATTTACAGATTCATTAGACGTTATTTCTACACAAGTATTTTTGTGCTCCCAGGAGTTGAATGACTTAAACAGTAGTAAAATGACTTAAACCCACTTTAGGCTGAAAATAGTTAATATTAGCGATATTATGTCACGGGAAAACTTAAAAATCAGTAACCCGACCAGGGTTAGTTTCACGCCCGGAGTCCTAAGATTCCTTAACGTTATGTCACTGCTGCATGTAAATAGCTCACAGCTCTATCAGGCTGTTACACATAGAAAGTTTGCAGCTATCTGTCATTATTGGAGACAAACATTGACTGAGAATGTCAGTGACTTTCACAGCCAAACTTGTGGGCTAGTGCTAATTCTTTAAAACTCCGAGAACTCTAATGTTTATCATACCGCGTGTCTAAGAAACAGAGAGTTGAATACTCTCTGCAAATATTAGCAAACGTAGTGTATTATGACGTTAACATAGCATTTAATGGTAAATATCTTTGAACGATATTTGAGAGTGAACCAGCTAACCCTGACAGCAATAAAGCTTAACCAGAAATTTGAAATAAATTAAGCTTCATAAAATCACAGTTCAGTTTCCTCAGTTACGCAGCCGCATTTCCAGAAAATGACACTTCAAAAATGGGATGGTGGTTGAATTAGGCACCAGTCATGATGGTTATACCATTATCAATTATTAAACGCGTTTCTCTTTAAACGATACTCGGCAAGCCCTTTTTTCCAAAAGATGTAGAGTTGATCGGGTTTATTGACCCAGTTTAAGCACAGACGTCAACAATTAATAAACCATAATATTGCTACAATCAACATGATTTATGAGTATCGGTTATCATATTAGTTTTTCGACCGTATGATTTTCTACCTTATAAATGTTTCCTTGATGTTTAACTTTAACCAAATATGCAAGCTTGCAATAATAATACAAATAAATACCCCTTTAACTATAAAAACATATAATATACCATGCGAATATTGGATAAACATAAAACATGCCCCATATCCTGAAGACATCATGCAAGAGTTGTGAAAACCGCAGAGATAAACAGAAACGCAACCAAAGAAGTTGAAAGGGAAGAGCGTTCCACATGCAACAGTAAGGCAGCTCGGTGCGATGGAAAAAATAGGACATGAAGCACTCACACATTTTGACTTTTCTGCGATGGGCTGCACTCTGTGTACTTCGGGAGACGAAGTTGCTGGCTGGTCTTCCAAAATTTTGCTACTTGAAGTAGACACCACAGTATCATGTTTCTTGTCGATAATCTAAAAAACAAAATGCCCACGTCACTCTCAACGACAATACCCAAGTTACGGTGCCACGATAATAATAACAAGGTCACATAAAGTTACAATCACGAAAATGTTTTACAATCGATTACATTTTTGATATAAAATCAATCACTTAATAGAAACATAAACATGCAGTTTCTTTGAGCATGCAAATCGAATTTTTCGATCTGCACCAGGGACAAAAGGATTTCGCGATTATTTTGGCCAAAAATCGCGGTACCGCGAAATTTAGGGAAATTTAACAGGCTATACATTAAACTATACATAAAATTTGTCGCGGAGAATGGAAAATTTCGCGATTTCGTACATGCCGCGAAATCCTTTTGTCCCTGATCTGCACTATAAAAATACTAGTAGTTTACCGTATTGGATGGTATGTCACGTGCCTCCACGACCAATCACAAAACTTACTCACCACGCTGTCAAGGTCAGTCTCAATGTCATGTGCCGAGCTGTCTGTTCTTCTGAAGAGTGTCTTTTTCATGATGTGGTTCCAGTACTTGTGGCCGGTTGTCTTTGCTCCCATGTCCAGGGAAACACTACTGAGGTCCACCTCGCTGTTGTAAGAGGACATTTGGGAGAGTTTTTGTTGGTAGAACTGATCAGGGAGCAAGCCGTTCAGCAAGGGTTTTGAAGTGAGTTTCGGGGCCTCATTAGAGTGAAACAAGTCTAACATGTTTTCACATGATTTAACTCGTCTGATTTTGGAGGCGTAGGAAGTAGGTTTCCGTAACCTTGATATTCTTTTTTCAACTATTGACTGTTGTCGAGATCGCGTAGTCACGGGCGATTCAGCTGAAAGTCGCCGTTCTTTTTCAGCCTCCAGAGCAAGCGATCTTGCTTTTTCGAGTCGAGCGTGCTTCCCAGGATGTGGTAATCTGGTGGTCTTCCGTTTGCGAGATTCTTCTAGTTCATGTTCTTTTTCTAGCAACTCAACGGCTTCTTTAAGAAGTTCTTCATCGTCAGAAATGGTTCCAGTGATGTTTTCCAAACTTTTGGCAAGAAATTCCCTGGAGCTGCGTCGTAGGTCCCCTATGCTACCTGACTTCTCTTTATGGCTGTGAAAGAATGAGTTGGAATTCTTTCTGAAAAGATTCCCGAGCGGATCGGAGTCGTGTCCTCTCGCGTCCGCTTCATCAAGCCATTCTGTATCATCTTCAGTAAGCTGTTTTAGCTCTTCCTCAGCGAGACGGTCAATTTCTTCTCTGACCAACCTCATTGCTTGTTCATCAGCTAATCGACTGATTTCTTCTTGCGCAATCCGCCTTGCTAATTCCTCGGCAACCCGTTTTGCTTCGGCCAGCTGTTTTGCTTCTTCTTCAGCTATCTGTTTTGCATCTGCATCAGCAATCCGTCTTGCTTCTTCATCGGCAATTCGTTTTGTTTCTTCTTCAGCAAGCCGTCTTGCTTCTTCTCCAGCAATTCCTCGTGCTTCTTCATCAGCAATTCGTTTTGTTTCTTTTTCAGCAAGCCGTCTTGCTTCTTCCCCAGCAATTCGTCGTGCTTCTTCTTCAGCTAACCGCTTTGCCTCTTCTTTAGCAAGTCGTTGTGCTTCTTCATCAGCAATTCGTTTTGTTTCTTTTTCAGCAAGCCGTCTTGCTTCTTCCCCAGCAATTCGTCGTGCTTCTTCTTCAGCTAACCGCTTTGCCTCTTCTTTAGCAAGTCGTTGTGCTTCTTCTTCAGCTACCCGCTTTGCTTCTTCGGCAAGTCGTCGTGCTTTTTCTTCAGCAATATGTCTTGCCTCTTCTTCAGCTAACCGCTTTGCTTCTTCTTCAGCAAGTCGACTTGCTTCTTCTTCAGCTAACCGCTTTGCTTCTTCTTCAGCAAGTCGACTTGCTTCCTCTTCAGCTAATCGCGTTGCCTCTTCTTTAGCAAGTCGTTGTGCTTCTTCTTCGGCTAACCGCTTTGCTTCTTTAGCTAACCGCTTTGCTTCTTCATCTAGCTGCTTTGCTTCTTCCTCGGCAACCTGTCTTGCCTCTTCTTCAGCTAACCGCTTTGCTTCCTCTTCGGCAAGTCGTCGTGCTTCTTCTTCAGCTAACAACCGCTTTGCTTCTTCAGCTAACCGCTTTGCTTCTTCATATAGCTGCTTTGCTTCTTCCTCGGCAACCTGTCTTGCCTCTTCTTCAGCTAACCGCTTTGCTTCTTCTTCAGCAAGTCGTCGTGCTTCTTCTTCAGATAACCGCTTTGCTTCTTCAGCAAGCTGTTTTGCTTCTTTCTCAGCAATCTGTCTTGCCTCTTCTTCAGCAAGTCGTCGTGCTTCTTCTTCAGCTAACCGCCTTGCTTCTTCAGCAAGCTGTTTTGCTTCTTCTTCAGCAAGTCGCCGTGCTTCTTCTTCAGCTAGCCGCTTTGCTTCTTCATCTAGACGCTTTGCTTCTTCTTCAGCAAGTCGTCGTGTTTCTTCTTCGGCTAACCGCTTTGCTTCTTCTTCAGCAAGTTGTTGTGCTTCTTCTTCAGCTAACCGCTTTGCTTCTTTAGCAAGCCGGTTTGCTTCTTCCTTTGATTTTTGTCTGGCTAACCGCCTTGCTTCTTCGTCAGCAACACGTTTTGCTTCTTTTGCTTCTATAGCCTGACGCTCTTCCTCTAGTTTTCGCAATCGGTCCTCTTCTTGTTGAATTTGTCTTAGTCTTTCTTCTTCTTCTAGCCTCCTCTTTTCTCTCAAAGCAGCGAGTGTTTCTTCATCATACCCAAACTCCATTTCTTTGGTGTCTACATGCTGCATGGAATTTTTCAGCTCCTCAATTCTCCGCAAACGTTCCTTTTCTTCATCGGCCAATTTCTTCAGGGCATCCTTCTTTGAATCTAGAACAGTCCATTTTGATTTCTTTTGTTGGAGTTTTTGTTGCAACTGCTTGAATTCACTGACAGGTCCATCTTCATCTTGAGCTCGAACCTTCGGTTGATACGGTTTCTTGTTGCTAGTTCCAGACAATTCTTTGAACCTGTTGTAGCTCATTTCCTAATCCTTAAAGATACATGATCTTTGTCTTCAGTCCATCTTTGGGCCACGCTTTATTCCATATTTTTTGATCTGCTGATACTAGTATTAAAATAAAGAATTTTTAGAAAGAAGTTGGCCGACTGTCACAATGTACGAACAAAAAAATCGGTGCACACGAACAAGTTTTTTTCAGAATCAAATCTGCAAAAATATCCAACGATCAAATATGCCGAAAAAAATGGTAGTTACTAAGGTTCATATCGACCAAAAGCTGAAAATATCGTGAAGAACTTAAAAAACTCAAAAGTAATTAAAATTCTCAGCTTGTTAGATTTCCAAACTCTATGCTATAAGTGGGGGGACGGGAAAAGGGTCAACTCTCTGAGCAAAAAATTGATGATAAGAACTGAATTCGTTGACGCAAGGCAATCTTTCGCAACTGGCATGGACTGTGGAGTAATATATAAAAATCTTAAGGATTCCACTATTTATTGGGCTTTACAAGAAAAATCTAATTGATTTAAAGCAAACGGCTTCGCAAAACTGTTTTTATGGCATCAACATTATCCATTTAACTCATAGAATCAAATATTTTCGCGAACGGTTAACAAATACTTAACTTAAATATTCTCTGTTAGCAACGCTGAGTGAATTTGAATATAGTCAACTATAATTATACAACTAAAATTAAAATGAAAACTGACAAGAAACATGCGTCGTTAAATGGTGTATTATAAACTTTTATTCCAATTGCCATCGTCGGGGCTTCAGGTACTAATAATGAATCAGTAACCAGCATACTACTGATAACTCCAGTCAGCAAAGTTTGATCGTGAGTGCTTTAGAACATTCAGAGCTGAGATCACTTCGCTTGCTTCAGTGCTCATAAATGCTTATCATAATACAATCAATCGGATATCATAATTAAAGATAAACATTCGACCATGCTGAAATAATCATTGTTGCATATATTTATTAACAAAAATGTGGAATGCTGCTGAAATCATATCATGCAATGTTAGTGGCTGTAGACTCACCGCAAGATCCAAATCTGTAATGATGTTATCTTCCTTTTCACGATCAAGTTTTCGTTCCTTCATGATTTCCGACAACATATGGCCAGTCGTATGATAATCGCTTCTGTTATGAATTTTCTGGGGACCTTTTGGTGTCGAATTAGCGGCATCGCCATCTTTGTTGAGATCATACGAAAGCTTCTGTTCGTAAAATTTCTTAGGCAGGAGTCCTTCGAGTAGGGGTTCTGATGCCACATGTTTTTCCTCAAGGGTAGCAACTTTGACGTATTTGCTTCGATCGTAGAGCGGATTCTGTTTTTCTAGTTTATATGTCGACTTGATGTGATCGAAATTGGGTGTCACAACCCCTTCGTTACTTTTAGTTCGTTTGACTGGCTTTCTCATTGGCAGCGAGGAAGGTCTTGACGATGAAGACTCTTCCCTGGTTGGGGTCGTTTCTTGATCTGGCGCACGTCCGGTAGGGGTGTCGTCTGAATTAAGAGACTTTTTACTAAGGGCAGATAACTTTTTGCTTTCTAAAATAGAATTTCGTCTGTTGTACTCTTCTTGTCGCTTCATTATAGGATGCTGTTCTGGAGCTACGGAACCAGACAACTTCTTACGTTTGGGACTTCTGTTGGTCTTTTTGTCATCGGTTTCATCATCTGAAGATCCAGATGTCGAAGAGTTCCTCATCTGGGATATAGTTTTTCCAGGTAAAGTAAGTTGGTTAGGTGGATCAGATGAGGTTTTATTCAGAAGACTTTCATCGGCAGGACTGTACTCAGTGTCTCCGTCATTACCAGAAAACTCTGTTTGTTCCATCTCGTCAGGGCCCGAACCAGCTTCGGTAGCCTCTGAATCCTCAGCTCCTGAATATTGAGTAGCCTCAGACAATTCGTCAGCAGTTTCTAGAAGCTGTGGACTAGGGGATGAGTTCAAGAACACGCTATCACTCCCAAACGACTCTGATTTCGAAGCAGCGAGATTCACAAGATTCAAGCCAGTTCCTGTCAGTACATTGTTTTCTTCAGTTTCTATTTCTTCAGTTTCATCGCTTTCGGGTGCTTGGAACTTGATTCCAAGGCCAACATTAGGCGAATTGTTTCCTGAAGGACGATGGACTTCGTCCTCACTTTTCAAAGTGGATCTAGATTCATATGCAGAATCTCTGTGGGCAACTCCATTACATAAAGTTGACGCAGAATTAACATCTGGTTCCCGACTTTCGAATGTCTTGAGAGGATTAACGTAACCGTGGCTGGGGAACGGTGAAGTCATCGGATCATGGGGAGTCAGCATTAAACCGGAAGGTAATGTGCAAGACTCCAAATCGTCATCAACTTCGATGTTATCGAAATCAAATCCTTGTGGACACAAAACATCAGGACGTTCAACCCTGCTGTCGACAGATCCATCTACCTCAACATCCGGCTGTTCGACGGCATTATCATGACTATTTGCATCTCGCATGCGATCATTTGCATTCTTCTTGCCGAGTGCATCAGTAGATTTAGAAACAGGCTTCTGAATAGTGCCCTCTGTTGATCGATCGGTTTGAGGGATCATTTTCTGACCACTCGGTGTATAAATTGTGTCAGGAGATTCTTCTTGGTTAACAGTTTTTGCCTTTTTCTGGACAGTCCTTTCATAAAGTGCCTTTGTCTCAAGACTATAGTTTGTGCTTTTAGGCAATGGTTTGGTGATTTCGTCTTGTTGCACGTTATCTGGATGCTTCTTCAGAGCACTATCAATCTTAGATTTCGTATCCTGGCGAATGTTGTCTTTTTTAGTATCGTACGATTCCACAACTCTGGATTCAGCACCGTGGTCGACATTATTAGATTTTCTGTCGATGATATTATCAACAGGTTCGGCTGAATCCAATGCTTGAGGACTAGGGATGCCAACTTTGTCTTGCTCAGATGTTAACCCAGTTTCAACATTCTGTTGCTTAGTTTCAAAGATATCAGCGTGGTTTTGATTATTGGAAGTTTCTTCTGAAAAACCTCGCTTGCTCTGTTGAGTCTGGTCAACGGCCTTTTCAATAGACGGAACGGTTGTAGCAGATTCGATGGAAGTAACATGCGGATTAACATTATTACCAATGATGGGCGTTTGGTTGTCTACGTTCAGCACAGAATCGGTTTCATTCCACAAACATTTAACTTCAGGATTCAGAATAAGATCTTCGTTCCCTTCAATAAATGATCTAGATGGCTCTGACATTCTGAAATCTATTTTGTCAGCATCAGAGTTAGCATGGTCACTTCTTTCAAAGCTACTATCCAATTCGGATTCCTCGATTTGAATTTCAACAGCAGGACGACCAGAAGAGCCTCCTGATAAGTCACTCAACACAGAATCATTTGTAGTACTCGTTGGTTCGAAATTGTTTCCTGAACTGGTGTCTTCCTTGACTTTACTATTGAGTCCCATTTCACTCGGACCCTTGGTGACTTGACTATCTCTGATGGTATTAGAGACGTCCTCTGCAGTTTGATTGTTAAAGGAATTCGTTAGGTCACCATTATCCTCAATTTCTTCATGACCATTGATCAGATTATCTGCATTATGTTGCGCAACAAAGTCGGTATCAACAGAATCCTTCGAACGATGACGATCAATAGACTGTCCCTTACTAACTTCTCTTTCCAGTGGAACACTATTTTCACCTGACGGGCTTACATCTTCTGGAATGTTTAGTGTCACAACGTCAGCAAAATCTTCAAGATGCACCACTTTATTCTCCACAGGCAGTGCTTTGTCGTTCTGAACAGAAGTTTCATCTTGCGAGTTTTCTGGTTGCATCTTCACAACACTGTCAATCTCAGAATTCTCATTTTGGACAATGATTTCTTTTCTATTAGCATCAGATTCTCCGGTCCTGATTTCTCCGACGAGTTTATCGTTTTTAGGATTTCCGTCAAAATTGAGTGTAACAACATCGGCAAAATCTTCAAGATGATCCTCATTTTCAGCAGGCAATTGTGTAGGGATTTCAATTTTAACTGAAGGACATTGTTGCGTGTTTTCTGGTTGCTTTTTCGCAAAACTATTAATATCAGGATTCGTATCTTGGAGAATGATGTCTTTTCTATCAGAATTCGATTCCACTGCTCTGGATTCAGCGTGGAGTTCTTCGCTTGCAGGTTGCTCGTCGACCTTGTTATCAGCAATTTTGGCTGTGTTCCTTGTTTGAGCACTGAGGGAGCCAACTTTATCTTGCTCAGAAGATAACTCAGCTTCAACATTCTGTTGCTTATCAACACAGTTGTGGTCTCTTTCTTCAGAAGAACCTCGGTTGCCCTGTGGCCCGACAGAGTCTGTGTTCACAGAATTCTCTTGATTATCTTCATTTGAATCAATATGATTGTCTAGTAGGCTTCCCTGAATATAGTCACTAAGCTCAATACCACCTGCCCTCTTAGCAACTCCAATATTACTGATATAATTAGAGTCCTCTGTTGCTCGGATATCAAGACAATCTGTCAGGTCCCCACTATCTTCATGGCCATTTTCTGTTATCTTTTTGTCATGTTGCGCAGCAAAGTGGGTCTTCTTAATACTATCTTTCGATAGGCCATTGTGCTTTTCATCAGCTTGATTAACATCAACAAGCTGTCCGTGTTTTTGATCGATCAGGTTAGCATTTTGAAGATTATCTGCGCTCTGTTCAGTTTTTTGTCTAGCAATCTCATTACTATCCTTATTAACTGTATTATAACTGTTGATATCAGGGTCACCACTGGGTTGCAAAAATAGTTGTTTATTGTTTTGATCTGCACTTTCTTCATGTATATTGGTTGTCTCGGACAACTGATTATCTTGCTGTTTAACAGCATGATTATCCGCATTAATGTCAATGCTGTTCTTAGGTAAGACATTGATGGTGCTTTGATCATGGTCGATGACGGGAATTCTTTCGTTTTGTGTATCAACGTGGTCTTCTGTTCTTTTCTGAGTTTCTCCAGTGCTTTTCTCTTCTTCAATACCCTCGAAGAACTTACCTTTTTGGAGATCATAAGGGGATGGTGTTAAACTGGGAACGCTTGTATCAGTATCGCTGAGATCAGGAATAGCGGGAAGGGTTGGTCCCTGGGGGCAGGGGTCTCCTTCCGCTGAGAGATACTTGATAGGGCTGCTACCTTCGCTGTTGCTATCAAAGAAAGCAGTGTCAGTTTTAATCTCACAAGTAAGACAACCCACAGCTGTGATGAATCCCTCATCTTCTGTTTCGTACTCATGAGGAATTTCATTATATTCTGTAAAATCATATTCCTGGTGCATTTTTCTGTACTTTGCAACCAAGTTACGAGCCTTGAATTCGAAAAGATTTTTCCTGTTTACAGGCAAATTGTCTATTAATTTGATTTGGCCCAGCTCCTCTTTCCATTCAGATTCTTCAAGATGGTTTTCAAGCCTATCTCCCTCGAGCTCTGATCGTTTATGAGCTCTATCAAGACTGATTTTAGAATCCGTTAGGTCTTGTTCAAGTTTCTCACAGATAACGCTGTAGCGTGCTTGCTTTTCTTCAGCTTTCATGACTGCCATTTCCCCATAAGTGAAATCTTCGAAGGGGAAGATCTCTTCATAGTCAAAATCAGGGAAGTCTCGTTTGAACTCATCGTACAACTTCTGCTTTTGCACGGTTATTATGTTCTTTCCACACACTTTGGTCTTTAGGGACTCCAGAAACGCTCGTTGTCTCACCCAGGCACTCTCTGCTAAAAGAACCGATTCTGGAACATTCTCTAGCAGTGAGTCCAGTTCAGAGAAATCTGCCATTAGTTTTATAAAAGCTCTTCCTTCGTCGGTTAGGTCATATTCTGGGGTGGGCTTCTCTATTCCACAGTCTGGAAATAGTTTTATTGCTTCGGTTTTGATTCGATTTAGACAAAATTGCCAAACGTTCTCAGAACTTGTATGTGCCAATATAGAGCTAAAGTATGCAAGCTCATCCGAGAAATTTGACAAAAAGTTCTCTTTATCTTCCAACTTTTCATCAATTTCTTCCATTTTGGAGTTGATAAACTGAAGAGCGAGCCCCCTATCGTTAAGTTCAAAGCAGTCATCGGAGAGTTCATGGTACTTCAACATGTAATTATCCCCTTCTCCATAGATTTTAATTAAAGCGTCCCGTTTGAGTAAGCGAACTGCATTGTCCCGAGATACAACCCGATTATTCTCATCCAATCGGGGAACTAAGTCAGGATACATTTCAACTAGTTCCTCGGTGGACAGACCACCTACCTCAGCATCTATATGATTCACAGCACCCTCAAAATCTCTCCGCCTCTGTTCCTCGTCTGTGTATTCATCCTCTTCTAAATCTACGTGATATTCAAGATCAGGGAATTTATCCTTAGCTTCTTTAATAAGCTGTCGAACAAGGAGGTTGAATATATTCTTTTTGTTTCTTTTCTTTTTCTGTTTATCTAAGTCATCGAGATTAAAAATCCATTTCTTACTCAGAGACTCTACGATGACTTCAATATCGTTGCTGTCATCCACTATGATCCGTATCACCTGGATTTCTCGGTCAAGCTTTTGCCTTTCTAACTCCTCATCTGTAAACTCGTCAGGTTCAAGGATGAGGTCGTATTTGCATCCAGGATACTTTTGCTCGGAGCTTCGGACTATATTACGTCTTCTTGCGTTTTCAAGATTATGATGATTAATTATTTTCTTACTACCCACCAACTCCTGAATCTCTGCCATCCACTGCGCATCATTGGACAGCTTCTCGATGCTGTAATCCAAGTCAACCTCAGATAAAAATCTCCGCTCAACTTCTCGTCTGAGTTTCTCCTCCTCAGTCCACTCATCTTCCTCTGAAGCAAGCTGGTACTGGTCCTTTAAATCAGGAACAATAATACTGTACCTTCTCACAATACTCCTCTTTCTCGCTCTCAGCAGATTGGCTTTAGTTACTTTCTTCCTCCCAGACACAAGCTCCTTAACCTCGTCACTCCACCCTTGTGACATTATCTCCTCTAACCACTCTTTAAACTCCTGCTCTTTCTCCTGAGGACCATCAAACACAACCTCCTCTGCCTCTGTTATCTCTATCTCAATCTGACCCTTTACTTTGGATGGATCGTAATTGAATCCCGTTTTCTCGACTGTCTCGACGTTGTTCATTTTGTTCTTCACGTCCTCAATCTCTTTCTGTAACCTGAGCTTCTCGTCGGCCTCTAGTTTCTTTTGAGCAGCTAGTCGTGCAGCAGGGTCCATCACGTGACTGCTCTTTGCAGCAGATTTTGACATTCTTCTGGCCATCGATCTGAAATCATCTCCATCACTCGAATTCGCAGATTCCTGCCTAGAGAATCGAGAGGACATCCTCCGCGGCTCGAATTTCTTGTAGGATTTTCTCTCTCCAAATGGTGACCCACCGGGTGAACCGATGGGTGAGGTCATAGCATAGCCTGGACGATAGTGAAACATAAAAATTATCAAACACAATGCACAAAACAGAATAAGAAACGATATGAGTGAACTACCAATTATACTGCCACTGCACTGGGACCGTCGAGCAATATCGACATGTCTTCATCTTGTCAGTGACGTTTCGATGGCTTCCTTATAGTTATAAGAATGCGATTATAGGGGTAGTGAGGATTCTAAGGTGGCCCTTCTAAAACTATTCCAGCCAAATATAAAGCGGATATATCATTCATGACTAAGGTATTACCTACACTGCAACATTTCTTCGGACATTATTATATAGTTTACTAGATTCTTGGATTCCATGTATGATTAAAAGAACGAGGATTTTGTTTAAGGTCACGAGAAAACTATGCCAAATATCCGAAGTACTCTGGCTTCAAAAAGCTGCACCCCGGAATCCATGTTAAAATTAGCAAAATGTTGTTTCAAAGTGATTAAGGAACTGCGTTTACAAGAAGATTACATTACTAAAGTACTAAGTCGGGTACAATTTCAATTTAAAACCCAGGGTGAATCCATAAGGAGTCTAATGAAGCTACGTTACATATTTAATATTTGAGCAAACTTTAAGCAACATTCTTAAGATGAAATCATCAGGATAAAGTTGGCGCATTCCGGAAAACACGCCAAACAACAACAGCAATCATCGAGACAACAGAATTCACATCCTGGCCCTGCAGGGAGATAAATGCAAAACCCGGAGCAAAACCTCACCAGACCATTGACCAAACATTCCTAGAAAGCCAACAATTGGCGGACCAGCTGGCCGGGGATGACATAATATATGCACTGTAGAACGCTAGGAGTGATGTAGTGTTCAACCCGCCTGTTAGGCCTATCAACACTATAGCTCCTGTGTGTACAGTAGCGTGTACAAAGCTTTCCTTAACAACGCACAGCGCCCAACTCGTCATAACGCAAACTCTAGCGCCGTGAGCTCACCTCATGCGCAAAACTACTGCGCTCAGTTGAAGTGCTGGAGAGAAGAGAATATGACGAGTGTGTAACGGAAAAGTTTAGACTGTTAACTCTTTCGGAGAGATTTGTGTCAGAGTTAAATAAGGGGATAAAGCTGTAATTTATTCAGTTGGGCTGTATATTTTCTTAACAAACTAAAGTCATCGCGGCGCGCTCGGTAACAAATACAATGTAACATGACAGCTACCATAATGAATAGCCCGACGTGTAGTTGTCAATTATACCACAATTAGACTGCTCAGTGCTCGGTGTTGTGTCATCGTATCACACAGTTATATATTAGAAAGTTCGTACAAACGACACAGCACGAAGAAAAACAGACACGGTAAATAAGGTAGTTTAGGGAGAGGTGCGAAAATACAAGGGATAACAGGAAAACGAGAGCAGTCCGGCAAAACTAAGAGAGCTGGTCTACCCTGGCTCAACTCCCGACCAGACATCCGCGTAAAAATATAATACCACCGCTGTCACAAACACACATATTATATTCTGCCAGTTGCCAGTTAAATTAGATGGAAGGCAGCGCACCGTGAGGACCAATAAGACCTCACGATATACCGTGACATCACACTCAGCCACACGATACAGCCTTACTGAAACGTGTACAATTTAATTATCAATATTTTTATATTGTACGCGGCTGTTTTCCTAATCCGGACACACCACGTGAAGTTTACGTGACAGGATGACTTAATGAATACATTTAATAATATAACGTGGCCCCAAAGCTTTAAACATTACATCTGTCACAAAATGCGAAAAGGTAATAAACACTTTATAATGCAAAGAAAAGTCGTAAAATTAACGAGAATACCCAATTACAGCTGTCAACTTGGTCAATATTCTACAGTTTTATAATATTTAACAATCCGTGTGCTGCGACAACTCCGGCTTACAGCATGAACATCCAACAACCAACAACAGAACCTGTCGAAGAACATTCAGTGTACGGCTTCTCATCAGACAATGTATTAATATTGACATGAGCTCTTATACTAAATGGAGCTTAGTACTATTCCGAAATAGCCTCTGCCATAAAAGTGCTCATATTGTAACGGGGGCTGCGCAGCGAACAGAAAGCAAAACAGGGTGAATAAAAATATGTAACATCTAGTTTTAAACTGCTCAAATATAAGGCGACACAAGGTGTACATTACAGTTACACGGAGCTGAGAGATGAGCTCCTACAACTCAACAATCCAGCTTTATCAACACACACAGTATTATATCAGTATAGTAAGCAAGAGTATTTTCACAGCAGTTGCTATGTGTTGACTAGCAGGAACCCTTACAAGTATACCGTGTGTAGATAAGAGGCTAACACTGAGTGACTATAAGGGGCTCACTTGGGAGTATGTGACTAGCAAAGACCTGGCAAAGGTCGGCATTCCATTACATTTATATAGATAATATGTTCCGTCAATTGAATTGAACACGTTTAGTGGTGGTAATCTCTAAACAATCATGAGGTAATCAATAGGAGTAATCTATGCAATGTTTATGACACGCAGCTAGACGCGATGACATGTACTTCAATTATTGATCAGGGCTGGGTAATCTGAAACGTCGAAACCAAGGCCAGTTATAGGACAATCGGTCAGAAACACGTTTAACAATGTTACGGTATCATGCAAGAAACGAAAAAGTTGAAAATTTAAAAATTGACTACACAACCCAAGCAGAGAGCTACCTCTATTAACCGACCAATGCGCTGGTGTGGGCAGTGGTACAAATACTAAAAACCTAACTAGACTTTTATTATTTCACGGTATACACTGACACATTCCTCGCAAATATTTCGCGACTGGGTATTGTCATTTGGCTGTGCCGCTGTTATGTTAACACTTATAAAGTAATCCCGTACAGCACTAATAAGTAATTACTGATTGGATAATCTTGTTTTCTACAGAACGAAAGTCAAGTTGGGTACTCACGACTTTGTCTATAATGTCTCCGAGGCGGGTGAGCTTTTCTTTCTTGGCCTGCTTAACTTTTTCCAGTTTGGCAGCCACCATTTGTAACCAAACCTGGCAGGCAAAAAGGAAGTATGTGAGAAATGACAATGATAATCATTGGAATTTGTGGCTATTATATGGTTACTTACTATAACCGTATAAGGGTTCAGCAAAAGTTTTACCAAACCTATGGGCTATGTCGAACCTTTTCAGAGATAGAATACAAGAATATTTCTAATTTTGACCAACTTTTCTTAGCAGACAAGGTTTACGATTATCGACTATCTAAAACGATGGTTCCCATAAAATATAAATAACTACAGTAGATTCCCCTGCTTAACAGCACTGTTAATTTAGGTGTGACTATAGACAACAAAATCAGCTGTAGTGTATGGCACCACTCAGCTGTAGTGTATGGCACCACTCAGCTGTAGTGTATGGCACCACTCAGAGGGACTGGAGACTATCCAAAGGCACGCCTCACAAATGATAACCAGAGGTTTAAAAAGCTTACCGTCATAGAAAGACTCTCAGGTAACCACATCAACTGGATGACAATATAGTTGTACACTGGACGCAGCCCACTGGCATATTTTCAATTTCGGCAAACAATTTCAGTTTCAAAAATGCGCGCCCTGCCCTGGAGAACAATAAACCTCTCAACACTTTTTCTGCGATTTATGACCACGAGACTCCGTACGCTCAGCAAACCAAAATCCCCATATCTAATATCCAAAACTTAAATCACATTTATCCATAACGAAGTTAATGATAATTGTCTCATTTTCTGAATCGCATTAATTGTACCAACTGTTGGTAAAGCAATAAGTGATTAAATAACAAGGCTAAACTCGATATTGTGACACATTGTGAGATGCTGTTTATAAACCCACCTCATCTCCGGAAGTAGAGTTATCTTCATTGTCGTACTGGCCTGCAGCTGAGGCAGGAACACTCATACCCTGACTGTCTTGTCCAGCTACCAGCAGTGAGATCTGGCTACCTGATCCTCTAGCTAGCCTGCAAGAGAGAGATAGAGAGAGTGTTATCTAGTAACCTAGTAACCTAGTAACCTATTAACTTAGTAACATAGTAACCAGGTAACCTAGTAACCTATTAACTTAGTAACATAGTAACATAGTAACTAAGTAACCTAGTAACCTAGTAAGTGTAACCTAGTTACCTAGTAACCTAGTAACCAAGTAACCAAGTAACCAAGTAACCTAGTAACCTATTAACTTAGTAACATAGTAACCAAGTAACCTAGTAACCTAGTAACCTAGTAACTTAGTAACCTAGTAACATAGTAACCAAGTAACCTATTAACCTATTAACCTATTAACCTAGTAAGTGTAACCTAGTAACCTAGTAATCTAGTAATCTAGTAATCTAGTAACCTAGTAACACAGTAACCTAATAACCTAGTAACATAGTAACATAGTAACCTAGTAACCTAGTAACCTAGTAACCTAATAACCTATTAACCTCCTGCTCAAGTAGCGAGGAAGACCGTTACGGTACTGTATCTATTCGTCTACAATACGCCTTCAATCTCAGGATCAGACTGTGACGACCGTCTGATGATTTTACTGCTGCTCAGCCAGTAGCCATATTACACGGTAAAGTACCACTTCACCATGTCCTAAATATTTGTGTTGCAGTGGGTCAAAGTGACCGCATATCGTAAAGTAAAATAATGGTCACGTAATCTAAGGCTGAGATTCTTGAGATGAGGTTTTGTCTCGACCTAGTGCCCGAATTCAGCATTATGTCAGTAATGAGGTAATCAGACAAATAGTTAAATGATTTAGAGATTATTTATTATTCTTGAAGGGAATGAAGTGCTTCCTGTCATGAAGTAACACCATCGTATTTAACTAAGTGCAACTATTTAGCTTGAAATGATTGCCTCTTCTAAGAATTCTTCATTGATTAATGAGATTCTCGAAAGCAACATAGTATAATATGTCATTTAACAGCTATTTAAAACATGCTTAGAATTTTAGAACCAGCATAACGAATCTTAAAAGTTTAAACATCAATAGAGTTTGTTCAACATTTAATCATATTGCTGTCATAAATATGTTATGCCGATACTCAGCAAATAATGATTTCTTTTAAGATATTACCCCTTCTAAAGATGATTCTTTACTAAATAATGACAGCGACAGACAATATCGATAGTGATTTTTCAGAATTCTTGTAGTGAACTTGCTGCCAGAAACCAATTGTATTAGGCCAATATTTAAATCTTCGGAAAGGTGACTTTTTACTGAACAATGACAGGGGCCGGGGGGGGGGGGGGGGGGCATCCCTGATGGAAAACTCTCAATTTGACAGAATGTTTCCGCGAAGGCGTAATCTTGAAAGTATAATTTAAAAAAGTTCTCATTAGTGACTGTTTAACTACTGTATATGCCGTTCAGCTGAATACAGGCACACATTAAGTTTTTAGTCGTAGACACATATTCCAATTTGCAGTATATTTGAGGTTCTTCAGCCGTGCTATTTATTCGAACTCTGAGGTTCTCTCAATTAAATATAAAATATGAAGAAGCACAAGAACAGGGCGGAAGAGTAAGGAAGTTTGTTTTTTTGTCTCATTAAACGTAACTGACACTATCATATATTATATCACTCGCACTATAACATACCTTCAGAATTGTTTTGCATTTTGAACTCCATACCCAACAAACCACCAGACCGTTCTAGACCTGAATATCTACATATATATGAAATGTATATGAAATACTACATGTATATGAAATGCTAACCTGTGAAAGCTGCTAGATCGACTGAGACAACTCGCACTGCTCGTCATACTGGCACCACTCTCAGATCTCTTCAAACCGTTCAGACCGTCTGAAACGTTTTTATATGATTAATAGGATGAATCCAATCTTGATTTGTCGTGCTAGAGGTATTTTACGATGTACACCATTTGCATTAGCAATTGGTCTCGACTCTCGCGGTTTGAATATAGTTCCATTAATATCGATCTTTAGTGGCTTAGTAGGTAATAAAAATCTATTGAGCGGAATCACATATAACCATGAAATAAGAACGGAGAGGTAGACAAATTGCTGTCACTTTAAAGTAGGAAATCTTGCGGCCTGTACTTTCTGCCACAAATAGTAATATTTAATCCACTTGTTATACTTATAGTAATAGAAAGGATGATTTGGAGCATTTAAGTACCTGCGATGTTTTGAGCACTGCCAGATTTCTTGAGTGAGTCTACGACACTGTCAGTCTTTCGAGATCGTCTCAAGCTTTGACTTCGTCCAACCTAAATAAGTTGTTCATAGCAAAACTAATAACTCGGCATCAAGTTCATGGTTTTATAATATCAGCGACTTAACGCTATAGTTACCCATGTAAGTGTGGTTCTGCTCCACAATTGCCCATTATTTCGCTGTCTCAATTCTCGTTGATATTACCAACGCGAATTGAGACAATGATAAATTGACAAACTTCAAACTTCAAACTCAAATGCAATTTACAGAATATGCATCAGCATATTATGATTGCAGCCAATAACCAACTTGCAATTTGACGATAATAATAGTTAACAGTTTAAAGGTGATTTATTTCACACAGTTGACATTGCACAGTGGCTGATCAATTTTCATATTACATTTACACTTACGCAGGAGATGTTACAACGCGTTTCGAACAACGAAATTTAAAATCTTTTGATGTTTTTAAGCAACGACGTATTGACGCAACAACAAACACCTTACCTGAAGTTGTGATTTTATTCTAACGTGTATTTTCCTTCATTTCCGACGTTATTCATAAAAATTTAAGCCTTTAATCAAAATTCTAAAAATACTATATCCTATTTCTCTAACTCTTGGAGCTGAAATTGTTTTCAACGGAAGGCCAATTTTTTGTTTTTTATGCCGTTGCCGGGGAGATTTCGTCAAGTCTAAAATATAGTATTATAGACATACTTTTAGTTTTATAGTAAAAATCTAAATTTAGATTGTCAACCGGGGGGAACCGAAGTCTTAATACGGACATTAGGTCCAGACTCCAGCTAGAAAAACAGCAGTCCAATAATCAAGGACGCGAATAGCAACACGTCCGGACGTGATGCTCCTCCATTTTTTTCATTGATTTTAAAAATAATCAGCAAATTTAGTCGACAACATGCCACCCGACTGTATGTAATTTACACCAATTCACAATAATTGCGCCAAAAGGCAGCCCATTAACGTTAAAACCCAACTTGATTGTAAAAACACAGGACATGCACGCGTGAGTATTTAGGCTAGTTTAGTTGTTTGGTTGCTGGTCCACTATTAAACTATAAATAAATACTGTCCCTGACATTCCTTATATTTTTAACTGCGTGCACAAATCACCTTTTTTTATTTCTGAAAGAAATACTCAAAAATCGTCAGCGTTTTCGGTTTCCACCAGCCATCCCGTTAAATACACGGCACACGCTGATCTAACTCTAAGTTGCTACACTTTCGTTTTGTTCGAAGCCGCGCTTTTATACTCATTACATGACAGGACTCATCCAATACGATATTGCATGCGAGTATTGACAATACTATTTCGGTCATATTGCTTATCGAACATACAATAATTTTTCGACCAGGTTGCTTTTCAACCATACGAACTCTTAGTCTTAGATTATTGTGTTGTTGCGAGTATGGTTACTATTTATTAATTATTTACTTATTATCTTTCACTGTTACAAGTTTTCACAACATTGAGTTTGACAATTGAGTCCATTGACAAAACAAGGCTGCGCTGCAAAATCGGTTATGCGTTTAAGAGTAACCAAATTCAGCCAAAAATTTGGAATTTTTATAATTTAATGGTGTTTTTGAAATGAAAATTAGGAATGAAAGTAATGACTCATATGAACGAATTTATGTTAATCATCGTCTAAATCTGCGAGACGTCTCAACTAATTAGTCTAAGGGAAATCAAGTTAATCGTAGTTTGGTAATGCAAAATTAAACCTTTGCCGGTCAAACCAATCGCTCATTCTTGGAAGATGGCCAAATTCTGAGCGACCATCGTAACTTTTGACATCTAATCTTATGATTTCATGGAAATTAGTGGACGTAAACTTAAAGGGAGGTTAAGATTATCACATTTCGTCATCAATGTTCTTATCAAATTGGCGAGAACTGATAGGTATTAAACCATGAAATTAATTTTTTTTAAAATGGCGAGACTCTTCCACATTTAACGAGAATATTAATTTCATATAAATATAAGCTTCTATATATTGGATATATAGCTTACCCCACTACCAGGCATACGTCGATGTCTGGCTTTCTGACGTCTCAATTCCTTCTTGTTTGCTTTGAACTCGTTGTAGTGAGCCAACACCTCGGCACTCTCAAAATACAGCAATAAACCTGAATTGTCTGTACAGCATTTAGTATTTGGTTCGAAATTTTGAAATGCATTTACTGCATTTATAAAACCCTCAGTATAATACAAATTAATAAATATTATGTCATCGGTTAACTGGTTAAGATCAATATAGGACTGTAGTTCGTGTTCGTGGAATAGTGTTCTGAGAACTGAAACACCTTTTTCTCTTCCACGAAAACACATTACAAAATCACTATTATCACTATTAATATTACTTTATACTACATACCTGGGATATTAGACATATCGCAAGGGAACTTGGCGTTACCATAGAGCCACTCTCTGAACTCAATGAAGGTGTTAAACATGATCCCTTGAACTGCGATCAACACTGCACTCTCGTCTCCACTCGCCAGGATCTCCTCATTTACTGCCTTCACCTGCAGATCATGTGCGCTACAATTCCAATAAATTTTATAATCTTGTCCATGTAGCCCTACATGATGTAGTTTAATTTGCTATCATTATACCTTCATAGAGTTTTATTAATCCAGCTATTTTGGGCGTGGACTTAATCAAGCAGATTGTCAATTTTTGTATATTGATTGCAAATTCTGTAGATTTCGTAATAAAAAAGCGTTCACCTTGTCCCTGAAGACAGAGTACTGCTCCATCACGTCCGGTTCCACTGTATTGGATGCGGAGTCGTCCTGGGAGGATTGGCTGGAACGTAAAGCGCTCGTATCGATCTCACCGGCAGCACCTGGTAGTGGTAACTGGTATTTAAGCAATTTAAACGCATTAAATAGAGCTATAGATTTGGCTGTGGCTGAGAGGTGTGATGAAAGTTGGCTTGCACTGTCAGCTACCAGTTTCAGGTTTGAGTTGCAATCACTTGACTGTTCCAGGCGCTAAAGGAACTTGTCTTGCGACCATGTCTGTTTTACTGTAGACATGTTTAACCGTCGAATATATCTGAATATTCTCAGCTGTGACCTTGTCAATTTGAGCAATTTACAAGAACATACGTTATAACATAAATTCAGCTGAAATTCTTGGAAAACTCAATTTTCAAAACCTACCGTTTTCGTTGGTGATGAGCCATCTGCTTACCGCCTCTCTTGTTCGCTTCAAAGTCTGCTGTGGAGCCACGTCTCCTGTAGCCATCACCTGCTTCAACATGGCTGACTCTTTTTTACGCTTGTTCCGAATTGCCTGCATTTGTAATAAAATAATAACTATTGCTTCAAAACAAAGATCATATATTATGTAATAATAATATTGTAGAAAAGTTCATTTAAGAGTCATTCACTCAGTGGTATTATGACAATTAATATCAAATATGAATTATACTTATTACAAATTATCACTGTAATCACAAAGTAATTAAATTCTGCACTAAATGGTGTTAATACAATTAATATTAAATATGAATAATACTAAGGACTTGTTTTAATTCTAAGTAAAAAGCTCGAATATATAAAAATTATTACCGTCAAGTTATTAGTCCTTACACTAAATGGTATTAATTGAATTAATATGAAATATTAATTAAACATTATTACCGTAAGTTGAGCTTTACGGAAAGCTTTCTTCTGCTCCTCACTTTCAGCTTGGTACGTATTTTGTCTCATTCGAGCACGTGATAGATATGCTTCCTGTTCGATCTTCGCGATCAGAGCCTTTCCCTTATTATTTTCTCGAACATCCTAAAAGATACCGAAGTGTCCGGATGTTACGTTGGAACACTCCAAACGTAATTAAAATAGTTCATTTAAAATTTAGAAAACATCATAAACTATAAACTAAATCCGTAATAAAGGAAGGAAAATATAATGCTCACCTTGGGAAGGAGTCTAAGTTTTTCTCTGAGGGCATCGTACTCTTCGACAGTCATAGTGTCAATGGAATCGTTAGCAAAGTTCGCCAGCTCTTGCTGCAATTCAGCTATTTGCCTGTTCATCAATTGCCTTTTTCTCTTTTGGATGCCTAACTCTGCTTTTCGTAACATTTCCATCATTTTGAATTCTTTTGTGTCCTGCATAAACAGTTCACAAATTGCTATTGAAACATTGTCATTAGCCAATAAAATTATGATTTCTGGGCTTAAATAATTAACAACATTTTACTTTTTAGATGCGGTCATCATAATGAAGTCTAAAATTTTAAAATCTGTTGCCAAGTTCGTGGGCATGGTAAAAAGCTTGCGCAATGCTCAACCTGTCCGGAAGGAATCATGAATTGCTGCAGTCACTCCCCACGAGCAGTGAGCACTTATACACTAATTCTATGATTGTGGAGAAATCCGCTTGCACTAATAGAAATTTACCTCCTTAGTTGAATATGAATCAGAGCCAATGCTAAAATGAGAGCAATATATTTACTTAGAGTGATTCGGGGCTTTTTTTTCACGTCATGAGGCAAGGGCAGATCTATAATGATATAAAGCTGCTCGATTTAATCGTAAAATGAGCCCTCCCTAAATTAGTCTTTCAATAAGTGCAGAGGGCATTAAGGCCAGAGGGGGGGGGGAGGGGGTAATTATCATTTTTTCAAATTTTCACATATGTGATCGAGCTGTTGGAGATGAACAAGTAAAAAAAAAACGCATAAAAATCTGACCTTGCGTTGCTGAGATATTGCGCGCCAAAATTTGAGGTTTACCTGTAATTACATGTAAAACTTTTATTTTAACTCTTCATATATTTTTTCCAGATAGAGCTCAACTTTTAAAAAAGACTGGCCACACCCAGGACCTGAAACTTGGCACAGGTGTTCCTTAAACTGTTTCACACAATTCTATAGTACAGAATTTTGATATTTGCCTCTGTTCTTGAAATATGAGGTTAACTTTACATCAAATTCGCTTATTAAAAGAATTTTACCCCCCCCCCCCCTCTGGCCTTAACCTTGGATTTTAGCCATAAAGCTTTACAAATCCATTATATTCTCATTTATGCCTCTCAGACATATAAAGATATAAATAGAATCCAGCAGTTCCAGCTGATATGACAAGTTGAAATCTCAAGTTAGCACGTTTAATGAAAGGATCCATGTAACTTATCTCGTTGTTTTGTTTTGTTGATATTATAACTTTATTTAAATCTCGTCACTTTTAGATTTAGAACACCCTCGGCCCTATATTAATATATTTAAAAAAATTTAACTTTTCAAATCCGACTTCAGCAGTCACGTAAAGCCATTATATAAAGTGATATATGCATCTAAAGTCTCACATCAACATATAAATAGATCACAACTCGATATGATAAGCTGGAAGCTCATGTTAGCATAGCACCTTTTAAGCTTTTATGACAATTTGTGGTTCTAAAATACCTCACTCCTTAACGTGACCTCCTCATTATATTCGTATTTACGATCATAATTTCTAAAATAGTTTCTGAGAACTTTATATTGTAAGCAGTATGTGTGTTACTTATTAACCATAGAAACTATAATAGCTGAAGCGCGCGTAGAGAATTGGAATTTTTGTGAGATGTGGGTCACTAAAAAATAAAGGGTCCTCTCATCGGTTTATTACTAGATCTGATTTTTATGTAAAATCAGGAGCAGAACATTTTTTAATCTAATCTTTTATCTATTTTGTATTTCTTTAATTTTTGTCAGCTTCACCGCTCCGCTCACCTTGAATTTGCATCTAGCAGCAAAGTCTTTGTTGTCGAACTCGGTAGGTGCTTGAGCTGAAGGAGGGGGGTTCCTTCTCCGAGCTCCGGGTGTCAGGGCCCCCGATACACAGCCACGATATCTGGGACAATGTAACATTTTACTTGACGGTACTTTAAAGACATGAGGTGGGGATATTTTCGTCATATAATTTTAATGGTGGAAAATATGCGAATTAATTCTAAATCTTTTTTTCCAAACAGATGAACTTATGCCGAGCATCTATTTATTGGCGAATCGTCAAGTTCTATATTGTACTTGATCGATGATTTTGAAGTATAGATACGAATTTGACTGTTTTGTTTGAATATTTTACATAAAATCCGCCGTTTATCGTGTTATATATAAATGAATAGAGTGCCATAATCAGTAGTCAATGACATGTTCATTGTTATGAACAACAATGAGAAATATGGCGTCTGGTCTTGGAATCGGCTCACGAGGTTAATGCCCTCTACACAAATACCATCACGCTAACTAGAATGTGTAATTAAGTCTTAATATAAATATTTGAAGAGATCGATTAAAATTTACCGCCAAATGCTTACCTTTCTCTGGGACCAAGAGCATCTTCTGAGCTCAACTTAGCTGATTTGCTTCTTCCTGTAATATTCCATTATTTAACTAATTGTTATAATTTCAAATACTGGCCCTTCAATAAACCATATAAGATATTGTTAGATCGTTCGAATACAGTTTTATATGAAATTTATTCATCATAAAACAATGGGCAAGTTTTCATAAACGATATTTTATTATCGGCGCCAATAATAAAATATCGTTTATGGAAACTTGCCAAACAATGGTTATTGAAATTCATGATAAAAACTTGTTGATCTTTGAGTATGAAAATGTTTCATACTCTGCCTCACCGTGACTACCAATTAAATCCATGCGCATATTCTTCTCAAACAATATAATTATCATGACGATTTGCGATCCTTTTTATTTTACAACCGTTCTGTTTTGAACAGGTTTAACAGTTATACAAACAGGAATATTTCCCGTAAACTGCTAGTTTACGAGAAAGTCTCGAGAGGGTAAAGAGCTAAACTGGCGTTTAGCCGATTCCAATGGTTTTAAACTTTTGCTAAGAAACCTTCAAGAAGTTTTCACATCTAAAAATGTTTCAAGTTAATCTTGATGTCATAGCAATATAAAGCGCTACGTGAACGCTTTGCAACCATTAACTTATAGTCCAGTCATTTAACTTTAAGGACATCTACTTGCAAATCTTCAGATACTCACGAAACTTTGCACAGACTTTCCCAAAGGTATGAATAAACGATTTTCGGTTGGAGAAATTTTTTTACCGTGGGGAAATCCAGGAGGGCCACGCCCATGTTGACCCAATATTGTAACTGACCCTTTGCTTCTGAAGGTCGTAAAGACTTCAGAATAGGCTAAAACGAAGCCGCATATGCATGTTTATATAGGTGTTATTGATCAACGTCATGGCCTAAAATCCTTACTTTTCGAGAAATTCGCCAAAAACCATTTTGGGCGTGGCGCCCATTTTACTAACTTTTGATAGGATCGTGATACAGACTTTGGCTAAGGTGTAAAAGAACCGCAATTGGCATATTTATATATAACTTACGAAGAAACATAAGCCTTAAAGTGCTAACTTTTTCAGTAATTGGCGAAAAACTTATTTTGGGTTCCAGAAATCATGGGTATCTGGTAAATTCATAGATGATACGTACGAACTCTACGAACTCCTCAGTGATAACGAACTCTACGAACTCATCAACCCAAAATTACGAACTCTTGAGGAGTTCGTTTTGTACAACTTACGTAAAATGAAATTAAACAGAAATTGTATTTACAATTCAGCCAATTCAACACATAACATACGATTGTAAAACAACTAAATATATTGGTACTCGAAACTTCTACCACGCGTCGCGTGTACACTGTACATTTCACAGTACAAGGACTGGTCGATCGACTGGAACATTCTGGCGCCAATAGTTTGCGCGCGCACGTTCCCTGGAAACACTTGGTGGTGGGACCCCTGAACTGCAAGAACTGGCCATTAAGGTCTTTAAACAACATACGTCAGCTTCCTTGTGTGAACATAATTGGAGCTCATTTGAGTATATATTCAATAAAAAGAGGAATAGATTGTCGACTGATAGAGTTGAAAAGCTGGTTTACGTTCATGGAAATCTACGTTATTGTAAGTCAAAACAGGAAGTTCGCTGTTCCCATAAACATGCTTCAACAAGTCTGTTGAAGTATATTTCCGATGTTATGTCTGCTGAAAGTTAGTAAAATTTAACATTCTGTATTGCTCGTTATTTATTTATTTATACAAAAATATTATAGTTTTATTCTTTATTTTTACCCCAATAAATATCTGAGATCATGCGAGAAATCCTGAGCTGATTACTTTTTTTAAAAAACATTTTCCATGTTTTTTTTTGAAAAATTGACTAACGAACTCCAACGAACTCTAACGAACTCCAAATTTTGAACGAACTCCACGAACTCTACGCCAAAAATCAACGAACTCCGCATCTATGGGTAAATTGGGTTATGAAGGCCCTTGAGATTTTAGAATGAGTGCAAATTGTGCAGAATGGCCATGTTTATATACAATTTATGTAGCAACATGTACCCTAAAATGCTTACTTTTCGAGTTATTTGGGGAAAAACCAGAGAAAATTGGCACAAAATAGAGCAAAATTTGTTATATCAGCCATTTTTGCCTCCCGTTCTATGTTAATAACTCGAAAAGTGGAATAGTTCCATGTAAAACTTATTAATATTAGACGGGATTTAATGTGTGATTTTTATCCTACTGACGATGATAGGCATCATTTATTGTATATTATATAGGGCGGAGAAGATAATTCTAATCTCAGTTACGACCTTAAAACTAATCATGCTTACACAAAAACCATGCCAGCGATAAAGACTTTCAAGTACAACACTTTATGGATCAATTTAAAACCATTTATTCTTATAGTTAGTTATAGTGACAATCGCATTGTGCCATTTTATTCGGTTGAACTTTTTTCGTGATCAAACGACAATAACCAGCGCATGCAAATTTCCCAAATGTAACGATTGTATCCTCACAAAGCTTACCGTAAGATATTGAAGGGGAGTATACCGGTATTTTAGACTCTGAAGACGAGTTAAAATGTAAATTCTACAGAAATTAGTTGTTCTTATTTTCTTGTTTGCCCGTTTCCTTTGTTAGTTGTATGTTATCAGCTAAAAGAGCCCGACAGTCCAAATTTTGAATAGGGTAATCAACACGAATACGTTGATCAAAGATAACTATTCAACGTATTTAACGCCGTTTAATATTTAAGGCCTTACAGGGCCACACTGTATTATAGTTGGCGCTGGGTAATCATACTTAAATCTAAATACCCTCTTAAAGACCCTATAGAACAAACTTAATCTTATGGGTTCGCGAACCATTAAGCCCATGACGTAATCATACAATTACTGGATGTGACCCTGGTTTCTAACTTGAGATCAGCGTAGCACGTGCTGTACTATAGACATAGTGATCTATGCATAGTAATATCATCTTATCGTGGGGCAGTAGGACCTGATACAACAGCTATTTTATGGTACAGTGTGAGACCTTTCGTTGCCGGACCCTACAAAGGATCTACTCCGAGCCCCTCAAAGTCTATAATCGCCAACTTTATGACTATTGATGACTACGACATCAATATTTCATTAATCGATCCTAAATCGACGAGGTAACACTAATTATAATTAGTTAGTGTTACCTCATACTAGTAATTGTCCAGCTCCAATTCCTTTCATAGTTTGGGCAGCTACCAATGTTTTACTAGTGAAATTATAACTAAACTTTGATCTTGCTCCTCGAATCTAGTAATTTTATCTTAGATACAACCATAGTTAGTTGGAAATCATGTTCTGACTTTTGTGATTGTAGGTTCATAACAAATAAGTCTACTTCTGGCTGTCTGATGCGAGATGTTTGAAACCAATTATATAATAGGTCGATCTTTTACTATATAATATAGTATATGGATATAGTACCTTAGTATCAGTTATACTGTTAAACGTCTGTTTGTATTCATATTGCCTAATGAGTTAACTGAGAAGGTAATTGCCCACAATAAACACAGTCTCGAATTCTGAACTTTCCTCCCGACCAGTGATGCACGCCGCCGCCGGACGCCGCCGCGCCGGCACATTTTCACACGCCGCCACGCCGATACCTCTCAAGTCGGCGTGGCGTGAAAGGAAATAGAAAGAGTATGGAGCCAGTCGGGGTTGATTTTGAACTCTAGGAGATCCAAATTGTCCAACGACAATGTTAAGAATTTGATTTTTCTTAAATATAATTGTAAAAACCACCAAATATAATTGTAAAAACCACACTTATTACATCATTATTTCATGCACGCACGTACGCCACAATTTTTGTGGGCCTGGAAATTCAAACCTAAATTTTGACAAAATTATGTTCCACGCCACCGAACGCCGCCACGCCGGGCCATTTTGGGCACGCCGCCGCCGGTTGGCGAAAAATGAACCGGCGTGCATCACTGCTCCCGAAATCGGTTATCGATAACTTCAATGCAATTTCCTGTTCCAACGTCAATTCTCATTACAGTTCTGAATCAGCTGATTTCTCATTTCTCAGAGACAGAAGTTTCTGTGGTTCATGCAGCTTCCGTAAAGTTTAAGTTCTTATACAATTATGTACTTTAATTAGTACATTCTTATCAAGCAGGATTTAAAATCTTGGCATAATATACAGGCCTTGCAACATAAAAGCCCGCTTTCACCAAATTTGAGCCAAGAATTAAGCTTAAGTAAGGTTAATTACCTATTTAGCATGTTACATATATTCTCTGACAGGATAGCATAACTGTACTGGAGATACGGACCAAACCCTGGAGGAAATTCATTCCGTCCGATTAATCCATTAGTTCAGACGAGGATGTAGGAGACCCTTTGTGCCAGCCCGGTCTGAGCCACTTAGAAACATTTGTCAGTCATGACTGACGCATATTTAGTTCCGCTCGTTAGTTTTAGATCTGTGTAACTTTTTGTTTTTCTTCTTTGGACCGATATTAAAGCTACCAGTTTTACAGGATCTGATTCCGGTTAACGGGTAACCTAATCTAACTAATCTTATCCAATAATATAATTCTGCTTCACACGTTTTGTTATTGTTCTGTTGCCTTGGTACTGCCGAACAGGGTATATAGAGCTACTTGTTAGCAAGAATAACAAACCGAGTCTTTATTTTATCACGTAAGAGTCAGTTAGTGCCATGAACTTGAGACGATAATTAGTGAATAAGACGGTAATGAGCAAATCACTCAATTTACAACCAACATGCCGGTTTATTCAGGAGAGAAAACAGCTCGTATCAAAGACTGTAGCGTAGGGTACGCCCTTTCAAAATCCAAATTAAGCTATTATTACATGACTCATGTTGACGCCAATACTCACTTAGGTTGTTTCCAGTCGGTGGTTTGCCGCCTAGTGATTTCTTTTGAAGTTTTTTTTCGACCCCCGTCAGTTTCTTTCTGTCCGAGTCTGATCCGGTTCCACGCTTGGTTCGCGCCGAGTTTGAGGGGTCCTGGCAGAAATATTTTGATTGATTAAAGCGTTAAAAGTAAGCAATATAAAGATAAAATATTTAAGTTATTTGTTTTGAAATTGCATATCTATAATCTCATGAAAAAAAGTCTGACAAAAAATACCGCCTTTAAGGCTTTATCAAATTTTAACGCTTGCTCGGTAGCTCGGTGTGCAGTATATTAACGAAAAAATATCTGAAGGAAAAACAAAATAACCCTCACTCCTAAAATGTAATTTTCTAAAATTTAAAATCGCGACATTTCAGCAGCAATTATGTTGCTATTCAAGCTATGTTAATTAATGTAAGTATCCAGTAATAAATGTAGGCATCTAGTATAGTAATTGGACTGGCTTCTGGACATATTGACGAGTGATCTTTGCTAATATTTTATTTCATTTATTCTAAGCCAGTAGGGCGTAGGTTAATGTTTTCTCTTGTGTATAAGACATCAGTAAAGTTCAGTACTTGGTTATGCATTCTCTTCACTGCGTCCATTAAAGTTAAACCAAAAATGCATCAAAATTACATTTAAATTAACGCCGGCAATATTCGTCAGAAAAAAATCCGTTAAAGCATTCCTGTCGACAGAAAGTAGAGATCGAAAGTCAATCATTCTCTGACGTATGAGACAATCAAATCAAATTAAAATCAAATTAATTCAACACCATAATCATAGAGCCTCTTCATTTATTTATTTATTATTTTCGTCCTCCGACTTGTGATAGTTTATTTGCTTGTTTTAACGATTCCATTAACTTTAGAATTGTTTAAAGGATAGAGCTATAAAAGGTTCCGTCTCAATAATGCCGGATTCAGCCTCTTATCCTGACGAAAAACGATCGAACATAAGACTTCAGCTCAACGACCAGGTACCAAACTAATTACATGACTCAATCGGTAACTTTCGGAGTCCCTTCGTTTTTCAGCTGAGACATTTTATGCTTCTTTTTGTTTGCTGTTTTATTATTATGATTGCTTTTTCTGTGATGATACTGCATCTTCCAGCCCAATCTTGACATTTCAGAATATGGACGAGGACGATACATTGTTGTCTGACTTCTTCAGTGACCCTGACATTGACAGTGAGTTTATAAGTGAAGACAAGGGTTACTACAGTCTCAGGGACAGTTTTAAGGAAACCATAAAGGAAAGCCTCAAGGGTAGAAATATCACCAACAGTTTAAACGGACTCGACAGTATCAGAGATACAACCTTCAAGGAGAATTCTAACTCTGCTCAAATCGGTAGGAAGGATTTTGTTAAGGTTACTGGTGCTGTTTGGTATATTGTAGCTATATGTTTCAATATTGATTGGGATTTCATTTCCGTTGATCAATACAGTTACAAATCCCTTTTTTCTCTTGACGGCAAGTTTATTAATTACTGTAGTAGGTAAGGAGGAACAAGAATTTCTCCCTTTTTCTATTTTTTTATAAAGTTAAACGGTCAAAAATACGAGACGTCAATAATCTACATTTTTATATATTGATAATACTCATGAAAGCACACTGATGCACAAAGTGATGCAGGCTTCTTCGTTATTAGCAGTACGGTTCCTTGTATCAATAGTATAGCGTTTATTCGGACTATGGATCGTGTTAGATAAAATGAACCAGTTATGTACATTGTACTGGAACACCAACAATTATGGCATATAAACCATAGTTAATCACCCCTCGAACAGTACTAATGACGAATTAACTATGACCTTAGCTTTACGCAAATCTATAAGCCTACACACTCACACAGCATAAGTATAATATTAGGTCAGCTTTTATTGGATCGCTGATTAGTAAACCCTGGTTATTTTTAGTAAACCTTTAATGACGTTGGGTTTTAACTTCACTTTGGGCTCATCCAAAGTCAGGATTAGATATAAAATTGTCAGGTATTACTATTACAATTCGTCTGAGGAAAATATTCATACCTTATTATTCAGGGTCCAACTTAACATCGAAGCCATCTTGTCTCAAATATTTTAAAGTTTGACGGCCAAGGGGCTAGGCGGGATAGTGAATAGTGAATGATCAGCCTGCATTCCTCATGGTTGTTGGCAGTCACGATATATATAGTTAAACTTTATAAATATATATACATTATAAACTTTTGAGCTGCCAACTATAAGTTTAGTGATCTGCGTGACAGCGCAACTGTTATAATTAGTACAGTAACAGAGAGCGAGAAATTTTATTGTACGTGTTGCTAAGAGAAAAAACGGGAATTTGTAACCGCATTACCATCGGTTTCGGGTTTAGTGCTGGTTTCGTTCCATTTGCAGCTTTATGGTCATTTAACGGCATTTTGACGGCTCTTCTATGGTTTCACAATTGCCGTTTCGGTATAAACCTTCCACTAAGTTTATCGTTTGTAGTTAATCAATTTACCAGTCAACTCGTCTATTGCTTATCCTTGTCTTTATAAATGTCCATAACGTATTCGCCAAATCATTATTCAATAATATACTTGCTCTTTCCGTAGTAACGAAATTTGTTCGTTTAGGTTTCTATGAAAAGTCCATTTACTCTGCGGGATCTGGGAGGAACGAAGATGATTGTGGGCTCCAGTTGCTAGGTAAATTGGTTACACTTACTTGAGACCATGTTTAATCTCTGTAATATTATTATATTACTGCCTTTGTTATTTTCAGAAGCTAATTTTACTTAAGTTAAATGCTGTCCAACAGGCACACGATAGTTATATTTTCCTGCCCAATTACAGACCAACCGAATGATTCTAAAAGACGACAGACGGTCAACATATTGTATTGCAGTCTGCAGAACATGCTCATTCAGAGGCTGCAGCACAATTGCAGCTATTGCAAGGCCATGTGCAGCTCTCCACTATAGTCTATAAGTATAGTTAGTTACTGTTATTTCGTGGCATTGGCAGAGCTACAATCTAGTGGGAAGGTAGAAAGTAGGTAGTTAGTTGGTTAGTTATATTATATATATTATTATATATTATTATATATTATAGTTGGTTAGGTAATCAGGTACATGCTCCAATGTTCGATGGGAAATTTGAATTCTGTGGTATTCCGATATCGATGAGTGGAATACAAAATCGTAGCTATGCAACCTGTAAGATCCGAAAGCGGCTAAAAAATCCTTACGGAGGAACTGTTTAAGGTCCGTACACTTCCTAAGGGCTTTAATCTATTAACCTATGCAGCATATACCGTTTAGCCAAGTTCTAAGTTTTATATCAACAAATGGGACATGTCTTGATAGTTCATAGTTAACTTCGAGCAAGCTGGTAGTTTGAAAAAGAAAACCGATATTTCATTATTGGTTTTTTAAACTGTGCTGATATTGTAACGTTGCACTGCACAAGTCTGACCAACAAGTTTATTCTCTTGACACTCACATCAACAGCTATATTATGTAAAGATGTAACATTTTGATTAAATATCGATAAACGTTCACGGTTCATCATTCAACTTTAATAATAATGATTGTTTCTTGGCGATTGGCATAGCAATATCACAAGACACTGACCGATCCATCGTCGCGTTGGTAGAACGTGTCATCCATTGGGTAATGCTCCATTATAGCAAGTGTACAGTGTTCCATCGCTCAGCTTCATTATCGAGTGTGGTGTTGTATAAGCCAAGGACTGGCATCAAACTGTCGTCGACCGCTGGCTTCAAGTGAGTATGTGTACTGCTTGTTGATTATTTGCGATCTGATTGTTGTGACTTGACAGCAAGGCACCGTCTAATTACCCCCCTTGCTTACCAGCAGCAGCTGCTACACGGCCACCTGCTGCAGCCAGGCTCTGAACTTGTATGTACTTTCTCTTTGACGCTAATTCTACTCCAGGTGACGAATTTCGTCTTCTGAGGGAAGGGATTCAGAAGTCTTCCTCTGAACTGCTCTCTGAGATGGTGTGTGCTAATTGCTCCAACGGGAACAACAAGACTGCACTAGTGGAAGTTCCTAACGGGAAGTCTCCTCCGGTCTCAGAAATGAATTATGAGCTTGACACGAAGAAGGCAGAGCGTTGGAAACCCTATTCTATTGTGAAGCTAAGTGTCAGTGGGAAAGTGTACGTTACACTTCGTAAAACCCTCACTTTCTTCCCTGACACTTTGTTGGGATCAGATGAGATCGAGGAGTTTTGGAATGAGGAGACCGGACTTTACTACTTCAACCGTCACCGAGGTGTTTTCAATTCTATTCTCTTTTTCTATCAGTCTCGTGGCATTTTCAGAGCGCCAACAAACGTTGACCCTGATTTGATGAACGAAGAAATGGACTTCTTTAAGATTGATGTCGTGGCTTTATTGGAAGTAGAAGACCCAAATGCAGAAGAAGTAATTGAAGTAAAACTGACAATAAGAGAAAAACTTCATACCTTTCTCATGGAACCTCAGTACTCGAAAGCTGCACTATACTGGTCCTTCGCGGACATGGCAGCGATAGTTGTATCAATCATCATGTTGGTAGCAGAATCCGTGCCATCAGCTACTGTGTACTTTGAAAGTCCGAAAATATCAAACGTTTACTACGTTCTCTACGGCATAGAAATTCTCGTTAACGGCTTCTTCACAGTAGACTTTCTCCTTAAACTTGTTTCATGGCCAAAACCATGGTTGTTTTTCAAAAGCCCGCTAAATTTTCTAGACTTTATGGCGATCCTGCCATTTTACATGGAGCTCATAGCAATGATGACATCGAGTGGAAGCTCAGCCGGAGGAAAATTTGTCGTCCTGAGGATTTGCAGAACCAGCAGAGTGGTCAGAATCTTCAGATTTGCCAGACACTCGAAGGAATTACTGGTGGTCATAAGAGTGGTTCATAGTGCCTCCAAGGAATTTGCCATGCTCGCCATGCTCATCATGGTCTTCGTCCTTCTGTTCGGAACCTTGCTCTATTACTCGGAAATGGGATACGACTCTGGATACAACTCAATACCACTCGGTTAGTTATAATTGTCCTTAATTGAATTCACTGACTTAATGTCACATTTTGTGAAATGTGACATTAAATTCACTGGATAGCTATATAGAATATAAATGCGTAAATTACAAATTAATCTGCTTGACAAATGACATTGACACCCGTGCCCGAAAAATAAATGACTCCAATCAATGCCAGGATGTTGGTGGGCGATCGTGACAGTCACAACAGTGGGGTACGGAGATCTGGCACCTAAAAGCACTATCGGTAAGCAATATTACTACTTATTTACTTCAGAGAACCTAATACTCACAAAAAATGAGTGTGCTGATCTGTTATAATACATCTTACCACTTTATCATTTACTTTTAGATTAGTTGTTTGAACAAATGACCCATGTAACAAATAAATCTAACAATGTCTGATCACTACTTCAGGGAGGCTTATAGGGAGCATAGCAGTTGTGCTTGGCATTGTCATTTTAGCCCTTCCCATGACTGTGATCGTTTCAAAGTTCAACGAGTCGTACGGTGACGTGAAGCGCACAACAGAACGCCAGCAGCTTAAAAATGTTCGTGCTCACGCTATTCATCACGGAGCCATTTTTTAATACCAACTCAAACATTTTTCGACTTTGGGTTCATTTTAGTGAGTAGTTTTTCGTGTTTGAACGTTTTATTCTTGAGATTTTGTTAACGCATTTCAAAGTTTTGCAGATTGAAAAGTTTTAGCTATGACAACGTATTACGTAAATTGTTATCCTTATATGAATGTTGGCATTTCATTGCAAAGCAAAATCCATAACAAGGACGATTTACAGCCGGTGATTTGCTTAATGGCCTATATATACTGTCACAATTGTTTTAGATTGACCAAAATATTGGCCAATTGTTTGAACAAGACATCAAATCGAATTTATGGCATATAATACCCGACGACATTTTATGGTCTGCTAAAGGATTGTTATCGAAAATGTACATCGATTATCTGATACAATGCGAACAGAATAGTCATTGTGGGCAACAATCAACTGGTTAAACGATTAATTTAATGTTTTCCTGAAAGAACCAAGTAACCAGTTGGAACCCCTCCCCATTCCCAACCCCACAATATAATCTTACCACATCGATCCCACTTACTATCTCCAAATTGAGTCTGTCCGTATCGCTCAGTCCAGGAGAAGGAATTGGCATGCTCATTTCCAGTTCACGTTTAAACCGCTCGAAGTCGTCAAGATCAGATGATTGGGAGGGAGGTGTGTTCGGGGCCAACTCGGACTCTCTGCCACCGTCTGACTCGACTGGGTTCTGAGGGTTATTGAGTTATAAGTCACGATTAATTTTTATTTTAGTGCATATTTAGCCGATACGGCGGATATATAACTGATATAGGGTACTAGGGCGGGTGTCACGAGAGCAGTAGACACGAGGGTGTAGAACACAAGGGTTTAACTTTTCTAAAATCTGGCCATAATCTGCTCATCAAAATTATCTTTGAAACTGTACGTACGAGACGACAAATGATAAATTAGGATGATTTTATTTGGGTTGGGGCTAAGTAATTACTTATCCAGCATTGTGGCTAACTGCTAAGCTGCCTGTATTATTCGCCGAATTTAAATTTCTTAAAAATCACTGACTCAACTTAAATTGAGTCATACTAACGAGCAAAACCCGGTAAAACCAAGTTTGAAGTTTCTTTCCTGAAAATTTCCGAATAAACTTAGTGATGTCAGTTTCTCAAATTAGAAGTGTTAAAACTTATTTAATACTCTCAACACTACTATATAACAAATAATTTGAAGCTGCAATTTGGAGACGATAAAGGATATAATACCAATAATTTGATAAGGGGCAGGACACATTATCCAGCGTTTTGGCTATCATGCTGACTGTTATAGTAGAGGCTCTTACGGGCATTGTCTGCTCGATACGCTAGGGACCCCAGATACACCTTACTAGACGTATTTTTGACCGTAGAATCGATTTAAAGTGGTTTTAAGATGATTGGACTGACTTTTTGGGGGTAAAATTGCAAAAAACCGATTTTTGGGCAAAAAATAAGCCAAAAAACCATGTTTTTTGATATTTTGAACAAGTTAATTCTGTTGGCATGTCGGCAAAACTTGCATGGAGATAGCTAAAACACAGCCGCACAAGATGATATAAAAATTTGAAAAATCCCTCTATTTTTTTGGGGGTAAAAATCCAAAAAAGTAGTAAAAATTTGACTTTTTTTGCTTGAAGTTTGAATAATTTTTTGCAGTTGTATTAAATCAACCCAAAAATAGTCACATCGTGTTTGCCTAAATTTTTCCTTTCCGAGAAGTACCCACTTCATATACTTAATCGAAGTTTGAATATTGTCACTCCGCAAGCGTTTTTTCCAAATTTTCGACGCGCACTACGCGCAAAAGCATTTAGTTGTTATCAATTGGCACCCGCGCGTTCATCATAAATTTCAAACAGCTATAACTCAGCAAGATTATGTCCGTTCTAGCTCATATTTTCACACTAAATAGAAAATAATGTGATCTTATTGCTGACAAAATATGAATATAATTACTCTATTTGCCTTAGAGTAATAGACTGTCAAAGTTTAAAACGCGCATTGGTATAGCACGTGACTAATAAGGCCAAATTTTTACTTCTTAACATATTATCGATCCTTAGACATCATACTATTGTGTCCAATTAGCGGTTAGGTCTCTAAACTCGTAGCAGAAAACACGTCTTTTTGCCCGTAAGAGCCTCTACTATTATATTCGCCGCATTTAATTTTCTTTAAAAGATCTTTGATGCAATGCCACCACTCTACCACTTACTGAGGTCTGCCCAATATTTATTAATATGACTCACCTTAAATTAAGGTGTTAAGAATCCTTTTTATTGACATATAATGACGTGATTGGACCAGAGAGGTAATTTGGAAGAGTCACGTGTTTAGTGTTCCGACGTGTGAACCGTGGTCGGTGGTCAACATCTTGCTTATTGCTTTTCATATTGTCGGCCCCCCATTATATTCAGGAGCAGTTCTTTCTCAGAAGAGCTCGCGTTTGTGGAACCAAGATCAACTCTGATTCTGAGTTCGAGACTTATCTTATTAATCTCGAGGATACCAATTGACAAGCGTTAGAGGTTATAATTTATAGCCTAATTTGTCTTAGTCCTAAACTAATGCAATCCTTGATAGCCCGAGCGATAATCTATAGACTCCTTCGAGCGAGTCTATAATCAAGTCAAAACGTTTTACGCGGAAAGTTTTATCTTATTCATAATATATTAATTTATAACTCTTTTATATTTCTTATTCTATTCGATAATTCTTCTCCGTCACTAAAGTTGTCCCAGTTAGAACACCAGGTACACCCTGCCGTTCGTTTTACATGACCAGAGCTCAAATAGTTTAATACTACAAATACTACAAGTAATAATAATACTTTAAGCCCCTAGAAACTCCGTTATTCCGTTTTCTATAAGTTTAGTAGTTAAATGGCCCTCTAACTACCGTCAAAATGCGGCCCTCTCCTCTGCTCTAAGGGAGCGTTCACATATGACGTCAGCAAGGCTCAGACCCGCCTCCCCCCCCCCCCCCCGTCATCAACCGTCAGCATTTCCAAACCCCCCTCCCCCCTCGGCTGCTGACGTCATATGTGAACGCTCTCTAACATAGCTATGAAAAAATTTATCCCAATCAGTGCTTGTAGTTATCAAACGGTGTAGAACTCTCAAATATGAGTATATATACTCTATATACTATGATTTTTTTTTAATCTAGACACTTATTTTACTTCGGAGTATTCCAACAGCCATATTGTTACACAAGTGCAACCAGCCAATTACAGGAAACCGAAGGATTTGTTTTTAGCCAGTGACGGTTAAGGTAGTGTGTACCATACTTTCTTCGCCCGAGACTTTGCTGCAATGTGCAGCTCCTCATTTAACCCTCACACCCGATTTCTCGAGTATTCGGCTGAGTAGACCGGGGGGCTGCATAGACCACTCACGATCCTTAGCTGAATGTCAACGACACTCACCCCACGACCAGGCAGGCAGTGGGATTTGAACCCGCAACCTCACGATTGCAAAGCTGGCTAACCAACTGCGCTACCTGGCCGCGCTACCTGGCCGCTACCTGGCCGATGAGTGCGTCGCCAGTATAAGTAGTAAAACTCGACATGATTGCAATTTATATTAATATGGATGACTGCAGCTCAGGACGCATGTCCTGCAGGTTCTCGTGATCACTTTATTTTGATATTAAATCTCCTAGTCTAGGCAGTCTAACCATCAGGATTCAAGAATTTGTCATTAATCTTGATTCAAGATTAATCACAAATTTTCCTATTTATGGCTTGAACTTCCTTAATTGTATTGCGATCCATGACAGCCGTCACGTTTTCCAGTTTTAATTAGTATTAAATTTTATATACCCTGGCCGCAATATTGTGCCATCTATCATGCTGCTGTCAAAACATTTGAGGTTCATTAAGCATCTACATTCACAGCAGAAATAATGTCAGAGATCAAATCTTCTGTTTTCCCATCGTTTTAAACGCTGTTTGTGAATAAAATACTCTAAAAATAAGATGCAGAGAATTATAAAAAACTGCCCCATTTAAACAATGAAAGAGATAAGTTTTCAACACAGAAACGCGCGAATGAATTAGCTCAGGTCTTTTATAAAACAACTTACGCGTCTCGTTTCAATGTAAAACTTTTGCCCATGCTCAACAATCGATGATAATCAAGTTCATTCCAATTCCATATTGACTGATTGTCTTGATAACATGCTATAACTCACCGAAAAACGCGATTGGCTGCCACCTGCAGCCGTACTTTCACCGAAAACGGAGTCACTGTCGTCAGATATCTGCAGTTGCAGCGCTCTCTTCATCTACTCAGGAGTTCTCGTTAGAATGACATATTTGGAGGGCTCAGTACAATTCAGTAGATTCTACCAATGGTTGGGTGTTTAATTATTTCTAATTTGTCTTAACTTCAAAAGTTAGCTAGACTCGGGTTTCGGATTAAAATTGTAAGGTAGCGCATATTGTTTTGTAGATATTGATATATTATTTATAAAACCTCACGGTTGCTAGCACAGGATTCGAAAACATATTTTTTGGCAACTGATTTGTAGCTGCCTGGTTAGATATGTCTGTATGTGAACACTGGTCATATCAAGGCAGAATCAGATTGTTGAAAATTGGCACCTTTTCAAATTTACAGTCGCAGATTTCTGAGTTTAAATATTTCATGGGATATTAATTTGAACTTAAGATTGGATAAAGCTATCCTAACTTTGTATAAGTGGGGCGTTGTTGCTTGAACATACTGAATAGCAGATCGGTCTATTAATATAAACATTTAGTGCACATCTTTTATAATCTTATAATGAGAGAATAATTTAAGTTGAATGGTGGCGGGACCATAAAGTTACTCCATTATTCATTTACATAATATCACAAGAAACCCATTCCGTTTCATATAAACAAATGCATTTAAATGCACACTTTGCAAGGTTTTGTGTCCCAAAATCCACCAAACTAGTTGATTTTTCGAATAACTGTGGCCAACTATTAAGTGGCTGCTTAGTTTTATAAAATGGGGTAAGGCTAACCGACCAATAAAATGAACTCAGTTTTTTACTACTCAAGTAATAGTATCGCGATCTCACAAGCGGCACTTACAGTTACAATAAGAGGTCCAGCCGAACCCAGACAGCCGTGTGACTTATAGAGCTCTCCTTTATAATTATAGCTGCAGGTAATGGGCCAACAATTCATCCAATGATTTAGGACTACTTTAAATCTAGATTATGGGCAGTTGAAGTAGAGTGATCGGTTTGACCCAAATTTTGCAGACGCTGCCTTTTAAATAGCATCCGTTCACATTTTAAGTGAGACGTTATCGTTTCTAGGCGTTTTATTTCTAGATTAGTCCGAGTCGCACCTTAATCCACGCTCTTACTGTAAAGTGGTCCATCTCTTTTATCTGTAACGTACTGCAGTACCTTGTCAAACCTTGCAGAGCTAAATGACTACGATATTTGATCGTTCGAGGATCGGGATTTAATATTTATCGAGGTGGTCTTGCCATTTGACAACGACTATAACTCAGTATAAGACATAAGTATGTATACAAATTCGAATATGTTCGTAATAATGGCTGTTCAGGGGAGTCCGTGAACATTACATTGTCATTAAAGATACTCATTCCTCATTATCATATACTGTTTTTGTTGGAGCACCGAAATATTTTTACCCACAATTGTTAATAGGTAACAAATTTTGCTTGCAGATCTTGTTTGCAAGTTGACAAGAAAGAAGTCTGATCAATCAATTTCGTTCATTTAAAAAAAAATGGAATAAAATTATATTGTAAATGCTTACGTCAGGGTCGGAGAGAAAGGATGCTCCTACATTTTCCAGCTCAGAATCATTCAGCTCATCGTCTTCAAAACTGAAAGGGTCAGGTTTAATACACATCACAGAATTAACTGTTAATATAATCATTTATGTACGATACATTTTCCACATCGCTGCATCCAGAGGAATAGTTGGCGAAATGGTGGCATGCTCGGGCTGAAATCGAGATGGGACAAGTTAGCAGCTCGCTATGTATCATAAATTTTGCAGCATTGTGTGAGGCAAACATTTCACCCCTCGACATTTGACACTCTAACATTCCAAATGAGATTTTTGTTTATGGAATTATAAGGTTAGGATTAAGACAGAAGATCGGTCCAGGGAGCATGGTCTGGAAATTATTGGTCCTAAACTACACAGTCTGGACTCTGATTTCGGGTAGATGGGGGTACGGTAGAAAACACATACAGCCTGGTATACCATGGACACAAACGCGGAGTTATACACTGAAACATCGATAAACTTAGTAATGCCTATGTATAATAACTTAATTTAATTGCTGATTTTGTTCTAAATATATAAGCTTCAGTCTATTTCCTCTCACGAAGCCCTGCATTTTAATCACATGAGGGGAATGTATAGGCATTTATTGCTTGTTTAATTGTTTTTTTTTGTGCTTAATTCATGATTACTAGTATCTGAGATTCTGCGATTAAATTTATTTTGTTGATTATAATGTTGTGATTGCATAATTTATTGTAAATATAATATGTTTCAGAATTATGTAATGTAACACGATGGAAATATTTTAAACGGGTCATATCCTGTCCAAACCCAGGATGCATTTGACATACGTTGCATGCCACTTTTCGCGCGCGAAGCGCGCGCCGCCGTATTTGGATACGAAACATGTATCAAGGATGCATAACATGAAGAATTCGTTGTAACTTTGTATAAAAAGCACCGATATAGTTGTTTTGTCATTATTTAACGGTCATTGGTCAATTAGTTCGATGCTCAATGCTCATATCAATGAGTCATATCAAAGATGCAATGTTATTGAAGGCTTTGATACATCTCCAAAAGTTGAAAGATTCATGCGAATATACATAGTAGTGTCCATGGTAAAGAGAGTATCAAATAATCCACCGTACTCTCTACCCTCTTGAGTAAACACCACCGTACTGTAATCTGGAACCTGTTCATCTGGTTTCATCTTCAAATTCAGTTGGACCCTGATCAGCATTTAACAAAATTAAAAATCGAAATTAATTTGTTCGCCGGCTTATTCTGATCATGTTTTATATAGGAGTACAGGGAGGGGATCACTTTCCGAATGGAGCGTCGTGACGTATGTCTCATGACACTTCTTTGAATCTAAAACGTTCCACAATCCACTTCCCCTAAACATCCTTACACACAACTACGCTGTTTATGTTTATTAATTTAACTGTTTAACTATTTAACCGAATAGTAGGGACTCTGCAGTTTGTATGCAGTGGCTATCCGCTATTTATAATGAGTAATGGTCGTTAGGCTTGGTATTTAAAGATACGTGGCATCCCGGGTTAGCAAGACAGGGAGAAGTCAGACATATTTTTTTGCTATTTTAATTTCAGTTACCAGAAATTGACAGAAATCTAGAAATGTCTGCATTACTTATTTAATTATACTAACTAAAGATGATTTCACGAGCTTCGGATCTGGTCGGATCAACTGAATATTTAATCGTTGAATCCGGTTTGGCCCGGTGGGAAATTGTTGACCTAGTTGGTCACTAGTTAGGATTTGGTAATCAGGGTTACGTTAAGATGTAGTTATAAAGTCAAGGCTAAGGCTAAGTATCGTATTGGAGGTGGCGAGACGTCACCCGACGCATTATCGAATATTGCGGCGTTGTTCGAATGCTATGGTGGTGTCGATAATCAAATTTTATTTCGACGAAAGCTGTAATTAGTACCGCCTAAGAAGTTAAGAAATTAGGGAAGCAACAACTCTATTTAAAAAAGATTTGGTTGAAGTGCCACTATCTATTAACTATATCAAAGTTATAATTTCATAGTTAAGTGGTTACTGACGAAATGCCATTTTAAATCCTAATTACTTTCTCTAGAATGTTTAACTTGAAAACTCTCTGCGGTCTCTGAAATTGGAAACATTTCCTATTTCTTACAGCCGAATTTGTTTCCCATTTCAAAAGTTTTCCTATTTCAGGGAGCATGAATTAATATTAGTACGACCCCAGCGGGATAAAAGATTATGTTGTGAATCTAATGTTAATCAAGCACATCTCAACACCGATCGAGTATCCCTAAAATTAAGTACCTAAAATCAAGGTCACTCTCCGAAAAGCCCTCGTCATGCAGCATCTGCTGAAGTATCATGGTGGACTCGCTTATCACCGTACCGCTCTCTGGACTCACCACTCTTATTGACGGATCCTTTGCGTCCGGATGATCTACCTGGGGTAGAGGTGAAGTGAGTAAATAGGAGAGATTTTTAGTGGTTACTGGTGCTGCTACAAACCATTAACAGTTTTAATTATGGCAATGGCAACCGCGCCAGATTTGAAATACACAACCTCCTATTTTACCTTTCTACATTATTATACTAACCTAGTGTAAGCAGCATGAGATATGAAAATATCGACGGCGACACATTGAATTAAAGTTACGTATTCAAATGGGGGGCTAAATAAATAGATTAATGGCTAACTAAATATCACACTGCTATAAACACAGAGGTACTAACTACTAACTCAATTCAAAAATTGTATTTTTTCGACGGATCTTTCACTAGCATAGATTCTCTACGATCTTTCTTCTGATCACCTCTGCCTCTGTGAGGCCTTAAGCTCCTGATCCATCTAAGGCTTATATTTTTCTTCACTCTTCATCTTCTTACTTACCACAGGACAGTCCATTAATTCCAAGATAATACTATTGTACATATTAACTGCAGAGCACCATCTCCTTAACAGAGCTCTAAATCCAGATTATCCGCTTTGAAATCCTCAAACACAACACTATTTAAATCATAGCACTTTATCACCCTAGTATCGTTTACAGAGGCCTTCAGGCTCACTGACACTACAAATTTAACAACAAAATGATCTGATCTAGTCGCAGATTCTACAATACTGATGGAATTTAGAGAGTCTTTGGTTGTTATCACGAGGTCTAGTGTTACTTCATTTTTGGCGAGTTCTTTCCAGTAGTACACATTGAATGAAACCAAACTGATCTAAAAGGGCAAGAAAATTTGCAGGATAAAGATCTTTAGGTCTTTCGACTATTCACTGAATTCTTCTAAGAAGTGACAATAAGTCTACCTGGCATTCTTAAACCAAGAGTGCCAGGTAGAATCTTGGTGTAAGGTGGTCTATAATAAACTACTAATAAGTCTGATTATCCCACTATTGGTTTCAACAACTTCCATGACTTGATAAGATTTATACCTCTTGACTCTACAATAATTGTTGTCAACTTGGGATTCTTATTTAAGATCATCACTATTCCTCCACCACTACGATGGTTCCAGCCACGTATCATGTAGCTTTGCATCGCCTCCCCCCTGCGCACACCCCTGCTTTGCAGTATCAACTTAAGATCTTCTTAAGAAAAGTCTGCTGAAGAAAAGAGATATCAACGTCCTCATCAGTAGGGTGCGCCGGAACTTCAACTGTCTTGTTGACTAGACGATTTACATTGAACGTAGCAAAAAACTAGCCAATCCCAAGTGGCCAACTATCCAGCTCTCTTTTTCGAAGTTTTGCCCCCTTGAGGTATAAGTTTTTATGCTTCAAGCCTACTTGTTTTGGCCATGATGTGACTCTGCTATCTCGCATAAGAATGACATAGTCTGTAAGCTGAAGTAGGTGTTCTTCACCGTAGCTACACCTTGCCGTATCAGACACACCTTCCAGCTTCCAACTAAGAAAATAAGTGGTATTCACTTCAAACGTTTACCTTAGTCGCCCAATCCTAAAAGTTGATCTAACGTTCATTTCACCATATCGGCAGTTTAACTGCTTGTTTAAATAGGTACTTATTTGTGGCACTAGTGAGAAAATCTTACAAAGGGCCAGACTGAGTGTTTAATTCAAAGGGGTTCAATTGACTCTCTCCCGTGCTATATGTCAACGTCACAAAGGCAACCGGGATCACATACAGATCGGCTCCATTATGTATTCAGTCAATAAAATAGCATATTTGTAATTATATTCGGTGCAAAATGTTTAAGGTTGCGTTCTGTTAACCTGGTAAAGGAAGAATTTTATTTTAACTATGTAATGAGACGCATCGAAAGTTTTATCAAAGTATTAACCACAGGACGGAGGCGACTAGAGTCTGGATCAGTTTTTTTTCAGTTTTTTCTTAGCACCGGATTTCATTTTTATAGAATGGGAACAAATTTCCAAACAGTGGATTTAAAAAACAAAAAAGGCAAAATATTTGTTAATTCTGACCACCACGCAGTAGTAGTAGTAGTAGTAGTAGTAGTAGTAGTACACTATTAATAAAATTTTGTATGTTCCGATCAACATTGTGATTGATCTATTAAGATTTGATAACTGGGATTATTTCATTATCATGAGCCTTATGTGAAAAAATAATTTTTGAAAATTAATACGGTGTTCTAAATATCAAAATTACCAAGATGATAGACTTTCTCCTTTCCCTTCGTTCTTTTCGTTGAACTCTAGGAGTTTTCTTAACGTCTATGGGTGCTGTTTCTTGCGTCGGTTGAGAATCGAAGAAACTTTGGTCTATTACAATCTGAAAAAGAAACATGTGTAAATTACCGATGTTACTAACATGTTTATAACTCGAGACGTTACTCTATAACACACTGAGAGAAGTGATCACTGTGACTGTGTGTTGTATAATTATACGTATTTTACGAATTTTTCGGCCAATACGAATTTAATGAATATTACAAATTCCACCGAATGTTTAAGTTGTTTAATTACGATTTTAATAACAATATTCTAAGGAATGCACTGTCGTGGCACATGAAATTATTGCTTTATCATTCACAAGGCCACTCATAATGAAGCAAATAAATAACATTTGTTCTTATTCGTTCTGCAACAAAAAATAACAAAAAAAAAACCAAGAAAATAAAGCTTAGCTCTAAAACTATCGCTAATTTCGATTTATTGTGCATCCAATTAATGACGAATTTATAAAATTTTCGGGAAATTGACGGATTAGGTTTGGTCATTATACAGTCACTATACGGTCACGATACGGTCACTAAACTGCCACGATATGGCCTCTATACACGATACGGCTTTTATGTAGCCACTTACGTTCAAATATTTTAAATTCAGAAAATTTGTACATTTATACTTATAGTGGCCGTATCGAATTTTAAAGAAATTTCTACCGAATTGTTCAACTAAACGCTTATTTTAAAGAAATTTCTACCGAATTGTTCAACTAAACGCTTATTATAAAGAAATTTCTACCGAATTGTTCAACTAAACGCTTATTTTAAAGAAATTTCTACCGAATTGTTCAACTAAACGCTTATTTTAAAGAAATTTCTACCGAATTGTTCAACTAAACACTTATTTTAAAGAAATTTCTACCGAATTGTTCAACTAAACGCTTATTTTAAAGAAATTTCTACCGAATTGTTCAACTAAACACTTATTTTAAAGAAATTTCTACCGAATTGTTCAACTAAACGCTTATTTTAAAGAAATTTCTACCGAATTGTTCAACTAAACGCTTATTTTAAAGAAATTTCTACCGAATTGTTCAACTAAACACTTATTTTAAAGAAATTTCTACCGAATTGTTCAACTAAACGCTTATTTTAAAGAAATTTCTACCGAATTGTTCAACTAAACACTTATTTTAAAGAAATTTCTACCGAATTGTTCAACTAAACGCTTATTTTAAAGAAATTTCTACCGAATTGTTCAACTAAACACTTATTTTAAAGAAATTTCTACCGAATTGTTCAACTAAACGCTTATTTTAAAGAAATTTCTACCGAATTGTTCAACTAAACACTTATTTTAAAGAAATTTCTACCGAATTGTTCAACTAAACGCTTATTTTAAAGAAATTTCTACCGAATTGTTCAACTAAACACTTATTTTAAAGAAATTTCTACCGAATTGTTCAACTAAACGCTTATTTTAAAGAAATTTCTACCGAATTGTTCAACTAAACACTTATTTTAAAGAAATTTCTACCGAATTGTTCAACTAAACACTTATTTTAAAGAAATTTCTACCGAATTGTTCAACTAAACACTTATTTTAAAGAAATTTCTACCGAATTGTTCAACTAAACGCTTATTTTAAAGAAATTTCTACCGAATTGTTCAACTAAACACTTATTTTAAAGAAATTTCTACCGAATTGTTCAACTAAACACTTATTTTAAAGAAATTTCTACCGAATTGTTCAACTAAACACTTATTTTAAAGAAATTTCTACCGAATTGTTCAACTAAACGCTTATTTTAAAGAAATTTCTACCGAATTGTTCAACTAAACGCTTATTTTAAAGAAATTTCTACCGAATTGTTCAACTAAACACTTATTTTAAAGAAATTTCTACCGAATTGTTCAACTAAACGCTTATTTTAAAGAAATTTCTACCGAATTGTTCAACTAAACACTTATTTTAAAGAAATTTCTACCGAATTGTTCAACTAAACGCTTATTTTAAAGAAATTTCTACCGAATTGTTCAACTAAACACTTATTTTAAAGAAATTTCTACCGAATTGTTCAACTAAACGCTTATTTTAAAGAAATTTCTACCGAATTGTTCAACTAAACACTTATTTTAAAGAAATTTCTACCGAATTGTTCAACTAAACGCTTATTTTAAAGAAATTTCTACCGAATTGTTCAACTAAACACTTATTTTAAAGAAATTTCTACCGAATTGTTCAACTAAACGCTTATTTTAAAGAAATTTCTACCGAATTGTTCAACTAAACACTTATTTTAAAGAAATTTCTACCGAATTGTTCAACTAAACGCTTATTTTAAAGAAATTTCTACCGAATTGTTCAACTAAACACTTATTTTAAAGAAATTTCTACCGAATTGTTCAACTAAACACTTATTTTAAAGAAATTTCTACCGAATTGTTCAACTAAACACTTATTTTAAAGAAATTTCTACCGAATTGTTCAACTAAACACTTATTTTAAAGAAATTTCTACCGAATTGTTCAACTAAACGCTTATTATAAAGAAATTTCTACCGAATTGTTCAACTAAACACTTATTTTAAAGAAATTTCTACCGAATTGTTCAACTAAACACTTATTTTAAAGAAATTTCTACCGAATTGTTCAACTAAACACTTATTTTAAAGAATAAAGGATCAGGAGGCGCACGCAGAGTCTACTTGTTTAAAACGTGAATAACAAGTAGTCTCCATGTGAGCTATGACGTAGTGTGGCTGGCGAGTAGTACCTAGATGCGTTACCAATATCGCGGTTGCAGGAGTTTGGTTATCTCGTGGTTTACTGTTTATAAGGACGATTAGAATTTAGATCAGTTAGTTCTAGAGACAATCTCTCATATTCGTATACAACTAGGTGTTGTGGTCAAGATAAGTTCTGGACGTGTTATTGTTTGTTGACTATTGTTTATTGCTCGATCAACGATCGTACTTGGTACTGACAAAACTAAGTTAGGAGTCACCCCAACGCAAGAACAGAACTTAAAGTAAACGACTTCTAACATGGTTGTAAGGCTTTTAGATTGTAAGAGTTTGTATTCCATCACTCATCATCATTCATTAAGTTCTAATAAATTTCTATTGTTGGGGAAAATGCACTCAACGAACTTTTAAAAGCAATTTACCGATCCTTTTACCAGATAAGTTACTTAGTCGCCATCTCAAAATGATGTAACGTTCATTCACATATGAGTTTAATGACTTGTTAAAAGTACTATGTTGTGGCACTTTAGGAGAAAGATCTTCAAAGCCAACTGAGTGTTTAATTCATAAGGGTTCAATTGACTCTCTCCATGCTGCATATGTCAAACGCACAAAGGCAACCGATCAGACATCGATCGCTCATTTGCTATCATAAAATCATATTGTATTATATGCGGTGTTGCTACAACTCAAATGTTAAGCTTAGGGTTCGTTTTAACTGGTATAGGAAGAATTTTGATTTTAACTATATGAGTACCACGAAAGTTTAGTCAAAATTAATACCATACCAAGGACGAAGGCGACTAATCTGTCAGTTTTTTCGTTTTCTTTTAAGCACCGATTCATTTTTATAGAATGGGCAACAAATTTCCACGTGGATTAAAAACCATCACAAGGCAATATTTGTTAATTCTGACACCCAAGACGTAGTATATATAGAGTATAGTGTACACTAAGTATAAAATTTGGTATCTGTTCGACTCAACATTGTATTGATAATTAGAGATTTGATGGATTATTTCATAACACTGAGCCTATGTGTTATAAATAATTTTTAATTAATACTGTCTTGAAATTATCCAAAATACATCAAATGATAACTTTCCTTCCCTCTCCAGTCTATTCGTTGAACTGCTAGATTTAATCGTTAACGTTATGGGCTGTTCTTAGCGTCGGTTGAGAATCGAAAGATAACTTGGTCTATTACAATCTGTAAAAATACATTGTAAAATAACGTGTTACTATCTTGTTTATACTCGAGGACGTTACTCTTTAACACATCGAGAATGGTCAATCACTGTGATGTGTGATCGTATTAATTATACGTATTTTACGATTTTTCGGCCAAATGAAGAATGTAAGGATAATTACAAATCCACGAATGTTTAATTGTTTAATTGATCGATTTTAATAACATCATATGAAGGAATGCACTGTGGGCACATTGAAATTATGCTTTATCAGTGTTAACAGGCCACTATAATTGGACAACAAAAAACTTTGTTTCTTATTCGTTCTGCAAAAAAATAACAAAAAAAAACCAAGAAATAAGTTACTCTAAACTATCGCATTTCGATTATGTGCATCCATAATGACGAATTTTATAATTTTCGGGAATTGCGGATAGTTTGTCATTTACACATATACGTCACATCGTCACTAACTTCCACATATGCCTCTATACCTACGCTTTTAGGCGCCACTTAGTTCAAATATTTAAATTCAGAAATTTTACATTAATACTTATTGTGCTATCGATTTTAAGAATTCTACCGAATGTTCCCACCCAACACGCCCTATTTAAGAAATCTACCGATTGTTCAAATTACAACGCTATATTTGAAAAACCTTTCGACCGATTGTAATAACGCGTTTTTTTAAGAAATGTCTCTTACGGAATTGTTCAACTACAACACTGTTAAAGAGATTTCTGACGAATTGTTGCACACACGCTATTTAGAGATTGGCTCCGATTGTTCAACTTAACGCTTTTTAAAGAAATTTTACCGAATGTTCAATCAAACAGTTGTTTTAATATCGTAATTTCTACGAATTGTCAACTACAGTTATTTATAAGAAATTCTACAATTGTTCAGACTAAACTTTTTTAAGAAATTTTACCGAATGTTCAACAAACGCTATCTTAAAGATTGTTCTAGCGGATTGTTTCAATGAATACACTTATTTGTAAGATGAATTTCTCACCGGAAGTTGTTCAGCGTAAACATATTTAAAGAATTTCACGAAATTGTTCAAAGTAAACACTTATTTAAAGAAAATTTCTACCGAATTGTTCAACTAACGCTTATTTTAAAGAAATTTCTACCGAATTGTTCAAAAAAACACTTATTTTAAAAGCAAATTTTCTACCGAATTGTTCAACAAACGCTTGTATTTTTAAAGAAATTTCTAACGAATTGTGCAACTAAAACACATATTTTAAAGAAATTTCCCTACCGAATTGTTCAACTAAACGCATATTTTAAAGAAATTCCTACCGAATTGTTCAACTAAACACTTATTTTAAAGAAATTTCTACCGAATTGTTCACTTAAAATCTATTTTTAAAAGAAATTTTCCTCGAATTGTTCAAACTAAACACTTATTTTAAAGAAATTTCTTCGAATTGTCTAACTAAACACTTATTTTTAAAGAAAATTCTTCTACCGAATTGTTTCAACTAAAACCTTATTTTAAAGAAATTTCCTACCGAATTGTTCAACTAAACACTTATTTTAAAGAAATTTTCAACCGATTGTTCAACTAAACACATTATTTTAAAGTAATTTCTACCGAATTGTTCAACTAAACGCTTATTTTAAAGAATAAAGGATCAGGAGGCGCACGCAGAGTCTACTTGTTTAAAACGTGAATAACAAGTAGTCTCCATGTGAGCTATGACGTAGTGTGGCTGGCGAGTAGTACCTAGATGCGTTACCAATATCGCGGTTGCAGGAGTTTGGTTATCTCGTGGTTTACTGTTTATAAGGACGATTAGAATTTAGATCAGTTAGTTCTAGAGACAATCTCTCATATTCGTATACAACTAGGTGTTGTGGTCAAGATAAGTTCTGGACGTGTTATTGTTTGTTGACTATTGTTTATTGCTTGATCAACGATCGTACTTGGTACTGACAAAACTAAGTTAGGAGTCACCCCAACGCAAGAACAGAACTTAAAGTAAACGACTTCTAACATGGTTGTAAGGCTTTTAGATTGTAAGAGTTTTTATTCCATCACTCATCATCATTCATTAAGTTCTAATAAATTTCTATTGTTGGGGAAAATGCACTCAACGAACTTTTAAAAGCAATTTACCGATCTTTTACCAGGCTTTATAAGCCTATAAAGCAAAAATAATTTATTGTATGGGATATGTTAATCATAGTGATCTCAACTGATTGTAACGTTCATAAATCATGTAAGTATTCACTATAAATAACATGGTTGTAAGGCTTTTAGGGAGATTATGATGCATCACTCATCACTCATCAGTCATCCTCATTCATCAAGTTCTATAATATTCTCGCATTGACCTGGCAATTTCTAAAGAATATATCCACCATCAGTATCTATTTGTCATCACTTTCGCTTTCACTTTCACTATTTTGTTGCGGTTGTTAACTACAACCTCAAACTTTAACCAGGGTCTAGCGTGGTATAAGCGGTCACTATAATTGCTGTTTTTAACTACATATCCTATCCTTGCAGTTTATTCTTGGTTTATTTGCGCTTTATGGCAGCAATATATTCGGAATTCGTGTACTCAACTCGAGTAACTCGATATCACAATTGTACAATTATACCAAAATAAAAAACCAGAAAATCGCAGGATGTCTAACTCTAACATGACTGAAAGGGTGTTTGAGGATGAGATGGTGGAAGCTCAGCTCTCCAAGATCAAAGTATACGGATATACACAAATGGTGATGCTAGTCTCCTCAATAATCATCAACACCACACTTTGCGTTTACTTTGTCCAGAAGAAGAAATACAAGAAGACATTCCACTTGGCTTATCTAAATCAAGCAGGATCGGACATTCTTATAGCTTGCTTTTCAACTACCATTTCACTGCCAGGTTCGGGAAGGTTCATAACATTCCATGAAATTTTACAGATTTTCATGTCAAAACATTGAAATTTTTAATTAATGGAGATTCCGCTAATAAAGTTTTAAAAGTGGACACTGGTCAAGGATTTATATTTTTGAAATCATCGCTGTATTTAACCAAAAACATTCCTATATGTGTTTAATTTTAAGCCAATATCAGTGCCATTTTCATCACTCAGTAACCCTATGCTGGATGCAAACCGAAGAGATAGCAAGGGTATTCTGTAGTCTAGTACCTCCAATACAGATTATGGTGACCCACATCAACTTTCTAGCTGTTATACCCCTCACCTTTGATCGACTGATTGCAGTGACCTGCCCTTTTAGGTAAGCTTTAAATCGATATTTACGAGAACCTTAATACCGTTGTGCTTTGATTGAGTTGAACAATTTAATTATAATAACAATGCTACCTGCCATGACTCAAGTTGAATGACCCTGTGCCACATCGCAGGTACAGAGGGAACAGACGTGCACACAGTATCCTCATCTGTAGGCTGATTGTAGTATTCTGGCTGCTACCCATTTTCCACGGTGTTGTAGCCTGGACCATGCTCTCCATCAAATACTCTGAGAGTTACCACTATAACCCTGACACCTGCAGTTGTTCCCTTCCTCCATACTCACAGGACAGAACTTTCCTATTCCTCTTTCTCTACCTACCAACCCTGCTTTTCATGGTCCTTCCAACTCTTTTCAACATAGGCGCTTACATTCGCATAATTTGGAAGATAACAAAGTTTCGGTTCTCCTTTGGCAGTGCGAGGAGTCAGAGACAGATCCAGACCACAGCTCTAGCTATTAGAACCCTCATGATCACCTCAGTAAACCTCTTATCTTGGCTCCCCTTCATACTGATTTGCTTTGTCTTCAAAGACAGGGTTGGGATTGATGCAAGGAAGATATCTGTCCTGTTCCTTTACATAAACTGCATAGCGGACCCTTTTCTCTACATCTGCTCGAAAAAAATGATATCGAACACGATACAGTGGTACAGTAAATTCTCCACTGGGATACAAAATAAAATGGCAATCAGCAAGAGTGGAGGCTCCGAGCGAACTCGGTCTAGATACTGCATACCCAAACTAGTTATAACCTCCGCAAATGTGATATCAGCTAGTGGGTTATTCTTTGAAGAAGATCCTGTTGTTTGGGCAATTAATAAATCACTTTTTCATTGTGTGTCACGAACTTGAAATTGGTGTGGCAATATTATTCCATACATATAATATTATGATTTCAGAGTACACAGTTTTTTTATTATATAGTGGATGACCATCTACCATGTCAGCGATTCGAAGTTTTTTTAGAATTGTTTTTTAAAGAATGAATTTCTTTTGCTGGACACTTTTGGGAATCCACCGTCCCGGGTTACTGGTTTATCGAGGCTTGATAAATTAGAGTTAAAATGTGTACTTTTATATGTTTCTATTTTGACACCTTTACAGTTCATTTATACCAGATCGGTCATAGTATATTATCCTTCCAGAATGTTCCAAAATGTGTCTGCACTAAATAGTCATACAAACATAGGAAGCTTTTGCGAATAATATGATGATCTTAGTAGGGCAATGGATCTAAAATTTCAACAGTGACGGATTTGTGAATAATCTATAATTAATTGTTTGACATGTTATGAGTTACTTATTTATTGATTATCAAGTGATTTTTTATTCGAAATTGAAGGGCCACATATAATTTATTACTTACATTTGCATGTGCACGACTTCTTTGATGGTTTGCGATCTCTATGGTTTTTTTTTAAATCTAAACATCGTTCTTATCATTTTGATCCGCAGAAAATCATGAAAAAGTTAAACTTGGTGGGATTTGAAGAGCGCACCATTTTAAATAGTAAATAGGAGGGTGGTTGTAGGAATGGCGATCGAGCTAAATAATTGCTAAATAAAAGTAGTAAAGGCTTAAATCTAATAGCATTGTGGTATCTAAAACACGTCACTCGTTCAAAGGTTGGAGATGGGGCACTTAGTCTCGAATCACACTGCAAGGATATCTAGTCTCACATTGCACAGCCTCCATTATTTTTTACTCGTATTTAAATATTTAAATAACACGGTTAGTTTTTAAGATTTTATTTTTATAGCTTTCTCTCGATTTTTAGAGTTCTGATCGTCTTTATGAATTGTTGTATTACCAAGACGAGTTCGTCTGTGTTCTCCTTGGTCATTTCATGTTTAATTCCTGTTTAATTCCCTGTTTAATTCCTGTTTAATTCCCTGTTTAATTCCTGTTTATTTCCTGTTTAATTCTTGTTTAATTCCTTTTTAATAATTAATTCCTGTTTAATTCCTTGGTGTGCAACCAGAAGACACTTGGTGGAGACATATAGAACACCTAATACTTGTAACGGATGTAACGGATGTAACGGATGTAATAAGCTTGCTTCCAGGGATGATATTGAATACTCAGATATTTAATCACTCTAGCAGGTATGTCTGATACTACATGAGCTCAATCTCACAGTATCTTACTCTGTACAGCGTGCAAACCTGTATCTTAATCTAATCAGGATGCTTCCGAGCACTCTGCAGAGGATGGAGAGTTTGCTGGTTAATAAAATATGGTGTCCTTCGATTCTCCTAAAAGGAGCCAGTTACTTAGTCGAGACATGACAGATTAGATGGGACGTGTAACCGGGCAGAATTAAATTATGGTGGCGGTATAGTAAAGATGAACTTGAACACAATTTACATTAAACATACTTAATTCCTGTAAAATTTAAACTATAAACCTGCGTCACAGACAGCAATATATTGGTAAATTTATAATTAAGCACAATATTTGAATAATTTCAAAATTAAAACTCACGTCTGCACAGGACTTTCTTCTGACGATGTTCCGTCTCGGGTTCGGACTGTTTGGTATCGCCTAAAACATCATCATGTCAAGGGCACGGATAATATTTCGAGCATTTAATCAGTAAGTCAATTAATATTGATTGGTATTTTGTGTTTCATTTATTGAAGGTGTCAGTAGAAATGCAAATCATAAAAAGTATCAAAGCATTCTACACAAATTTCGAACTCGCATTAAGATAACACATAACATTTGTTTGCCTCCTAGTAAAAGCGTTTTGATCTTTTGCAGATTGAACGTGACAGAAAGGACAAAATCACGCGCCCAAAATAGAAGCTATACAAAAACTGGTTTCAATAAAATACGATCGATCGCTCCGAAATTGGTATCGGTCCAAAAATTAGCATGAGGTCAGTTGTCGAGACACAATAAGGGAGACATTGTGCACGCTATACAAGAGAAACCGCAGATAAACGAGTTGCAGAGTGCATGGCGCTGGCAGTTGGGTATAAGCTCCCCTATACACATGTACACTTGTCGACCAGCTCAATCCTTAGAAGTACAAAGATTACCAACTATGAAGTGTCGGGTTACTGGACCAACAGTGAAGTCATGGAGGCGATCTCTTTCTAGCTTCAATTGATATTGACTGTTGACAATAGCAGTGGGCAGCGATGAGTTGTGTTAAAGGACATACCGCTCAAAAGTCCATTTACAGGAGACTTGAAACTAATAAGTGAGAGGCCCTCCTCCTTGCTATTTTAGCTCTGATGTTTCATCTTGATTCTGGCGATTAAACGAAACTATCAGCACATAACCGGCATGAAGTAGCAATAAAAATAATATGTACAAGTGCAGTTTAACAACTAGAGGTTGCCGGAATAGTGCTAAAAGATGTGTTTCGAGTTAACCGACGGAGCATGACAAGCTCAAACTAAAAACAAGATAACGTCATGGAGGGCCAGTCCTACAGCTCATCAGCTGGAGATGATTCAGTTTGCATATCAAAACTGACAGAGACACGATCAGAGGCTAAGTAGCAATTATAGCTGGAGATGTGGCCACGTTAGAGATGTTTCTTGGCTGGGTCAGTGCAGCTGCGTTTAACTGGACAAATCCCAGCCCTATATCCAGACGTTAACAAGATTTGCTTTTTGGTTCGATAACGAATTTTTTAATTGTTCAATTTTGAGCTGAACGGAAATGCTTCACGTGTGTATATCGAATTATATACTTGTTCATGTGATAGTTAAAAAGTGAATTATACAATAGAGTTAAACGACGTAACAGCTAAATATACACATATGTACAAGGCCGCGAGTCGACATAAATAATTATAATATTCAACAGATGTCTTCTTACCACTCGGCTGAACAGTATATCCTTCACTGTTGGCATTGTTCCGGGTTTTCTTGGCTGGAGCTAGAGTTGAGAAGTTGACAGTTGTCAACACGTACGTAACCCCCCAAACTTTAGACTAAGTTTGCAGAAACAGCGGCAGCTTTAAAAGTCACAAGGAAGTTAGACTCGTTTATGTGCTACTAGAATGTCAATCAACTATATTAAGCAACAGTTTAAACTTGGATCGAAAGTATGAAGATTCGTTTTCCAGTATATGCAACTATGCACGCCCGCAAAAATAATCGGTTTTAAAAGAAAGAGAGTATGCACATTGCACACATACATACGTCAAATCAAGAAGTACAATGTTTAGAAACTTAAATCGGAGCTGTAACAGGTAACTACGGATCAAATTAGGAGCTTTGACAGAGCATGTCATATTTGTGCCTGTCCAAGAAAAAAAAACTAATCGGACTAAAAAAGTACACGGTAAGTGAACATCCAATTGGCAGCAAGCAGCAACCTGGCAGAAAAGCTACTTATACGGCCGGATTTATACATTCGGCCAGCCAAACTCTCTCCCCTGGTTGAAGAGCTAATATATTTTTACCGCAAGGAAAGAATCGGGTGTCATCATAGTACAATAATATACTGTATTAAATGACGAAATTTACCTGAATATATTGTCGGAAAGAATAAAGTCAGTGACACATGACGAAATTGGGTATTTATGAGATTCTAGATACAAGTTGGTGGTAAAAATTAATACTTTTGATATTACCTGACTTAATTCAATTAGCATGTGTATACACGACTGGGCATGTATTTACAAAATTTCATCTTGTATTATCACATGTTTAACCGCAGCATATTTTAAGTGTTGCATGTGTTAATGCCATGAAGAAAACTTAGAAAAAGTTCTAGCCACATCAAAGAAAAATGGTTAACCACTCTTCAAATAATATCATAACCATGTTATATGTCTATTCAGAAACACGACAAGTTTCGATTTCAGTTATTACTTCTAGACGTCGCATTTGATTCATCAATTCAATTTAAAATAAAAGTAAAATATCAAAATTCCAATTGATTTATGTAATATGGGAATTGGGAATCAGCATGAAAAGTATACAAAATCGGGAGATGTAATCAACTTATAATGGAATTCACCAACATGACAGTTCTAAAATATGTATCTACGTAACCTGTAATTCTAAAATCTGGTGGGACAATTGTTGAAATAAAATCATTTTCCCCGAAAATGAATTCACCCACATCGCAATATTATGCATAGTATTATTTTATCATATGCTAAGAATAGTTTGCTATTTCTGATCTGAATTATTGAAAGAAAATGGAACATTTTTCAGCAATTTTCAATTTAATCAACTGCGGTTGGAAGTAATTGTGATACACGTAATTAAGAATTTGTCGATAAAAGATGCAGAACTGGAACAATTAAAAGCGCCATAAATAAACTCGGGGTTCAGCGAGGGTGCAACAAACAATTATTTGACAGCGAACTATTAGTTGTGGGGATTAATGGATAGAAACTGACCTGTTTAAACTGATCTTCATCCAGTGGCGAGAGAATTCCCTCTAATTCCGTTGCGTTTTCATTCCCTGTGTTTTCTTCGAGACGAAGATCGAGACTCAAATCTGGGTGGAGAAGTAAGGATAAATTATAAGCCAGCACTTAAAAGATGCATATTTGAATACTGATGTCACTGATTCGTGGCGAAGCCCCCATTTCTTCCCCTAGGAGACTACTAAACTAGGGCCTCAGTTATGGTGGGGTTTCATAGTTCTACAAATAAGTGCAGTGCCAGGTTGGTGCTGTCTGTCTCCAAAGGAATTAGAGAATGGTTTCACCAATCATCACTCTCAGAAGACAAAGCACCACATTTAATTATGACCTGTGGACTCACTATTAAAATACAGTATTTTTAAACAGAGGGATTCTTGGCTGAATAACCTGGTCGATTGTCGGAGCTCATCTGTGGAGAACTTGTAGTTTCACATAGCAGATCTTTTGAAAGTTCTATTTCTTCAGATGGTACTGGAGAGAGATCGTCTAGGTTGGCAAAATCCATCTCCTTACCACCATCTTCTCCAGGAGACGAGTCAGACTGAGGAGATCTGTCAGTTTGATGTTCTGAGCAAATCTTTAGTGAAACATTAGTTTTCATCGACAAATCTGGAGAAGGTTCCAGATCCTCTCGAGTAGCAGCAGATATGTCTTGATCAGTGACCGAATCCATTCGCTCGCCACCGTCTTCTGCTAGATCCTCTTCAGTAGCAGCAGATATGTCTTGATCAGTGACCGAATCCGTCTGCTCGCTACTTTCGTCTGGTGAAAATTCAGACTGAGAAGAGTTTTCGGGATTTTGTCGAACAATGTCATCATCAGGAATACTTTCATTAACTGGAGAACTTTTACCTTCTGAGAAAATTTGACAGTCGGGATGACTGTTGCAATCAGTAGGAGTTTTATCTAATACATCATCTCCAGCAGTTAGCTCCAACTTTCGAAGAGGTAAGGGGGTTGCTTCAGCATCGATCTCATCAATATCTTCCAGGAGTTCAGCAGTGCCATCTGGAAATGCTTGAAGCACGTCATTGATAATGTCATTTGTGCGTGGATCATTGTCATGGGGCAGTTCAAATTCAGGAAAGAAGTCTTCATCATTTATGTCAAAGGGAAATATCTTGCCTCCTATGACAGCATAAGGTTGTCCGGAGAACTGGAGCACCTCGCTTTCGGATATCTCTGACGGGTTTCTGGTATGAGTGTGACGGTGAGAGAGAGAAACGCATACACTCGAATCTTCTTCCGACGGAACAGAATAGTCCTTCTCAATGTCAAACGTATCTTCATCGTCTCCAGAATAAGTGCTGTCTAAAGACTGGTCGTTCAGTTTTAGACTAACTGCTTCTGGTGCCTCCGCAGAGATTTCAGATGAGTCTGCAAGTTGCTGACCCTCTCCAAAAGATAACGTATTGTCTGGGGATTTTATCGGGTTAGATACCTCTTCACACGGAGCTACGTTCAGAGATGACGAGTTCTGAGCTGACGATTCGATAACCTCTATCTCAGATACTGTTTTTTCTGATGTTTCCTTTATTTCATCTTTTTGAATTAGAGAGGCTGCTTCCAGAATATCTTCTTTGTTTTCGCTTTCCATTTACATACGAATTTAACTACCACTCTTAGTACCACTTGAGATCACGACCTGTATAAAATAGCAAGATGAAGCATACTCCAACACACAGCGGGCAAACACCCAACAAAATTGTAAATTCAAAAGAGTAAAATTCTTAACTCTGCAACAGTTCTACATTACAGTTACACTGAGCAGCAACCGAGCGGAAATGCGATTATTTACAAGTATAATCAATAGCGCAAATTTGGAAATTCTACGACCAGTCATAGTAGAAAGTTAAAACTGGCAACACACGACATTGCTTTGATCGTCGGGAAAAAAACTAGAGTTGAAACTAAAAACAGTTTCAATAAATTTTCGACAAAACTTAGACTGAACAATTACGCGGATTTACGATCAAAATATGATGCATTAGATTAACCCATTAGGGATGAGTGGTTAGTTTATGTCTCCTGTCATCTATAACATTAACATTCTAGAGGTTATAGATAACAAACCAAAATGCTAAACTCCACAAATCTTGTGCACAGATGCTCAAAATACATAGGGCTACATTATTGAACTCACAATATGGACTCGAGGAATCACTAACAATTAAATAATTAAGCCAATAGTAATAATGAATAAGACGTGATAAAAAGGGACATAAACAACCAACTCGTGGGTTACACAATGCCTGTTCTTTAAACGTAACGGTGACATGTCAAAAGTTCCACTCAAGCTGAGCTATTCAAAGCGTGCCAACGAATTACCAAAATTTGCGAAAAATGCATAGCTAATATAAACTAATTAATTCGGGCAAACCGTTTACATTAACAGGTCAGCCAGGGACAGCACAGATCCAATAATAGCAGAAAATTGTTGTTATTTTTAGTTCCATACAACTTCATTCCTTAATTCGAGAGGTTCGCTTATGAAAGAACAACCGAAGATTTGTATGTTAATGACATATAAATTCAGCAAGCACGCAGCTTTGGCTTTAATTATAAAACAGCAGTAGTTTTGAAGATTAACAATCAGATTAAATTGACCGGCAGATAGCAAGTATGTACCAATCCAACACTTCTTGTCATTCTGAAAATTAAGAAAGTTGGCATCCACCGAGTCTGGAAGTTTGGAATGAACATAAGGTAACTGTCGCACAGATAATTTGTAATCAACCACTATTATGGCGTAGCCGGTTGAGTAATTTTGAAGAGGCAGACCATTAATTGAACGGTGGTTTTTTGTTGATGACCACACAGATTAACAGCAGCTATGGTTTTTAAATTCTGGCCAGTTAACATTTAACTGATACAATACGAAGGGAAAAAAATGTATAATGGTGATTCTTTTATGTATACAAATACGCAACATTCATAAGTCCACGATACTAAAATGCTTGTAACTTAAATACGTGTTGGCATTTCCCTTGCACAAAAATTGCTTTAATTATCACTGCCATCAAAGTTCTGACTTCTCAGCAGGCTACTTCTTAGCCTGCCTCACCGACCTGCTAAACTTGGTGATAATAATGGATATAGGTATTGTCATGATGGTCAGATTGAGAATTGTATAAAGTGCTGACACGAATTTGCCCAAGTTAGTGGCAGGTGACAAGTCCCCATATCCAACAGTCCCAATAGTGACCACACAAAACCACATTCCAGAGAAGGCTGACTTGAAGTCGTTTTCCCCGTGGGCGTGTTCGATAAAGAAGATGAGGGGTCCAAAGAGGAGAACTCCAATGCTCCACATGAGAAGAAGTAACATGATTTCAGGGAGAGAAGCAAGGAGGAAGGTCATCATAGTCTGGCTACCTCGGGAGTGTCTGAACAGCTTCATTACTCGGAGTAGTCGGATAAGACGCAGTACTCGGAACCCTCCTACCTGGCAGATAGAGAGGACAATAAGACGAATTGTAAACTGTATTTTATAGTTTTATAAGTATAAGTTATTAATAATAACACAGCTTTGCAAATCAATATAACAATCAAACAGACCTGGTTAAAGAAACTCCCAGCGATGAGTCTCAGATAGAAAGGTAATATTGAGATAATATCGATCCAGTGAAGCACGCTTTTAAAGTAATCCTTCCACGGCGAGTAAACGAGGAGGAGAAGGAGAGCCTGGATTGTGAAGTACACGTTCACACACGCCTCAACTATTTGTGCCACCTGAAAAGTGAAAAAGTGCCAGTGGTTTTCCTTGTTCTTAAGACTGCAAAATTAATGTTGAAAGTAAATTCTCGTATGGAATTGGGAAATCACTTACGGTCAGCATTCCTATATCTTATTACTATAAGACATTTTGACTGGCACGATCAAATACCTACTACGGAGAGTAAAACTTAATAAGAACGAAATAAAATGATACAATTTATCTCACCACATTAAAGTATGGTTGGCGGGTGAGTTCTGGAATAGATTCCAGCACCAGCGTCATCGTACTGAGGATATAGAGACACAGTTAATGGTCAATTCTGCTGTTTTCTGACAAATTTGTTTGAACACCATTTTTGAAATTCTGAATTCTTTAACCCAAATTTATTTGTTGGGGTCAAAAAATATCCCTGAAAACCATCAGAACCAATCGCTTGCCCCAAGGAACCACCTTTTGGAACCACTTAACATGTCAAAATTTGTCAAAATGCGTCAAAGGTGCTCAAAAACCTCGGATTTTTGAGTGATCTTCAAGCACATTTGTCAGAAAATGGCTGTAATATTTTGTAAACGATGTTTATAATATTTCTCAATATGAGATACAAATTTTAAAACACCTGAGAACTATAACGCAGATGTCGAATATGGCATACGCTTTCGCTGTTTGCGAAAAGTAGGGAAACTGCAGGGTGCAAGATAGCCTATCTTTCCAGGTTTTGGGATCCAACACTTCTGGGCCACCATTAACCACCGACTTCAAGCCCTGGAAGTAGGGCAACAGTCCGTAAAACTCCATACAATCCTGAAAATAGGTGTATCGAATAATTTCCTGTCACAATTAGTCAGAATCACTTCTACAAGCTACGGTATAAAGGTGGAGACTACCCAACGTATATTGTATGACTATGTAATTAATTAAATTGTATAATGTATCATGTATGTTATATATTGTATGTATGATGTGTAATGTATGTTGTATATTGTATGTATAATGTATCATGTATGTTATATATTATATATATGATGTGTAATGTATGTTATATATTGTATGTATGATGTGTAATGTATGTTGTATATTGTATGTATAATGTATCATGTATGTTATATATTATATATATGATGTGTAATGTATGTTATATATTGTACTAGAAACCCGCTAGTCGAAAGCTTTGTTCGAGGAAATTTTAAAAATCAGTTATGTTTTAATTTCTCTTCATCATACAGCTCTGTTATACAGTAGACATAATGGAATTTATTTAACAATGGCAACAGCGTTGTTAGTATTCGGATTCCCAAAACGATACTTTTTACCGCATCAAAAAATACCAATCACAACCAAAGTTATGAATATAAGTCATAGCGTGAGCGTAAATATGAGCTAGTTTTGAAGTTATGACGTAGCATACAGCATAACAACGCGCGTAGTTAAGATGTTCTTGCTCGCGCACGTGCATTTTAACGTTGCTACGCAACAGCGCAGTAAACCTTTGCTAAAATAACGACATTATTCTAACGGTTATTTTACCTCACTTCCGACGTTAATTATAAAAAATCTAAAGCCTAAATCAAAATTCTAAGAATGCTATAGCCTATTCCTATCCTTTTTCTACAACCCTGCTAAAAATGGCGAGGTTTCAACTCCATTTGCGAGCTGGGTTTGGCATCACCAGAGGGTCATTTTGAGGTCGATTTTCGGTGTTTTTTCTTCTATGTCCCCGTTGCCGGGGAAATTTCGTCAAGTTTAAATTATAGTATAGACTAGAAAACCTGTGGTCACAGGGAGGAAGCTAATATTGATAGTATTTTTTCTTAGTAAGTTTAAATCGCGTCAAAAAATATCCATCACAACCAAAGATAAAGCCAATTAAAATGTTGCTCGTACTAAACACATTGTAATATCGACAAAACTGATCAAAATGACGTTAAAACAATCATTGCACGTGCACGTGCGTGTAACAATCCTCGTTACCATGGTAACTACGCAACTTCCTATTTCTCGTCTGATTTGCACGTGGGCGGTCGTACATACATTCTACAAAAAGAATCTTTTGAATTATAGTAGAGATGTATGATGTGTAATGTATATTGTATGATGTGTAATATATGTTATATATTGTATGTATGATGTGTAATGAATGTTATATATTGTATGTATGATGTGTAATATATGTTATATATTGTATGTATGATGTGTAATGTATGTTATATATTGTATGTATGATGTGTAATGTATATTGTATGATGTGTAATGTATGTTATATATTGTATGTATGATGTGTAATGTATATTGTATATTGTATGTATGATGTGTAATGTATGTTATATATTGTATGTATGATGTGTAATGTATGTTATATATTGTATGTATGATGTGTAATGTATATTGTATGATGTGTAATGTATGTTATATATTGTATGTATGATGTGTAATGTATGTTATATATTGTACTAGAAACCCGCTAGTCGAAAGCTTTGTTCGAGGAAATTTTAAAAATCAGTTATGTTTTAATTTCTCTTCATCATACAGCTCTGTTATAATACAGTAGACATAATGAAATTTATCTAACAATGGCGACAGCGTTGTTAGTATTCGGATTCCCAAAACGATACTTTTTACCGCATCAAAAAATACCAATCACAACCAAAGTTATGAATATAAGTCATAGCGTGAGCGTAAATGTGAGCTAGTTTTGAAGTTATGACGTAGCATACAGCATAACAACGCGCGTAGTTAAGATGTTATTGCTCGCGCACGTGCATTTTAACGTTGCTACGCAACAGCGCAGTAAACCTTTGCTAAAATAACGACATTATTCTAACGGTTATTTTACCTCACTTCCGACGTTAATTATAAAAAATCTAAAGCCTAAATCAAAATTCTAAGAATGCTATAGCCTATTCCTATCCTTTTTCTACAACCCTGCTAAAAATGGCGAGGTTTCAACTCCATTTGGGAGCTGGGTTTGGCATCACCAGAGGGTCATTTTGAGGTCGATTTTCGGTGTTTTTTCTTCTATGTCCCCGTTGTCGGGGAAATTTCGTCAAGTTTAAAATATAATATAGATGTATGATGTGTAATGTATGTTATATATTGTATGTATGATGTGTAATGTATGTTATATATTGTATGTATGATGTGTAATGTATATTGTATATACTGCAGCTCACCTCAAAAGTATCTTTAGGCATACAAGGAGGACAGACCAGCTCTTCTTGGTGAGTGTAGAACCTCAAAATGGCGGGAAACACGTACTTGTTGTGTTCTATAAAGTACTCGTCCCTTTTAGGGCGGTAAAACTCCTCAAGACGCTCAGAACCAAGGAGAGTGTCGGGGTAAAGGGAAAAGATTTCTGTTTCTATCAAAAAGTAACTTCCGCTCACATTGAACACCTGTAAATATTTGGTATCGTCTGATAGTGGCTTGCTTGCAACACCTATTTAGCTTGTTGGAAACTCGTTATTTCCTCAATATAAAGTTGCTAGGAAAGTTGAAGGTGATTATATCAATTGATCGAAGGAAGCACGAAATTGCGAATGAATTCTGCTCACCTTAAATTCTGGGTCAAATGTATTATTATTATCCTCTTTCCAGCTGCATGTCGCAGCTTGTTCTGAATCGCTGTCAAAACTGTCTGATCCTCTACTGAGGATGGGACTGATCGTTGAACAGAACCCTTTTTGTCCTCTTGATCTTCTCCTTTCTCCTCTCCCCCCACCACATCTGGAGTTAAATTTGGGACTATAGGAAATCTCTGCGTCCCGGAATAGCATGGGCATAAAACTGTTCCTCAGCCGACGTACTTTGCTACTAGCAAGGCTTCGATGGCGGCTTTTAGGCCGCATTTTTCCAGCATTGGAATCATTGGCTGATCCATTCTGAGATCTAATCTTATCCAACCTAATCGGCAGTGGAGAGGGAGTTGCATTTCTTTGATCATGATTGCTGCTCAAATATATTTTGTTCATTCTGGAAGGTGACCGAATAAGTTGTAGCTCATCAGATAACTGTCTTTCGTAGAGTGACTTGGCAAACTGTAGGAGCTTAGAATTCATCATGATTTAGGGTCACTCAGCAATATAATGGTCAATGTATGGAGGCCTTCGACCAAAACTTAGTAGCAAGGTTCGATAATAAAATGGATTGATCGAGGAAAATTGCTTGCGAAATGCGCATGACGCACACGGTACAGTTAAATGAGTAATTTGTATTTTTAATGATTATAATAAGGCTGATCAGGTAAAACCGTCAGCAAACCTATGGACATGAATCTGATGCACAGTTGATTGAACACATGAACTAATTTAAAATGTTGTTTCGGGTATAAACACGACATGTTTTAGACTAATTCTCTTACTAATTCAAATAAGTAAGAGAATATCAGCTAAATTATAACGTATGCCAGCTGCATGAATAGATAATTAGGTATATTAGTCAAGCAAAAGGGTTCAGCAAGACAGAGCATTTTGATCATGATTTGGAATAAGTCAGAATTATCAATGAAGCATGAGCATTGTCATCATGAACAGGGATTCGGCAAAGCTATCTCTAAGGGCAGAACTTTTTCAAAGGAATGCAAAGCTTAAGCCTCCGCAAATAAAGTTGGAAGTTCGATAAATGTTTGAATATAACGAAACGTTCCGATCGCTAGAATACTAGAAATCTACCGCCGATCTGATTTATGTATACACGCATACCACTTTCAAAATAAACCCCGATATCTCTGTCATTACCGTCATCTAATAAGGCTATAATCACTAAAACTAAGATGATGACTTGATGAGCGCTTCAGTGCGTAAACTGATAGTCGGAACACTATTTGATATTAGTCAGCAACAATTCAGCACCAGTGCTACCAGTGCTACTCTTCCGTTATCAACTCTATTCTGCCTCAATCCTACTCATATCGAGTTGCAAATCTTTGCTTTGTAGGAGTAAACTGTAATAAGAATACGCCATGATGATGAAGAAACTGCGGCAAATTGATTTAGTTCATCCGGTCACATGCTTTTAATTTATTATTGAACCCAACTACTTTATGACTATGTTGATAAATAGGCTGGTTTGGTGCCCGCATCATAACATACCCTATAATGGACTCTTTTGTGGTTAGACCAAGTATAAGGGGCCTCAAATAAGGGATGCTCGCACCTCTCTAGTCAAATTTAAGCTCAATAGAATAGCAATTTAGAAAAATTGATGAAGTAATAAATAGATTGAACTACGTATTAAAGAATACACTAGCGCAGACACATATTATACCCAGAGCAGTTAGTCTGTCATGAAATATTGTCATAGACTCATCTGATACTGTATTAATGTTATACAGATACATAGACTCATCTGATACTGTATTAATGTTATACAGATACATTGATGACCCTTTTAGAAACAACAGCAATTTAAATGAACTACGAATTGCTGAACAGATTAAGCAACACTGTAGCGCCGACCTAGTCAACCACAGCTTTGCATCTAAGATGAAAGACAAGTCCGTGATAAACGATTGCAACAGACTCATTCAAAATAATATTATATCGTTTCATTGAACCCCCATTTTTTTCTATTTAAGGCAGATGTGCATACCATTTTTTCCATTTCTTTGTATTAATGTCAGGCGATAGATGAAGCAATCAGACTTGGAGCAATCAGACCTGAGTACCATTGACACATTAATTTCTGTGCAAGTGTAAGACTGTAAAGTGCAAACTATGAGCAGCCCAAAAAGTGAGCAGTATAAGAGGGCAAATAGTTCGAATAAGGGTAATCCAGGGCCGATAAGGAAGGTGGACATGCCAGCGTAAAACTGTAATGAGCCAAAATTAAACAAAACAAACTCACATACTACCAAAGGTGTGACTTCCCAAAAAAACTATGTAATAAACAATGTAAAACAATAAGCTTCAAACATTAGAAAACCAATTACCTTGAGTCACCAAGGTAACTCTGACAAAACTCTGCTAGTTCTGTCGAATTGGGTCTCCAATACCTCTTCTTCCTCGACGACACTGACTTTTGTTTCTTCATACCGACCGTCATCTTGTTAAGTCCATCTAGCACAGAGTATCCGTCCATTACTGGACCCGGCCTATAGGGGGTCAATTTTAACAAATATGCAGTCAGATGCAAATAAATAACTATTTAATCATGTATAGTGTATAGTGTATTTTATTTTGTATATACTGTCATCCGTAGGGGCCGTGCCTCACCACAAAGCCTCGCGGTGGAGAGAAAGGGCAAGGATCATTATCATGCGGTCCCTTGGGGTCTGGGCAACAAACACACCTTTTGGAAAGGTACGTACCGTTTACTATGTACGGTGCTTGGGGAATGCAGGGACAGAGGTACCAACTACATATTGTAGTAATTGTACAGATAGTAATCATGAAGTATTATTATTTAGCATTTACGTGAGATTCTGTATTATTATTTAGCACTAACTTGTTATTCTGTTCGGTCTGTGTGTATCTGGCAGTGTGTTGATCTCCAACACAGCAATCATTGGGATCCGTTACAGATACCGATACCATTTCAACACAGTGGCAGTAATGTAACACCTTATTTACATCATAGAAACAACGAGAAAACCTTAACTGTCATGGAGTTCATTATAACACATAACAAAGCAACTTAAACGAATTAATAGCATATGTATGAATGTTTGCAACGATTGTTTGAAATTAATCACGGGTTAGCGACGATGATTAAAGTTAATTTACTTTACAATTGATGATCACAATGAAGCTAATACGGTCGAGCATCAACAAATTATTTCCTTAATACCATCCGGCGAGGTGGTGCGATCTTGTTATAAATGTAAACGAGCGTTTATTAATACTTCACGTAGTTAGTTGATGTGACGATAATTCTCCACATGGTTCAGGTCAGGTTGGATCTTGTAACTCAGTTAGTCAGGGTATGCGCTCAGAGTTTGCTTTCAAACCTAAACAACTCACTTATAAAACATAAGATGAGTATTGTAAATGTAATGATAGCGAATTTTCTAGTGACACGGACCAAGTATTTGTAACTCTTCGATTTATGATTCAAAACCAATAGCTCGTATAAATTTAAAAGCATTATCTGAATACTTCTACTCCTAGGTTACCTACTAAGTACTATAAGTATATAACGAATAATTTGAGAAAACTACGGAGTCTTATAATTGCTCAGACCTTGGCTCCGGGCTATTTAGTTGGATTAGACCGCTCAAGAACCAATATCATCTACAAGTATAACAATCTATTCAATCTATTCATGATTATAATTGCGTCATAGAATTTACCAAAACCCAAAATTGGGTAGATTGGACCCTGGCATGGCCAGTGTCATCTTCCAAACAAAAAGAAATTTTATTAATTTGAATTGTTTCAAAACGCTAAAATATGATGCTGGGAATGAAATCGGTCGCTCGCTTTTAATTCATGGTTTGCACATTTTTGCGGGTTTAGGTTTATCACATTGCAATCAAACTCAGTCGAAATTTCTTTGGGTTGCTTTAGGGAAACCTAGGGAAACTTAAGAGTACAATAAATCATCAATTATTTGTGAATTAATGGGAAAATGGAGTTAACCTCCTTTACTTCCCGATACCGGATAATCCTGAAACTTGAACAAAACTTTGGGGGGGGGTCCAACCCGATCATTTCCGATCATTCCGATCCCGATTTTGGCCTCATCAACCCTCATATCGGAAAAATCGGGAAAATTTAAATCTTTCCTCTGAGGTTTCTAGGCGATATAGGTAGCTATTTCTGTACTTAAATATGACAAGAAATCGATTGGTGGTGGTCCCAGAACCCCAAAATGGTTTCTAGTTCCAAACAAGAATCGTTTCGTCCGAAAAACAACACACTGTCGTATCAACTCTTGTTTGACAGAAACATCCACCCCGGTCCACAATTGAAAGAGGTACGGTTGGTAATAACAATAGTAACAAATAGGGAACGCTTTAGTAACTTTTGATTTAAATTGTCTCCACAATTTGTAACAGGCTATCTGCAGAAATGGGTAGCACGGTTAATGACCATTGACCATGGTCCTTTCTCAAACTTCCAATCCTCAGTTAGATACAAAGAATAGTCTACACAATTTTAAATAAAATTAAAAGAAAGGAGGAGGAGGAGAAGGAGGAAGACTGAGGAGGAGGAGGACTGACGAGGAGGAGAAGGACCGAGAAGGACAGAGGAGGAGGAGGAGGACTGAAGAGGAGGAGGACTGAAGAGGAGAGGGAGGACTGAGGAAGAGGAGCAGGATTGGTGAGGAGGAAGAGGAGGACTGAGGACGGGGAGGAGGAGGACTAAGAGAACGCGAGGGCTAAGGACGAAAAGGACTGAGGACGAGGACGAGAGCGAGGACTGAGAAGGAGGACTGATAAGAAAGAGAAGGAGGAGGAGGAGGAGGACTGAGGATGAGGAGGAGGAGAAGGAGGACTGGGGGAGGACTGAGGAGGAGGACTGAGGACTGAGGAGAAGGAGGACTGAGGAGAACAGAGGAGGACCAGGACGAGGACTAGGAGGATGAGGACGAGGACTAAGGACGAGGACTAGGAGGATGAGGACGAGGACTAAGGACGATGAGGATGAGGACGATGACTAAGGACATGAAGAGGACGACTGAGGAGGAGGACTGATTAGGAGGAGAAGGAAGAGGAGAAGGAGGAGGAGGGTGAGGAGGAGAACTGAGGAGGAGGAGGAGGAGAAGGAGGAAGACTGAGGAGAAAGAGGAGGACTGGGGAGGAGGAGAAGGACCGATGAGGACTGAGGAGGAGGAGAAGGACCGAGGAGGACTGAGGAGGAGGAGGACTGAGGAGGAGGAGGACTGAAGAGGAGAGGGAGGACTGAGGAAGAGGAGCAGCTGATTGGTGAGGAGGAGGAGGACTAAGGAGGAGGAGGACTGAGGAGGAGGACGAGAGCGAGGACGAGGAGGAAGACTGAAGAGGAGGACTGATAAGAAGGAGAAGGACGAGGACTGAGGAGGAGGACTGATGATGAGGAGGAGGAGAAGGAGGACTGGGGGAGGACTGAGGAAGAGGTGGACTTGTTGAGGACTGAGGAGGAGGACTGATAAGAAGGAGAAGGACGAGGACTGAGGAGGAGGACTGATGATGAGGAGGAGAAGGAGGACTGGGGGAGGACTGAGGAAGAGGAGGACTTGGGGAGGACTGAGGAGGAGGAGGACTGGGGGAGGACTGAGGAGGATGATGAGGAGGAGGACTGAGGATGAGAAGGAGGAGAAGGAGGACTGGCGGAGGACTGATGAGGAGGTGGACTGGGGGAGGAGGACTTAGGAGTAGGAGGAGAAAGAGGAGAAGGAGGAAAAGGAGGAGAAGGAGGAGGAGGACTGAGGAGGAGGAGGAGGACTTAGGAGGAGGAGGAGAATAAGGAGAAGGAGAAGGAGGACTGAGGAGGAGAAGGAGGAGGACTGAGGAGGAGAAGGACTGAGGAGGAGGACGAGGAGGATGAGGACGAGGAGGAGGAGGAGGAGGAGGACTGACGAGTAGGAGGAGGACTGGGGAATGAGGAGGAGGAGGACTGAGGAGGAATAAGATGAGCGCTGAGGAAGAGGACTGAAGTCTGAAGAGGATGAGGAAGAGGAGGAGGACTGAGGAGTAGGACTGAGGAGGAGGAGGAGGACTAAGGAGAAGGATGAGGAGGATGAGGAGGAGGAGGACTGAGGACGAAGACTAAGGAGGACGAAGACTAAGGACGAGGACTAGGAGGATGAGGACAAGGGTTAAGGAAGAGGAGGAGGACGACTGAGGAGGAGGACTGATTAGGAGAAGAAGGAAGAGCCCGAAGAGGAGGATGAGGAGGAGGACTGAGGACGAGGACGACTAGTGTAGGACTGAGGATGAGGACTGATGAGGAGAAGGAGGAGGAGGACTGAGGAGGACGATGAGGAAGAGGAGACTGAGGAGGAGGAGGAGGACTGTTGAGGAGGAGGAGGAGGATGATAAGGAGGAGGACTGAGGAGGACTGAGGAGGACTGAGGAGGAAGACTGAGGAGGACGAGGACTAAGGACGAGGAGGAGGAGGAGGACTGATTAGGAGAAGAAGAAAGCGGAGAAGGAGGAGGAGGATGAGGCTAGGAGGAGGAGAAGGAGAATAATGAGGAGGAGGACTGGGGGAGGACTGAGGAGGAGGATAAGGAGGAGGAGGACTATGGATGAGGATGAGGACGAGGACGATTGTGAGGAGGACAGAGGATGAGGACTGATGAGGAGGAGAAGGAGGAGGATGAGGAGGAGGAGGACTGGGGAGGACTGAGGAGGAAGAGGAGGATGACTGAGGAGGAGGATGAGGAGGAGGACTCAGAAGGAGGACTCAGGAGGTGGACGAGGATGAGGAGGAGGACTCAGGAGGAGGATGATGACTATGAGGAGGACTCAGGAGGACTGATGGGGAGGAGAAGGAGGAGGAGGATGAGGAGGGGAAATGAGGAGGAGAAATGAGGAGGAGGAGGAGGAGAAGGAGAAGGAGGAGGACTGGGAGTAGGACTGAGGAGGAGGAGGGGACTGAGGAGCAGGGTGAGGAGGACTGAGGAGAAGGACGAGGACGAGGAGTCAGGAAGAGGACTGAAGAGAACTGAGGAGGAGAAGGACTCAGGAGGAGGAGGAAGACTTAGGAGGAGGAGGAGGACTGATGAGAAGGAGGAGGAAGACTAGGGAGGAGGAGGACATGTAAATGTTTTGTCTGTTTTTGTCCGTTTTTGTTCGCCCTACTTTTTTTCCGTTTTGAAAATATAGGGTACCGAACGGACACAAAACATGATCCCCCAGCCAAGCATGTGTTACGATACAAATGTACTTGACTACTACTGGTATACATTTAAGGTGCAGTGTACTAGTGATATCATGGTATGTTTAAAGACCGGACCACAAAATATAACCCGGTACCTAGTGTTGTACTAATACATAATAACAAGTAACAGGGATAAAATTAATGAGCAGAAACAATCCGACAATCGATGTCACGTCAAAAGGCCAAAGCACTCGGGTCTGGGAGTACATGACAACTCCAACTAGTAGTGAGCATACTAATAACAGTAATAAGCCCCTGCAGTGGAAAAACACATAAAACATACTATTGGAATGTCCAATTGGTTTGTTTTCATATAACAATATAGCATATGTAGGGGTTCTGGTTGAATTATATCACTTCTGAGAGGTTTTAGAGATCGATTCTGTAAATTTCTCAATTTTCCGATTTTTCCGATTTTTCCGATTCCGATTTTGGCCTCATCAACCCTCATATCGGACATCGGGTTGGACCCCCCCCCCCCCCCCCCAAACTTTGTAGTCAATTTGTTCAAGTACTAGAAGCTCTGCAAAATTTCAGATCTCAAATTTAATATTTACATAGTTTTTAGGCACCTAAACATGACGATTTTAGGGTTTTACAGAATTTCGTATAACAGTGCTGAATGGCGCGTATTTAGCACAAATTTAATAAACACTTTAACATGACTATTTCTTATTCCTGAGGATGTCACCATTGTACCTTCACACAGACATCGAACGCTGTAAGAAGATGACGATCAGACCTCGTTAATTTTAAAATTAAATGAAAATAATATTTTGAACTAACTAAAAATAAACCTTCTGAACGATCCCTCTGAGCGATATTAATGACAAATATTTAAACTGAGTAAAAGAGGTATAAATGTCCACGGTCGTGCTTAGACTAGACTGTATGTGTAGTTATGAGTTATATGATTGAGAGAATAATGCAAAGTAAGTGCATCCGTTACTACAATAAAATACAATTCCAGCACATGGCCACATATGACATATATCAGTCTGAAAATTTAAGGAATGCAGACCAGAGAAAGGACTTAATCAACAGATCCAACATCTACTGACTTACTATTATGATTATACATTTCTCTTTGGGAATATATGCCAGATTGGAGACCCAGTCGGAGAATAGTTACACACTTAAACGGTATAAACTTATGAGATTATGAATGCTCAATTCTTTGTGGCGTTGGCCCGTTAGGTGATGATCATTGCCGCTTTCACCATAAGTTATGTAATTGTGAACATTTTCTGGGAACTGATTTACCACAAGCATTTCCGTATAAAACACTTTACAAATTTCTTTGTGCCTTTAAAATGAAGGCACCAAGGAGCTCTATTGTCAAAAGGGGGTGAACTTGAATGAAAATTCAAAATTGTGGTGAACTCCTAAACGCTCAGTGTATGGTCTCCATAAACGAACCAATTACAAATGAGACAGTATAGAATAATAGACCACAAAATTAGTTAAATATTACTAAATTACTAAATATTATTAAATTGTAATCAATTAACTTGCTTACATTGTTTTACCAAACTTTCTAGTAATAATATGACTCAACAACTTATTAACCTGCTAGATCTATTCTCCAGAGGATATGATCCCACTCGATTACATCTGACCCTCTCAAGATCTACCTCTTCTTCATTTTCCAAAGTCGAGGCTCTAATACTTTTTACATATTGTGGGGAAGTTCTTCCCAAGTGCATGGGAGTTGTGGCACGTATTTCATCTTCTTCACAGATGATAGCGGTGGATATCATAGACGTGGCACTCGTCATGGCAGCAGTCTCTCTTGAAGTCTCTTCTTCTGAAGTTAAAGCCTCTCTTGTCCTGTTGTTAACCTGTTCGGTTGGAGTCCAGCCTTTTGACAAACACTCTAGGACTCAGGGTAAGACTTGCGAGGATAGATCTTGTAATCTTAAAGTTAACAGTTTCCCAAACGGTAGGATTGCTCTGGAAGCTGAGCGGTGTTTGTTTGCATGTCGATCAATAAACTATAACAGACACGTCTAAAAGTGAAATGTGCACGGTAATCTCTAGGCAATGATCATAATGCAGTAAATCGGTTAGCGGATAAATCATTTCCTGGTTCGGTGCTATTAAATCTCCTAAACCAGCCGCGGCTACGTTAAAAGTTCGCAATTTGACGTTGTAATTCATCATCACTATCATTACTCCTAAAAACGTTGGGCATCAAATTGACCACCACTGATGTTTGAATGATTTCCACTCAAGAGTTGATGCAGAGAGATGGATGTTTTAGGTTCTTGGTGAGATCTCATTATCATTTGTTGCTGCGGTGTAAAAAAACTAAACACAAACTCTCAATATTCTTCTGTAACCATTACGTATCGTATTTGCTTTCTCCTTAAAATCTTGATGACACAAAATGTCCACCACACCTCTGCAAAGGCTAGGCGTGTGAATATCTCCCACGTGGTGTAGGGGCTAAACTGGTTGATCACAAAAGTTCAATCACCATGGTCCGGAGTAGATGCATCACGGTGACATCAGCGCCTTTGTATCCTTGACACACCACATGCCCCTTCTTTGAGTGCACGTAATCAATGTCGTTTAGACTTATGACAAGTCGTATCATCGATCTTGTCACTCTCTAATCTGAGTGCTTCACAAAAATGCGAGTGTTTAGATCCACTGTCAATGGTTTGTGTCAAGACTCCGCGTTCGAAAAAATTCAGAGTCTATCTATGCCGATATTTATCTACACTGCTGTCTAGGCTACTCGTTAGTCGGCCTATTTTAGCTTGATATCGATTTCGAAATTTATAAATCTTTATACAGCCTAAATCTTTCTCCGGTTCGCGGAAACAATTGATCAATTAAAGTTCGAATCATCCACATTTTCGGCGATCCACCACAATTATACATTCCAGAGCTTAGATAATGACATAACGAGGGCAGTCCAGCTTCTTCAACTGTTGTCTAATAATTACATGCCACATAATTGTGTACCGGGCAAGGCTCACGCTGTAGGCCAGTACTACAGCTCGGGGAGATCGTACAGTAACACTCTTAATTTTTAGTTACGCAATATTCTGGTAAGCATTTCTCTAAGAGTCATGCTCTAAGTTTCTTGGGCTTTAGACATCTACACACAATTGCCGCAGAGTTTAGTTCCCGCCGTTTTTAGCCCCCTTTTTGTGAGCCCCCGCAGACTTTGTCATGAGCGAGACGGAGTTAGTCATGAGCGGTAAACCCCTGGAAGTAGTGGCTAAACCCCCTGAAGTAGTGGTTAAACCCCCAGAAGTGGAGGACAATAGGAGTAAGTTGGAGCAGCAGTCCTCTCAAGGGCCAGCATTATGTGCAGAGCATCCTGGTCCTGGTCTGGATGTTACTGTCTCCGTGTTTACTGGTGCGTTGTGTTTGCTGCATTTCAGGGTCTATCCTTATATCCTATGGTGCTTCATGTCCTTTAGAGTCTAGAGCTAAATATCCTAGTGTGTACAAGCATTACTTCCTATAGAGCTAAATATCCTAGTGTTTGCTGCTGTAGTAGGAAACAGGTGGGATTGCATGTGCTCTAACGTGATAATGGGTATATGAGAGTATGAGAGCAGTGCAGCACCAGCTCGGTTGCACACCGTCACTTATGTTCCAAGTAAAGCACGTGTGTGGCTCGACAGACTGCACACTTGTCTGTGTTATCTATGTAATGTTTACTATCTTGGGTGCCGGTGTAGGGAGATAAGACTTTTCTTTGTAATATTGAACTATAGTTGCAGCATTTTGTAGTACGTTGTTTTCGGAGTCATTGCATTCTTTTTATTCTTCTTATTAATTGTCTATAGAAAGGTCTTCTTGATTAATAAGCCATCGTCTTGAGCAGGTCTTTTTTGTTGTGAAACCCACTTTACCTCCTTCTTTGAGGCTTTGTTGGTTAACCGTGTTGTGAAAGCCTATGTACAGTCCCAATTTGTATTTTCAGAAAAATATGCACTATTTCTTTATGACTGTATTTGTTGCGAATAATGATTATTTTTGGAAACGACAAATTTTAAAATAGGTTTTCTGTAATCTCGTGGCGAAGCATGCATATGTGTGACCCCTGAAACCTTGGATTAAACTATAAAGCCCTATATTTCAAAAGCGTACCCTTAAACATCAGGTGATATGAACACAAAGGTGGCTAAGGACAGTAAAACAGCGAAAGATAAGGCTGCCAAAGGGACCGCTAATTCTGGTGGCAAGGGGACCTCGAATAAAGTAACTACGAATGGGGCGGGGATCAGAAAGGCGGGAAGCAAGAGCAAACTTAACGATCTCAATGGTGGTAAGTTTTGGTTTAGAATATGGGTTACATCAAATTACATTTTGAAGGATAAAGTTTATACCAAGTTAGTATACACGGTTCATGTATTATTAATGACTCACTTAAATGTGGATGATGAATATTTAATATACCAAGTTCAGTTGAATAGTTCCGTTGAATAGTTCAGTTGTTACTAATGGCTCTAGTAAATATATTTAATAATTATATTCCACCTGTATTCGTGTCTCAAAATATCGATTAGTACAATAAGATCATGACTGACTTAAGGCGGCTTCAGGATTCGAATCAAAAGATGTTAATACCGTTTTATATAACTAACATTGAGCCATTTTGATGGCGGTGAATTGCAGAGGTTACAGTAACCATCAACCGGCACATACCACGCACATTTCTAATTGATACAAATCTTTCGGTTTCTATTTATCTGCATGCACTGTTTCGATCCTACAGGTATTATAGGTTCCTACAATTGCCTTCATCCATTATTTATCATAATAAACTATCTTATGATTATGATCATGGTTTAATGGTTACGAACGTCAGACTGCAGTAGTGTACATATTAGAGCAAACAACCGAACGGGTTCAAGAGCTGGCTATGAACCGGCTCTGAACCGACTATCGCTACAGCTTAATCGGCTAATATAGCTAGTTGTTGAACAACTGCTTCAGTTTCAATGCTTGAGCATTGAGCAACTATCCGTTTTCTCATAAGTTATCTTTAACTGACAGTGATGTGACATCTACTATAATAGCGATAAGTCATATGTAATATGTTTAAATTGTTCATTGTACACTTTGTAACTAGACAGAACAATGCTCACAAGTAAAATAGCTTGAAAAGCAACATGGCCACAAGGAAATAATTCTATAATTGCTCCGATTGCTTCACACATGAACTAGTTTATTAAGCTTTTTATACTTTATTATAATAAATGTCCCACGCCGATTTTCACAGGGCAGTTAAACCATTAAATATCAAATTTTCACATTTTGTCACGAATAATTAGTCCACTCAGTCTAGTGAAATGCATGACTCAGTCACTATGAAATCCTCTTCCCGAATAACGATTTTCAGAGCGCATATCGTTTGATATCTTGTGAAAATAGGCCCAGATGCTGATCTTATTGTATCACAACTTATTAAAACTTATTAAAACCCATCTGAACTATGGGATGTGTTGAGTATAATTCCTCAAGCATCATCATTGAAACGTAATCTGATTCCACCACGTACGATATATTCTACCTGTATTTCTCATATAATATTGAGACAAAGCCACGTATCGTATAATATTATGACGCAGTGAAACTATATGCGGCGTGTCTGCACCTAATTGATCTGACGATACTAACGTCAAAATCGGTGCTTTATCTATAGAGTTTAGAATATCATTCTTTGCCACATGACGTAAACCTGAATACACCTCATTCAATACACATAGTTAGCTAGTTATTCAGGTCACGTGACACGACTACCTCCCACGTGACACGATTTCAGCCCACGTGGCACGTGACAAGACTCACTCAATTCAACACTCGGTCTCACAAGGAGGATATGTACTGAACTCTCATTTTCTCACATTCTGAACAGTAAGTGAGTAAGACTCTATCAGTGTGTGGCTGATCACCTGCGTCACAATGAAATATATTCTCCGAGAAGAGAGAAGAAGAGAGGCCAGTCATTTGCTGCTGCTCTCTCGAATCCGCTGCTTATATTACCTAGGGTCCCAGGTATAGATGAGCTGCATGCTAGTGGTACATGTGCGAGTATGTGTACTCTCCACTTCTTCTCTCACCAGGGTATATATATTATCAAGCCTCGTTAAGAAGTTTCATTTACATTATATATACTGGAGAGTACTGTACTACCCGTGCTCATTTCCCGGTGGAGACTGGATGACTAAGATTACTACTTACGATGTTAGAATCTTGGGGCTGTTCAATAGAGCGATCTTGAATAAATCATAGTCACCCTAGCCAAGAGCTCGTGCTAAAAGACCACTGTTCTGCAAGATCTAAGGGGTCGTTTGCCTTTGCTGGATCCCAATATTATAATAGACGGCAAGGCTCTCGAAACATTAACCATAAGTAGCTAAATGGTAGGCAGGCTGTTCATGTTTCCATCTCAAATCTTCAAATAAACAGTGCTGCTTTAAAAAGTTTACAATTTTATACATCGTTAATCGTTATCTATATTTAAATACAGTCTTTGATAGACCTTGCTTTGTGAACATTACCACTCTAGATTACCAGACGTCATGCACATTTATACCCGATCATTATAGTTACAATACTCTTTGTACGAGAGGACTTGGATCAAACTCAGCGTTCACTGCCAGAGTAATCTTCTAAAGGTTTAGTCAGATCCAGGTCGTCAGTATACTGTGTCGTGTGTGTACCTGCCTCTATAATCAGATAAACTGATAATAAGTTACTTATAGTTTGTTACGTTTGTTAACGTCCACCACCATGCCGATATAAAACCACAGACCGCTTACCCGGCAACCACTCGTTACTGAACGGTAAGCGATCGTCTGTCTCCGGTAGTTATAATCTGCTTACTATATATAGTACTACATCAGTTCCTGGAGAGCTGTCAGAAGCAGTGATGTGGATTGTGGTTTAAATTGTTACTTAGGTCTACGTTTAGGTCTAATTCTAGGTTTACTTTGGATAATGTTTGCGGTTTCTCAATTTGAGGACTTTCGAATATGGATAATGGTTGCGGTTTCTCAATTTGAGGACTTGCATATTTGCTTCATCGTTTGTTCTACTTCTAGAATATAGATGCTTGTTTGTGATTTTGATGTAGAATTTCTACAGTTTTGATTGTTTTCGTTGTCACGCCGATTTTCGATTTAGCGACATTTTTTGCCAATAGAAACTACTGAAAAAGGAATGTACGAGACTTACATAGAAATGAATGTGTTTTCAATATTCATTAGTCATTACCTTATCATTGCCAAGCGGGGACGCTTGACTATAAATTAAATGTTTTCAACATCGTGCTTATGAGCTAGGGACCCTCCCTCTGCAGTAAGGCATGCTGTTTATTACAAATACTTAGCCTTGCCCACCGGCCAATGTCGAGATCCTGATTCCTGGCAAAAAGTAATTTCTTTCGACCCAGGTGGCGGTTAAAGTTAATTGATTGATGCATCTTAGTGTACACTGTACTAGCATAAGTGCATCTTATTTCATATTATTTCCTAATTACTCTAGTCTATGTCCATACCACTTCCATTCACAGAGTGTTTTCTAATATCTCTTGAAAGAACTAATAGTTGTAGAGAGTAAACGTCTATTGGGAAACAAACTTATATTTTCTCCCCCACAAATTGCCAATCTACATTGTATATTATACAATGTAGCCTGGATGTCTGCATCCAGGCTTAACTTAGAGTAGACAGGACCTAATCAGTGGGTTACACTTTTCTCATTCCAATAACACCCTCCTCATACAAGCGTTTACTTCAAAATCACATGTAATCAATATAGTCACCTGTCAACCTCCAACTCGCATTACAAAGAGCATGACGTCAAAGGTTCGATCTCAGTCGTATTCAACTTGATGTAAGTGGAACCCTGGACAGAAAGTCGAATAGTTGATGACTGAGAGGATAAATGTGAAGTCTAGGTGACCTCACATGCTCCTGAAAGCCATGTACATCAGTCTTCATTGCCTCATTCGTTCATTGTCCGTTGGAATTACTATGATCCAAATCTGGGGATGGCCGGCTAGTTAATCCCTGTAATACCGAGCAATACTCTTAATTTCTTGTAGCTAATAGTTGTGTTGTTGTAATTTAATTGTCCTGATTTGAAGTTTGTGGTTGATATTATATCGAGATCCTCATCCGCCAATCAGATGACGATCCTGAGAAAGTCTCAATCTAAATTTTGGGAGGCTATTAATAATGCAACAAGTGAGTAGACATTATGTTCTGACAATTAACTAAAGTAGAGATGAGTAGAAGACGGTCGAGGACAACCACTTCCACTGTGATGGTTCCCAATTTGGGGCAAAATCGAAAAATTTCCCGCCAAGGGTCGAGTGAGGGAATTTCGGGGATTCCAAGATCAGGTATGAGTTCTCTACTGGTAGAGTAGAAAATTAAGCTGGGTAAATAGCGATCTGAGTAGCCCGACACTTAAAATAAAGCAATCCAGGTCGAATTGCTATCAGAGCTATACAACGTGTTATTCTTTTAGTTTTTGTCGAGAATTTCACGATATGCTGTTCAGAAGAGTTCTAAACAATTCTATCATGCATGGTAGAGTTGTCATTTCATTAAAAGTAAATAATTTCTTCGTTTGTTTTTAATTTGACATTCTGTCTCGAAGTCCTGCAAGGGTTACTTCACGGGGTTATCAAATAAATTCTAACTGTATCTTCCCCTAGAGGGTGGAAGCGACAAGTTAAGATCCCCCAACAAGCCAGCAGGAGGGTCCCTGACCTCCGCAGTGATAGATGTCGAGTACCTGCCTCTAGCTGTGGACCTGTGTCATTGGGTAGCCGAACAGACTCAGACCTGCTTGGAGATCGAGCAGTTCGTCTCGGTAAGTTTTTTGGCGTACCTCAAGGTAGCATTCTCACACCATAGTTAGTAAAGATAAATGCGGCTGAAATTAGCAATTAAAAAGTTGCAAAACTTTGTTAACGTTTATCTTTTCAGTGCATGCAAGATGGAATCGTCCTGTGCAGACTGGTGAATGCCATCAGTAAACTAAGATGTGAAAGATATGGGGAGCCTTTCAAACTAGTGCACTTTAGGGAAAACATCGGGAATAGTGTCTTCTTTGCTCGCATAAACATTGAGACTTTCATAAGGTAATCACTAATCAGAGGCAATAGTTGTTTTGCCAAGAGTCGACAGTTCGAATTATTAACGTTGATATTCTCAATTTAACCATGCTTAGACCTATTCTATTTTACCCCGTAAGATCACTTTGAAACTCACTTAATCGATTAATTAGTTAATACTAACACATCCTGTTCTAAGGTGGAGCAAGAATTTCGGTGTGACAGACACTTGCTCTGTAAGCGATCTAGTCGACCTCAAGGACATCATGCAGGCTTTGAACAACGTTTACAACGTGGCAAGAAAGTGTGCTGAACTCGGACTACCCCATCCTCCATCTGTAGCTCTAGAGGTTTGGATAACAAATTTGATTTGCTATTCTGGTGAAGGGTGAATCCCATTTTCTATTTTATAATTTATATTTATAATATGCATTAAATGCAACCTAGACCTACAGTATTGAAACGTATTTTTGTTTAACTACCTGAGTAGACAGTAGTACAAGATATTCCATATTTCAGCTGGAGCACAGTATGAGGTACAATGACATCGTGGGGTTATTTGACCCTGATCATGGGCCACTCAGCAAAGAGGAGACAGCTGCCAAAGTTGGTCTCATTAACATAATCAATAATCGCGGACTTGGAGCTCTAAGGTAAATTATAACCTTCTTAGTAGGCTAAAATTCATCTCCATGTAATATGTAGTTAGTGAGGTAAAACCAGTTAACATTAGAAGGCAGGCCTGGACCAAGTCCCCGAGTCTACCACCACTTAGAAGAACAATTGAGAGGAGAGCCTAGCCGGCCCCAAATTTCTTATACTTATAGCTTCCCCAGCATAACTCTAAATGAGTACTTAATATTCAAATGATGAGTGCCCACGTCAGGATTTTGAGTGTGTAAGGCTGTAACTGGCATACTCACATTTGCTATATTGTAGAAATTGTACTTACACCTCTGTGCGCTTGCTAGGAGTGACTCTACACTCGTTGAGCAGCTAGGAAACTGGAGGAAGAGACTGGTAGGAAAGTGGGCTGGAACGGAAATTAAACCACCGACACCGGAACCCCTTCCTCCGACGCCAACCCCACCTCCAACACCTCCACCTATTCTGTAAGTACTGAAACGCACTTTTAATGAATGAACTTATTTTAATTATCGATATAAAGTCATTTGACGATCATTCAATAAGAAGATATACATTTTAAGAATATTTGGCATAACTTTCGGTCAGTTAGGAATTGCTCACATAGTACGTAAGCCAGTTTAGAAGGGATGGGATTTTTAAATCCTTGCAAAAGTGCAACAATCTGGCTTACGTATTTTATGAACGATCCCTAATAATAATAATATAAAGCGACAAAAAACTAAACTCTCGTTGATCCCATACTGGTTAACCAGTTTATTAAGGACAGTTAACATGACTGTTCTTAATCAGTTAAGTTAACATAACCAAGCTTTTTGAGTCAAAAATTTAGTAAATTATTATCTTATTTTCCAAAGAGTAAAAAAGGCTGTGGTTATTCAAACCCCCCTGGACTCACCACCGTAAGAGCCTTGCTGACAATCATACGGGAATTGTCACTCATTTCTTATTTAATGCCTGACGATTCATCATGCGGTGATGGTCAAAGCTTAGTTGTAGTGAACGCTGAACTTAGTCGTACTGAACGTACGTTCCAATCATTTTGTAGTGAACGTTTGTGAACGTTAGTGAACGTTAGTCAATATTTTGTGATGCTGTCAACGTTAGGGTGCGCTATGAACTCTCCCTGAAGTTGAGATATTTTACGTTAGGGTGCACTATGAACTCTCTTTGAGGTTGAGATATTTAACGTTAGGGTGCGCTATGAACTCTCCCTGAAGTTGAGATATTCAACGTTAGGGTGCGCTATGAACTCTCTTTGAGGTTGAGATATTTAACGTTAGGGTGCGCTATGAACTCTCCCTGAGGTTGAGATATTTAACGTTAGGGTGCGCTATGAACTCTCCTTGAGGTTGAGATATTTAACGTTAGGGTGCGCTATGAACTCTCCTTGAGGTTGAGATATTTAACGTTAGGGTGCGCTATGATTATGAACTCTCCCTGAGGTTGAAATATTTAACGTTAGGGTGCGCTATGAACTCTCCTTGAAGTTGAGATATTTAACGTTAGGGTGCGCTATGAACTCTCCCTGAAGTTGAGATATTTAACATTAGGGTGCACTATGAACTCTCCCTGAGGTTGAAATTTTATAAGAGGTCGTACAGCATGTGTTTTTAATATGTTTTCAACATACCCAAAGTCAAATTTATGGTTGATTTCGGGGAGAACCCCTCGCCCGGTTACACTGTTACAGGTCACTCCATTTCTTCAAACTAAGTCGCTTGCAATAAATTAAGTTACGACGGAGTTGTTTGAAACTAAATATTATACAATTAATGGCGTAATTACATTGTGACAGATGCAACCCTCCCTTGCGGGTTATTTAAATAAAAATTTAATACTTTCCAGAGAGCCGAAACCCATAAATTTCCGACCAGTGCAAGTGGGCGGTAAGATAGTGCCAAAGATATTTAACAAGGGTGATTTAACGAAAAATTTGAATTCATTTGAAACGTAAGTGGTCCGTACCGCTCTTTGTAGAACGATTTTAATTACGGCAATTGTTTCATTTTAAGAAAGAGTTACAGGAGTACAGAGGAAAATTGTGCATTTAACGATTATAATTTGAATCATTTCAATCGTGCTCACTGCTCAATGGGAATTTCAATCAATAATTTTATCTGGCTAGCAAATTAAAAGATAAAACACCTGGCAGCACACAAATATAAAAGTAAGAGACAATGCCCATAAATCAGTTGCCAGAAAATATCGTTTTTCATCAAGTTGTGCACCAACTAATCTTTCCTCATCCTTTGATACCATCATGGCCACCAGCCAACTCCTAACCATATCAGGTAAACGTAAATTCATTATAAAGTCAAATGTTCGCAAAAAACCAACCCAAAATTTAGATTGTATCATGAACCTTAGCTATTGCTTAATTCTGATCTTAGTTGTAGTGAACGCTGAACTTAGTCGTACTGAACGTACGTTCCAATCATTTTGTAGTGAACGTTTGTGAACGTTAGTGAACGTTAGTCAATATTTTGATAATTTTTCCGATAGTTTTTAACTTTAGATGGATACAATGAGATAAAACCATGTTGTCGGAATTAGACAGTAAATAAACAATAATGAATAAAAATAAGTCACTAGTATAGCAAATAGTAATGAAATTATTGCTCCTTAATTCGTGAATTGTTCATAAGACGCAAACTTGCGTTAACATAAATAAGGTCTCGCTGCTTGTCAACTGTGAGGCGGTTTCTTTTTTTGTTTATCACCCAGTCGTACAAGCTCCAATTCGTCTCACAGGGTGAGGCTGATGTCGATTGCGACAGCGCTTTCATTGCAAAACTCTGTAATTCGGGTACCTCGCAACCGAAGTTGCTCCACCAAGAGACTGGATCGTCAGAATCTTGGCTAAAACTTGAGGCAGCGTCAGTAGAGAATAAGCCTCTTTTTTCTCGGTAGAACGTGTACTGCGAAATTATCTTCTTCTTTGTTGCGCCGTCACACCACGTGTCCATGACATCTAGAAACTCCTTCCAGACATCCTGATTCGTGTGCTGATCATATCCCTGATAAGCCGGGTGAGCACAAAACCCTACTGAATGTAGGGGGAATGGAGCTCGAGCCACCTTTTGTTGGCAAGACTAACCATATCACTTTTATGGTTTCTATTGCGGAAAGCAAAATTTGCTAACTTTAAGGTGAACAGATAATATTTGTAATAAATTACACCGATGAAACCAACAGGAATCTTAAGAATCAAAAAATCATCAAAAAACGAGGTCCAAGATTTTCAAAATCGAATAAAAATTTTTTAAAGGCCTATCTCAAAATTCTGTCTGGCTCATCTCTTCTAAATGATCCTTAGAACATATACTGAAAGTTTCAGGGTAATTGCTCAAAAAATGTAGGAGAAAATGGATTTTTAGACTCGATTTTCAGGGCACGCGATCAAAAATCGCTCGCGCAATACAATTACCACACACGCACTGACCTTTCACCGGCAATAATTTCGGCTAGGAACGATATTTTTCCACGGCATCAAAAGCATCTGATAAATATTACTCCCCTCTATCAGAAACAACTAACTAAAAAGTCGATTTTGAGAAAATTTCCATAAGACTCCCCTGCCCCCATAATACAGTCAAGTCGGCTATAGACAATTGTCTTACACGTTATCAATATGTCCTAGTTAATAAAGGACGATGGGTTGAGCAAATTATTAATCATTAAGTATTTTAATTGTATTATCATAAAAAGTATATATTTTCATTACCTAAATATGCAAAAGTTAACTGGAAATTTCATTTGTCAAAAAAAGTAGAGCCATTTACTTTCCACACACTATTTTCAACTCACCCTGTATTGTCTGAAAATCTAAGCAAGACCATTATCGGCTCGAGAATTGAGCATAAACAGTCGACTTCTATCCAGAAATCGGGGTCAAACACTAAATCTTTAGCGCACTCAAACAAATTCTTGTATGCATTACTTTTATTGCTAACAGACTCAGTAAGGGTTGGATCAATATAAGTCTTAATCAAAGTATCCTTGGAACCCTTCAGTCTCTCTAACATAATAAACTGGGTGGCAAACCGAGTTTCCCCTGGTTTTAGCAAATTGACAAGAGAATGGGTTCTTAACGTTTTTAGAATCATGTCGTGATTCTTCACATTTGTAACTATTTTGTTACAATTCGACAATGTCTCCTTGGTCCAGCTCAACTTCCCGACATCCTCGGCAAGTAGATCGAACTGGTGGGTTACACAGCATGATCGTATGATGTGTTCATAATCAGCTTCGCTTAAGCGTCGTAGAGATTTATTGACATTTGGATTGTCTGTTACAACGTGGCAAATCCTGTCGGCAAGTGGCAATGGAAACGCTAGTACTTTGCCGGATAATTGGGCTATGTCCGGCATTTTAATTTCATTATAGCAATTAACGTTCCTTATGTTCCGAACGTTAAAATCTTTTAGCGAACGCGTTCACAAACTATTTTTAGTGAACGTTCCGTACGTTCACTACAACTAAGGGTCAAAGGCAAAAAAAGCACAACTTTTGATTTTGCTATTAAATCAAAAAGCTGCACAGCTACAAAATAGCTAAATATGTGGGTGATTTAATTATAGTAAAGTTTAACTATTATATTAAACGATGACGCCTAATATTAATATAGCTATTTTATTTCTTCAGCGAAGCTAAAATGGGGCCATGGGACAACGAGGAGATTGTTTGCTTGATAGAGCTCTACAGGCACCAGATTGATGAATTTGGAGACGACCACATTGACTTCCAGGTTAATAAAGTTTCTCCTTCGTAGAAAATCAAACTTCACAAATCGATGATTGCATATATGTATTCAAATAAATAAACTTAAAACCCTGACTTGGTTTTCAACCTGCAGTTGCTGTCCAAGAACTTCTCGAAGAGGTTCAAACACAGGACACCCCACCAGTGCTGGGATAAGATGTACCAGCTGATAGAGAGATACCAGTGCGACAGATCTGCTAACAGGTACTAACAAGACCAAAAATCAAGAGTTCCCACAGTCAGACAACGAATGAGTTAAAAAGTTTCAAACAAAATCTTTATAACATCATTGGTAAAATATTTTCGGACATCTTCAGTGCCTAATAAAGATAAGGGTTAATACTCCAATTATATCAGATAAGGTACTAATAAGGCCCGTTTGCAAACTGTATTCCACTCTCTTTTTCTTTTTTAATTCAGTAGAACATCATATGTTGGTTAAAATTCTCTTCTTTTGGATCATTAGCAAACATACTTCAATATTTGTATATTATACATTTAAATATTCAACTATGTTTGTTAATGATTCAAAAAAAGAAAATTAACGAAGTGAGTGCCTAGAAATTATGTTCTCATGCATTATATTATATGTGCATGAGAACATAATTTCTAGTCAAACAGGCTTGTCATATTTCTTAATGAACCTTAGTCCAACCCGAACATGAACACTGAAATTCCTAATTAATTGAGACAATTTCACTACAGTCGCACTGAACTAACGTAAATGAAGTTCAATTAAGCTGAGGGAACAATGGGAGTTGCAACTAAATCCAGTCTTCAGTTTCTATGCGTAGTCCATAAATGCAGCCACAGGATATTTTCAGGTCATGTGATTGATTAAGAGGAGACAGCTTTATTTATGAGAGGATGCCTCCTCATTATGAAATACCTTGTTTATATCACAGCTCCAGCTGCTCAAGCATATTCATTTGCTTAGATAGAAATTCACTTGGTTTTACATCATTTTCTGTAGTACTCTGTGAGAAATGGCTTCGAAAATTCCAAAGCCCAAAACCAGTGCACCCCACACGGTCACTACGGTGGATTTTAAACCAGGCTCCCTGCCTGTTTCTAGGTATCTGCTCATTTTCACCAAATTAATCTGTGCTATTCAAATACCCTATTAGTCTCCCTCTATCCAGGTTCATCTGTCTGCCTTCTCTTACTGTTTGACTGGAGAGAGAAGCAGAAAACGCTGGTTCTAGTTGGAGAACCAGCAATTTGATCAGATAGCCATTTTATTGTTAGACCAACCTTTGTAACATAATTCCATTTTTAAACTTAAAACACACCGTCTCCCCCACCCAGGTTGTTCAAGAGGAAGGTATGTTCGGGACCTCACCACGACCAACTGCATCTGACACTAGGAGACACGGACCTGGCCAAGCATCTGAACGCTGTCTACACTGGCATGTCTCATGGCAAGGCTCCTTCTATCCCCTCCTACATTGAGTGTAAGTGTGATTTAGTGTGGAATTTAGCTTTTTGTGCCGTGGGAATACTTAATATTTTTTGTTATTTGTGCCTTTTTTGAAATTAACTTGTGATCTTCACATGTCGATTTTATCTGCGAAATATATATATATTGTATCGTGTTGATTGTTTAAGTTGATCTGATATTGTCAGTTTTAGTTCTCAAAACATCTTAAGGCATTTAGCAAATTGGTAAACTATGACACCGAAATAGGGACATTTTGAGAAGTTATAAATAGTTTTGAATTAAGAGGCTTGTACTTTTTACATTAGTCCAACCTTATGACAATTTAGTACACTGTTAGTAGGTTTCTTAATCTTAGTCTTGGGCTTCTTACGCTTAGCATCATGTACAGAACGTTTCTGTCTAAATGTAAATTCCTACACTGGTAAAGATTAGCCGCCCCACCTAGCTCATTAGTAGCAGAACAGTTCCTGGATGCAGCTAGGGTTAGTATTTCCACTAGCATGCACCCGTCAAGCCAGGTTGATGCCAATCTTAGAATAGAAGCAATAGAACCCAGTGTACTCAGGGTCTTTGGACGAATCACTTACAATAGCTGAATAGCTACCACATTAATGAGTCAGTAGGTGGCTTTGTTAAAGTCCACCACTAAAAGAAGGTCATTTCTCTAGAATACATCAAGAGCCTTCAAACGCTCGGCGAGGAGCTTTGACTTAAAATAAAAATGTTATTTAGATTTAAGAACTTCCAGAGGTCTTGCTGGCTCCGTTTACGCTCATCACTCACTGCCCTCACGTGTAATCTTCGTGTCAGTACTCAGCTCAAAGGAGAATCCGTAGTTCACTATTCATGTTATTCATAAGCGTCCTTGAAGAACATGAAGACCATGCCACTTAGTTGAACGAGATCATTGATGCACTAGAACATAGAAGCACTATTTTATAAAACAGGAAATGATCAGAGTAATTGATCGTTCATTAGCAAATCAGTCTTATCTTAGTCTTAAAATACAGCTACAAGTTATAACTTTTATATCTATAAATAGAATTATCTTCATTAATAGACAAGCTTCACGACCGCGCAAGCTTACTGAGTAAGTAACTCTCGACGCGGATCTCATACATAATGCAGTAGTGGCCTATTGTGCGGTATCGTCCGAACTGTACCGAACTCTTACTGTGGACCCAGCTCATAAGGATCTCCACCTCGGAGGAATTATTGCATATAATCAAGAGGCGGGGGATCCCTCCATTCTCTGAGGGGTGTAAGCCCTTCCTGTCATTAGCATCGGTCTCAGCAAGAGGGAGCCGCTATAAATCGCTTATCTCATTATTCGGCGATTAGACTCAGAGACTGAGAGAGAGAGAGAGCAGAAGAGAGTGAGAGTGAGAGAGAGAGCGTGTTCTCGTAGTACAGTATCAGTATAGCTCTGGAAGCGGCTGTCTGCGTGTGTAAAGCTGATTTCGCTTGTTGTTACAGTTTCAACTTGGAGCGTGAGTAGGAGCTTAGTCCCTGAACAGCGTGCTCGACACAAGATCATTAATTTGAGAGATAATTACTCGAGCTTGTCTTCTTTTGTCAAAGAACCCCCACTCTATTTCACGTTTGATAAGTTTGCCATGTACTGAGCTCTATAGTCTCCAGAAAATGAGACCCATCATTTATGCAACTTGGAGCAAGAACGGGGAGAAGGAGAAGGTAGAGTCACACCCTCCCCCACCTTCACCTCCCACCAAGAGTTCCCCGCCCAGCGCATGTTTTAGACGGCGTACCCCTGCCGCCAACTCCTTCCGGGCTCATGAGCCTAAAAGTAAACGATCAGGTACTTTTCCTTCTACTCAGTATTTAGATGGAGAATTGTTTTTACGTCTTCTCTGTAGTACCGTCAGTAGAGTGTAGCTTTGTATTTTAGTAAATATGTTTGAAATACGCAAACCAAGAGTCTGCTTATTATCATACGCTTAATATCATACTCATAATAGGCAGCATGAACTGCGACTCAAGTACCAGCGATCTACATCTAGAATGCTATCAGTAAAACGTTTTAAAGCAAGTTTCCGTCTAATCTATTAAGTACAGTGAGTTTACTGACATATTATCGCAGGTGATGCCGGAGAGAAAGCGGAAGCTGAGAAGTCAGGAAAAGAGCAGATCGCTGAACAAACTGTCATCCTCAGAAGTATCAAGTAGGTTACCATGGTTACCATAAATCAGAGATTTATATGTACAAACCAACAGCCCAACAATACTTTGTAGTGGTTTTCGGGTTTCATTTCAACATATGAAATAAAACAGAGTTTTTTTTTTGGTATCCCAGTTCTCACTCATATTAAACGATATCATTGAAAATGTACATTGTCGGTGTAAAGTACGCTAAAAATCCCATCATTTCAGTGACAATCTGATCGCATTAAAAGAACAGACAGAGAGAAACGCCACTACGAACGCAGCCGTTCTCGTCTTGCTGACCCACGTTCTGAAGGGGGAAAGTCTGGAAAACGGAGATAGAGCAGCTTCCGAAGCAGCATCCCAAGCAGCTTCCCTGCTTTCAAATTCTAACGTAAGGAGCTAGACCAGCAAACATGTGCTGAGCTCACTTATCAATGATCAACGCTGTGCCCTTGTTTCAGCATGAGGACATGATATCATAAAACTGATTTGCTAATTGATGCATACAGCTCAATGCGAGATGATGCTTAATATCACTATTACAATCAGGGACATGTTCATTAAAAAGATGATCTCAAAAATCGCAAATTGCTGCTCTGCTAAAGACTGTTTAATTTTAAGCACGGGGGATACCTTTTAAACCTTTTTCGTCTTAATAAGCATGGTCACTGGACAATTTATTGTATCGCATGACCATTGCGCATGGTCTTATTAAGTTTCGTCCAAAATGCGAAAATTGGAAACGGAATTTAAGAAATTAGAGCCTGATTTTAGCAGGGCAGTGTGGAGAAGATTCCAGCAGCGGTAGACAGCGACTCCAAGAGCCTTGCGTCCGATGCTGATATCCCAGAAAAGATTTCCGAATGCAGCGAGAATGAATCAGCTGGTGTTACTGTTGATGCCTAATTTTATCACAATTACAATTTTTCAATTCAGTTTTAGATGCCTGTAATCTTTGTGTAGTGACAAATATTGTACAAACTGTAAATATACTGTGTTACACAGTGTGTATCTTATGTGCTCCCAATCTTATGTGCTTCGCCTTATTATTACCGGTATTATTATTTATGCTGAAAAATCTTTGCAAATGAGACTTGACGGATTTTACTTTAAGAATTGGAAAAGGTTTTGACTTAATTACTTTACCAAATTAATTTTTTGTCTTCCAACGGTTTACTGTGGGAATGTCTTTTGAGGTATTATGTTTGAGTGACTATCACACTTTTTAAATATATTCATCATTCATGTTGATATAATCATAATTATCAATTAAAAACTACATGATATTTTAGTTTCAATATTGAGCGGTCATAATTTCCCAAATCTCCGAGGATATGTCCTTTTGTTGGTGAGAAAAAGTAAAAATGTCATGTAACTGATGTGCAATGCAGATAAATTGATAAAAAGATAGGTACAATTTAACCATCACTATTATAATAATATATCTCACGTTAAACTCATAACGGAACTCATTAAACTAATATAATACTGACACTAAACAACTGCACTTTGGTTAGAAAAGTGAATACCGAACAGTTAGTTTATACCTGTCAGGCCAATTTAATTTTAAACTATTAAACAAACTTTTACTCTAGTAGCAGAGAGGAGTTGAGTGTGCACTTCGATGTCCACAATTTCTGACCACACAGGGTCCTTCATTAGGTCGTTCTAAACCAAAATCACCTAGGTACCCAATTTGTGTCGCTAGTCCTAGTGCTACAGGGCATATTTTCTAAATTGCCCTCAGTCGCGAATGGGGATTTTTGTATTTTGGCCCCTGAAGATCGTAGAGGCTTCATTTTTAGCTTAAAATGACCGCAATGGGCATGTTTATATACAACTTATGAATCAATATGTGGTCTAAAATTGTTTGTTTCCGAGATATCTGCAAAAAACTAATTTTAAGCTCAGGCGTAGGCACAAATTTCATCACATTTGTATCTCAGCTTCTGAAGGTCTTAGAGACTCAAACTTTAGCTTAAAATGACCGCAATGCACATGTTTATATTGACACTATAAAGGTCATATAAAGGCCCAAAATGCTTACTTTTGGGAAAAATCCAGAAAAACTGATTTTCACTGGGGCGAGTGAAAATAATCTACTCTAGAGGCTAATTGAAATCGAGTATGCAGTTTGGTGTCTACAACTTTCCTAGAAACCAGGTCCTTTGTAAGGTCATTCTGGATCAGAATTGATAAGGTACACAATTTCTATCAGTAGTTCCAACAATAGGGGGGAAATTTATAAATTACCCTCAGGCGCAAATATATGACTTTTGTATCTCGGCTTCTGAACGTTGTAGGGGCCTCTCTTTTAGCTCACACTAACTGCAAAGGCCACATTTACATACAAGCTATAAAGCAACAGAGGGTTTATAGTGCTTTTTTTTATTAAATACTTTTCAAATTTTACAGAGTACAGCAATAGATGAATATAAAATAGAATCGTTCAAAATATCGCCCCCATCTGTGAAATATGATGGGCACCCAAACACGGTAAACACATAGTGAACTATGTCCGCAGTAACTTGGACCCATTCAAAGTTTTGGAGGTATTCATTAAAAACTGTTTTAACTTTCGTGCATCCTGAAATAGTAACATCAAACGTCATGTACTTAATTTTGTTATCCCGGGCTAAAAAAGTCTTACAGACACATTACTTGCAGCACAGCATACTGTTCAGCATGAACACATTCAGATAATATTTATGAAGCAACACAATTCAGTTTCAGAAGCTCCTTCCAGCTATCTTGTCTTATCCCCAAATGTATACATCTGACCATCTCTCTGGTTACTTCGAACTACCTCAATCCCCAAATTTATACATGAACATCTAACTATCTCGTTATAGCTACCACAAGTTGGGCTCTCTCCAGTACTGTTTGACTATTTTGGCTAATCAACTTCAATCCCACCTCATGAAGTAGAATCTACTTTTAGCTATCTTTAATTCTGCTACCTCTATGCCATGCCTATTCTACCCAGCTACCACCAACACGTAATAATAATTGTAGCTATTTCTAGCAACCTCTGAATGCTACCTCCTGCTCTATACAGGTACCATCAGTGGGCAGAAACCACCAATTCCAGCTCTTTTCACGTACTTCGGCTACATCTATTTAGCTACTACTGCAAGGCCGCCTGGCCCCTCCAACTTCTGCTCTTTCTAGGAAACTTAACTTAAGCTACCTCTTGCCTTTTATAGCACCACCAGCAACAATTTATTCTGGCTCTTTCCGGCTGACTCAGCTGCATTCAACTGTTTCCAGCTCATTGAGGAAGAGGAAACCTGCTATTTCTAGCAAATTCTGAATGCTACTTCCTGCTCTATCTAGCTTCCACCAACACCCACTAATTGTTGTTGAGCTACCACTAGCACCTGCAAATTCTAGCCCTATCCAGCACACTCACCCTACCTTATGCTATATCCAGATAGTACAAGCACCCTCAAATTCTAGCTGGAGCCTGGAGGTAACCTTAATTAGATAAAAACAGATAGAATTTGAGAGTGCTCAACCAACTGAATAAGGATGGATGTAGCCCGAAGTAGCTAGAAGAAGCTAAAATTTGTGGGTACCGTTTGCTAGTGTTAGCTGGATAGAGCAGAAAGTAGTCTGAGGTTGCTGGAATAAGTGCTAGAATTTGCAGGTGCTGGTGATAGCTGAACAGAGTAGGAGTAAGTCTGAGCCCTGAGGTTTCTGGATAGGGCTAGAATTTGCAGGTGCTAGTGGTAACATTTAAACAACAATTATTGAGTGTTGGTGGAAGCTGGATAGAGCAGGAAGTAGCATTCGGAGATTGCTAGAGTGGAGGTAGCAGAATTGAAGGAAACTAAAAGTAGATTCTACTACATGAGGTTGGATTGGAGTTGATTAGCTATAATAGCCAAACAGTACTGGAGACTGGAGAGAGTCCAACTTATGCTAAGACCGGGATCCCGGCTTAATCCTGATCCCTTATCCCGGTCTTAATCCCGGTCCCAGCACTTTTTCCCAGTCCCAGTCCCGGTCAAAAAAGCAGTCCCGGTCGAGCCTTAGCTTTAACGAGATGGAAGCAACAAGAGAGTCAATAATAGTCAAACAGTACTGGAGAGAGCCCAACTTGTGGTAGCTATAACGAGATAGTTAGATGTTCATGTATAAATTTGGGGATTGAGGTAGTTCGAAGTAACCAGAGAGATGGTCAGATGTATACATTTGGGGATAAGACAAGATAGCTGGAAGGAGCTTCTGAAACTGAATTGTGTTGCTTCATAAATATTATCTGAATGTGTTCATGCTGAACAGTATGCTGTGCTGCAAGTAATGTGTCTGTAAGACTTTTTTAGCCCGGGATAACAAAATTAAGTACATGACGTTTGATGTTACTATTTCAGGATGCACGAAAGTTAAAACAGTTTTTAATGAATACCTCCAAAACTTTGAATGGGTCCAAGTTACTGCGGACATAGTTCACTATGTGTTTACCGTGTTTGGGTGCCCATCATATTTTACAGATGGGGGCGATATTTTGAACGATTCTATTTTATATTCATCTATTGCTGTACTCTGTAAAATTTGAAAAGTATTTAATAAAAAAAAGCACTATAAACCATCTGTTGCTTTATAGCTTGTATGTAAATGTGGCCTTTGCAGTTAGTGTGAGCTAAAAGAGAGGCCCCTACAACGTTCAGAAGCCGAGATACAAAAGTCATATATTTGCGCCTGAGGGTAATTTATAAATTTCCCCCCTAGGGTTGGAACTACTGATAGAAATTGTGTACCTTATCAATTCTGATCCAGAATGACCTTACAAAGGACCTGGTTTCTAGGAAAGTTGTAGACACCAAACTGCATACTCGATTTCAATTAGCCTCTAGAGTAGATTATTTTCACTCGCCCCAGTGAAAATCAGTTTTTCTGGATTTTTCCCAAAAGTAAGCATTTTGGGCCTTTATATGACCTTTATAGTGTCAATATAAACACATAATGTGCATTGCGGTCATTTTAAGCTAAAGTTTGAGTCTCTAAGACCTTCAGAAGCTGAGATACAAATGTGATGAAATTTGTGCCTACGCCTGAGCTTAAAATTAGTTTTTTGCAGATATCTCGGAAACAAACAATTTTAGACCACATATTGATTCATAAGTTGTATATAAACATGCCCATTGCGGTCATTTTAAGCTAAAAATGAAGCCTCTACGATCTTCAGGGGCCAAAATACAAAAATCCCCATTCGCGACTGAGGGCAATTTAGAAAATATGCCCTGTAGCACTAGGACTAGCGACACAAATTGGGTACCTAGATGATTTTGGTTTAGAACGACCTAATGAAGGACCCTGTGTGGTCAGAAATTGTGGACATCGAAGTGCACACTCAACTCCTCTCTGCTACTCTAGTATTTATAAACCAATAACGAATACAATAAAATGGAAAACGACACTCTGTGTTATTCTACTTGAAGCCTCATCAACAAACATTGAATAAAATTCTAATACATTTTGTCGAAATGCAGGCCGAGGATATGATTAAAAAAGCGTACTTGTAAATGAAATGAAAAGACTTTATCTAGATCTAGAATCGTATCCTTTGAAGAAAGCTTGAAATAGGAGAGAGAAAAAGTGAGTATAAATTGACGAGTGATCAGGCGAAACGAGGCAGCGACCACGCACGCGCAGGATCCTTCCTCTCAATGAAACAGGTAAGGAAATAGCGTTAATTTTCAACAAAATGTCGCCGGTTTTTTTAGAAGATAAAAGAATGGATTGAAATAATTATGTAGAGGAATGATTGACTGACCATTATATTGGTCATTATATCGTCAAATCACAATTGTAAGATAAGATGAACCTTTAAATGTTATCGCGTAGTGAGATACATAAGGCTCACAATAATACTGTTTTCATATAAACTCAGCTTTGTTTTCAAATACATAACTTAAATATTTTCGTATAATTCCAAAAATCTCGGAGTATTAACTGATACAGTTCACAGTTCGACGAAATAACCCCGCTAATAGAATTTCCCATTCCTTTGAAAATATGGTACGGTAAGGGTACTCCCAAGGTACGGTCATGGTACCCTCATAGTAAAGTTGCGGTACCCGATATGATAGGTTCTGGTATTAGTGAGGACTGCAAAGCTGTCACGAATCGTTCACCAGAAGGTCTTCAAACGTTATGCCGTGCTTTTCACAATATCTAAATATAAAAGGTAGAATAATAAAAAGCTTGGAGGTGGAATCTTTAAACTTTAAAGGCTTGCCTATCACTGCCACAGTACAAGAAATCGGCTGTTGGAGTCAAATAAGATAAAATAATCATTAAAAAGGTGCTTTATAAGCAACAAACAAGACGGATTTTTAGTTATAATTTCGTAAGGATGCGAAAAATTATATGCAAATTTGAGACTGAAGAGAAAGAATCGTCAGACATGACAGTCGACATGCATAGTTATTAGTTACTTTACCAGATAATAAATCGTGTATAAAAGAGGGCACGCTAATAAAATCACCACAGTTGCGAGAGTACATCACAAAAATGAAAGTGTGATTAGCACGAATGCTATGATTTTAGCCGATTAAATCCGTGAGCGAAAAAACAAGAGCGATCAATCAGCAAATTAGAGCGACCATGATCACAGTACAGACATCATGCATCACCACGCAAAACTAAGATAAACAAACAGCCTTACCTTTCCCACCGATCATGGTTGAGTGAGGTGAAGTCCTTATCTGCTACCGACATTAGGTACCGGGCTAACTTTAACAGTTCCCTGTCTGTCCCTCTGTTCTTGTGTGCTTTCCTGTAGGCCTTGATCTGGACAAATGGTTGGGTTAAGTTTCGAGTGAATATCGTTAGACTGAGACATCTTCCTATACCATGAATTTATAAATTTCTCACACCTTAGCTCGATTTTTGGAATCTCGAACATTCGATCGTAGTAAAATTATATCTTTAAGAAAGTTCAACTAAATTTTACCTTGAGACCGCTCTTGGGTGCCATTAGGAAGTTGTGCCTAACATCATCGAAGATAACGGAGTTCTTTGCAGAAAATTGGGGGAACTTTCCCCACAACACTCCTAGCGGCTTACACCTGCAGGTTCGTTAATGATGACTGCAAATATATGGTACTGATGTCTGATAGTATGCTGGTATGGTAGTTTTTGAAATATCTTGAAATGGACCATAATTTACTGGGTGGATTACGATTAAAACAGTCGTCGACTATCAAAACTACTTTTATCTTACCACAGATATGAAGTATTTGGTTACTAGGTTACTTGTTACTTAGTTACTAGGTTACTAGGTTACTAGGTTACTAAGTTACCTGACGACATGACCCTCCTCATCCTGAACCGTTATCATAGCTCCATCATCAACCAACATGGCAACCTTGTAGCTGGGGTTCTTCAGGACCCCCAACTCTGCCATCTTAGCTTCTATCCACTTCATACCTGTAGCGGCTGAGGGGAGAGGTATTCAATATCTGGAAATCAGCCAAATACGAAACTGATCATAAGTTCCATTGTTATTAGTAAAATTACATGGTAGGAATGCCGTCTTTTAAAAACGTAAAATCGTTGAGAATAACTTGTAGCATTGGATACACTGGAGAGAATACTCACACCAGATGACGATGTCGTACTCGGAGTAAACTACGGAGAGGAACTCATGTAGACCAGGTCTCATCAACTCCTCACCCCGCTCAGCACAGGATTTGTGATCTGATCATAGGAACATGTTTATCCATAATTTCATCAAGATATAAACATATGTACCAACATAACCGAAATAACAAACCACCCTATGTTTTCAAGGGTGACAGTTTTAGATACGCAGTGAGTTTTGAACAGCTACTGGGAAAGTAAAATTGCGTGAATCAGTACTAGTACAGTCAAATCCGTCTTTTTGTCGGACAAAATTCGCAACAAAGCGATTTTAACGGGATATGGTCGGGACAGGTCCCAGGAATCATTCCAGAGAGTTCCCAAAATCCTCGACTTCAGGAAAATCCACAGTTACCACTTTTTTACCACCTTTTTACCACTTTGGTTTTCCGCAAATAAGTCTCGTTCTGAATATCCTAGAATGTAGAAGATTCTAGTTTAAAGCATTGTGTTCAGAAAACAACGAAGAACAACTTTTTCTTTAACAACTTTTTCAAAAATAAATTATTTAATTAATTAATTAAATAATTAATAAATTTTCAAATATTTCAAAAATACATTTTCGTAAAAAATGTTCACAATTACATTCCACGTATATTGAACTAATTTTTATGAAAATTTTGAAAATTTTCACTTACAATATTTTGGACTTGTAAAATTTTCGAAATTTGTAAATAAAAACCAATATTTAACACTTTTTACCACATCGAATCTCCGCTAATAAAACGACTTCTGAATGTCGTAGAAGGTTCTAGATTGAACCAATGTGTTCAAAATATAAAAGAGAACAACTTTTTATCCGACAACCTTTGGATTAGATAATTAATTAATTAGTTAATTCGATTATTAAACAAATATTCAAAAATTATACAAATTATTTTTGATCAAAATATTTTAAAATTACATATCACGAATAATTAACAAATTTTCATTAATTTAATCGGGAAATCGAAGTAGTACTTTATATAACCATATATACTAGATAAGAGTCTAACTTATGAGTCCTCAGCTGGCACATTGGTGCAATTGGATCCTGACATTTGAGGCAGGTTGATCCACAATGTATTCCTGCTTTTCTGCATGAACAAGCATTGCCACAACCTGACTTTAAACAGTTGCAACTGATTTTTTGAATGAGCTTTTTCGGAGCTGTACTCATAAGAGTGGTCACTGGTACATGTGTCCCATTGTTCTGAATAATTTGTTCATCTTCCATCCCCAGCTTATCGGATCTAGGTCATTCTCATCCCACGCCTGCAGCTGATGGTAAACACGATAATAATGTTGTTCAGCTGCCCCAGATGTTGGCAGGAGCTGTTCGCACTTGATGTCTGCTGTTAAAGATTGCGACTTCTGTTCAAGACCTGAAAGTCTAGCTTCATCTAGTGATCTCTTGGTGGTGAGAAACAGTAGGTGGTCAAATGCAAAGTGTTTTGTCATGTGCAGTAAAATGACAAGCAAATCAGTATCATCACCAATTACAGAAACATCAACTTGATTAGACCTGTAGACCACTCAACTGCCTCTCTGCAAATCAAAACATCTGCAAAACGATGTGCGAAACGGATTGAAAATGACGAAGTTATCAAGCAATTTGTTTATCTCGTTAGCGAAATTGATTGGGTTATCAATGATTACCTAATCGCTTATCACGTGACAGGGTGCTACGATACCGTAATTGGGCTTTCTGCACGATTTCTGTGCCACGCTTTCACTGGATCAGACACCACCAGTCGGATCCACGGAGTTGGTAAGGATCGGCTATTCAGAACGATTCCGAAAGTGGGAATCTAGTGCACTAAGCTACGGAGAAAGTCACGTGAAATTTTTGGGCGAGCGAATTGATAACTTAGTAAGAGCCTAACATATGTGTACTATCCCTGTCTGTAATCCGGTTCGAGGATTCATCATTTGGTGCGATCTCTACGTTACAGAATTGAAATTTGTTTAAACTGTGTTCGTGGACTAAAGATGGTCCTGCCTCATTTACAACGGACTCCTCTTCATTGGCCGATATAATAGTTAATAGCACTATGTTTACAGTATGCACTGAAGGGGTATCCTAGGAAGTTTCTTGAACTTTTAACAGGTACCCTCCTCATTTAACCCTCAATTAAGTTTCCTATCATTCGGTTGAGTCGACCGTTGAGATCGCATAGATCCAATGGATCCTTAGCTACTCCCTAGACTAGGTGACACTGGGATTCGAACCCTGAACCTTCTGCGCAGAAGGCGGATGCTCTAACCGCTAGGCTAGATATGAATCTTTGGAACTGGTCTATGGTCACTGTCTGCAATAATACACACAAGACGTCACTCTGAGCTGAATTAGTCATGCCGTTGTACTGCCGTTTAATTTCGTTCAGTGACCAGGGGTTGTTGATCCAACCTGTGGTGCGTTGATTTGTTTATTTATACAAGGTATAAGAGGCGTCAGGATAAAGAATAGGACCTCTTAAAGCTATTCACCGAAACTAACTCCTTATTTGCCTGGTAAATTAAAACATTGTATTGGTTAAGAATGCCTCTAGTTGCGCTCTCCGCTGAAATCAAACTTGAAAGTAAAACGGTAAAAACATATTACTATTATTGTACATATATTACTATTATTGTACATATATTAGTTGACAGCTACTTACATAGAATCTGCACGCGTACAGTATCAGGCACACGATGTGTTCTTCTTTTGTCAAAATATTAACTATTTCGTGTGATTTTAGTCCTCGATTTTTAGCAGATTCAACATTTTTAGGAAGAGAAGTCAACATAAAGTAAAGCTGAAGCTTACGCTTCCAAACAAACCAGTTTAACAATTTAGTTAAGCACAACACTAAGTCGAGAGATATGATGTGTAAATAGTTATAAGCTATAATAGTATCGTACAAAATTTGGATATTTTACCGTTTATTCCATTTATCTGGATTTTTTTAATCTGTTATCTTATCTATGTGACGGTGTATGTTCTGTTATTCAAGTAAATTCATTTTACGTTTTACGTCACGGCAAATATTTTTGATAAAAATTATATTTTGAAATTTTTAAAAATTTAATTATTATTTAATTAATTATTTAATTCAATTAATTATTTAATTCAATTATCTAATCCAAAGATTGTCAGATAAAAAGTTGTTCTCTTTTATATTTTGAACACATTGGTTCAATCTAGAACCTTCTACGACATTCAGAAGTCGTTTTATTAGCGGAGATTCAATGTGGTAAAAAGTGGTAAATATTGGTTTTTCTTTACAAATTTCGAAAATGTTACAAGTCCAAAATATTGTAAGTGAAAATTTTCAAAATTTTCATAAAAATTAGTTCAATATACGTGGAATGTAATTGTGAACATTCTTTATTTTTTTTTTTTTTTTATCTAGACACTTATTTTACTTCGGTGTATTCCAACAGCCACAATGTTACACAAGTGCAACCAGCCAATTACAGGAAGCCGAAGGATCTTTTTTGGCCAGTGACGGTTAAGGTAGTGTGTACCATACTTTCTTCGTCCGAGACTTTGCTGCAATGTGCAGCTCCTCATTTAACCCTCACACCCGATTTCTCGAGTATTCGGCTGAGTAGACCGGGGGGCTGCATAGACCACTCATGATCCTTAGCTGAACGTCGACGACGCTCACCCCACGACCAGGCAGTCAGTGGGTTTCGAACTCGCAACCTAACGATTGTAAGACAGGCGTTCTAACCAACTGCGCTACCTGGCCGCTGAAAATGTATTTTTGAAATATTTGAAAATTTATTAATTATTTAATTAATTAATTAAATAATTTATTTTTGAAAAAGTTGTTTAAGAAAAAGTTGTTTTTCTTTGTTTTCTAAACACAATGCTTTAAACTAGAATCTTCTAGGATATTCAGAACGTGACTTATTTGCGGAAAACCAAAGTGGTAAAAAAGTGGTAAAAAAGTGGTAAAAAAGTGGTAATTGTGGATTTTCCTGAAGTCGAGGATTTTGGGAACTCTCTGGAATGATTCCTGGGACCTGTCCCGACCATATCCCGTTAAAATCGCTTTGTTGCGAATTTTGTCCGACAAAGGCTTAAATTAGGACGGATTTGACTGTACTATACAAAAATTAAAGGTAACAAACTGTAAACACGCGCTAATAAAGTATTGCTTACCAAATAGAGTGTAATCAATATCAAGGACAAGTAACTTCTTTCCTTCCCTAAAATCATGAAACTTCTTCTTGAACTCGTACTTTAGTACTCTATTTGCTACCTTGTCCAGATTCTCAGGTCTCTCACTGATCCTCAGCATTACCTCCTCTGGTACTTCAAAGTCATCCACAACGTCCGGCATGTTTTCTGGCGCAGTCGTCGCCTAAAAGTTATAAGAGCATTGTAAATATTGGGGATTGACTACTTTAATTATATTTTATATGACGTATAAATCTACAAATATGCCCAGATCCATAAAGTTTAAAATTTCCTCCCAGATACAAGTTTTCTTTTTCTGTGGCTTCCCAGCGCTAGCACGGTGTGTGAAGCAAGCCCATAGCCAGTTCTTGGTGGTTTGTAGCTGGGCCACGGAAACATTTGTGCGTTTTTGCTTGGCCACATTAAAATCTACAATAACAATTTATCTATAGCCATTCAAAATAGTGTGTTAGAACTGAGAAATGGCTATTTTAAAGTGACTTTCTCTGACAACCCACAAGTGAAAAACAGCCAGCTGGCACCATTTATCGTAGTTATCAAAAATTATGATATGTCTTTTGCAAAGTACAGGCAACCATGTCCTGAAAAAAGGTTTGTGTGTATACGGACACGTTCATTTGAGTTTGAGGATATTGGTAAACAAAAATAATAGCGTTTTCGACGTAAGTGGCTTAATTTTGACATCTATTAACCTAGCACGTTCAGAAGTTCTGAACATTAGCCACGTAACACATACTCCCATATGCACTGCTCAGAAAGAAAATCTATTGTTGTTAAGCACTATAATGTTTCAAATGTCACATTTTGTGTGACTTAGTTAACTGTAGTTGTCTAATTATCATCCCTTGGTCTGAAATATAGTAGATTAGGTCAATCTAACAATTATGATACAACGTTGGTTAAAGGGCACGGATCGAACGGTTACAAGGCAATATTTGGGTAACTTTGTCACAGTCAGAATACCATACCTCTATTCTACTGTGAGGTGTCCTCAAAACCCTTTTAACTCATTATTTGATGGTTGATGTACCCATCATAGCCCTAAAATATGTCGTTTTGAATAGTTAGCTAATACAGGCACTTGGTTATTGGGAAATGAGGTTAATTCTGTCACAATATATGGAATTTTAAATTTTGGGCGAATTATTTATATCTGATTTTGATTTGAAAGGCGAGAAAACTTTATATGATGACAATGCAGTTGATGCAAGTTAAGATCAGTTTATGTTTACATTGTCACAAAAAATGATACGAAATCGTAAATAGGTTAAAAACAATGATTATATAATGAAATAGTCTCTTATAATAACTCTTATAATTTGTCAAAGTCACTAAAAATGTGACAAAATTAACTTTTCCTGCCCCAACAATTTCAAGATAGTGTGTAAAAATTAGCATAAGCTGCTTTATTACCTATATAAATCAATCCAAACTACAAAATAATATATAATGTTAATGTGATGACGATTACCTAACTCTAATAATAACTGATGTGACAAAGTAAACATGTCTTGCCCCTATTTCGGAGATCTATAACTCTATTAGAATTCAACATTCTTTCAGAAACGATTGGTAGAATATTGTCCAGAACATCAGAGCTCAAGTTTAACAACTTTAGGTTACATTTGTCAAAGTCACTGAAAATGTGACAAAATTAACTTTCCCTGCCCCAACAATATCAAGATAGTCTGTTAAAATTGGCATAGGATGCTTTATTGCCTATATTAATCGATCCAAACTACGAAAAGATCTGTTAATGTGATGACGATTACCTAACTCTTATAATAACTGATGTGACAAAGTAAACATGTCTTGTCCCTATTTTGAAGAACTATACCTCTATTAAAATACTATGTAACTTTATCATCAAAACAATTTCGATAAACTAGTTATTTTGCCAGCAAGGAGCTAACAGAGTTATAATAATTTTTGTGTGACGAAATGACCCTATTTTTGACCATGTTGCGGTAGTTTAATTGTGACACTGTTAACATATTACACCCGATAATGATTTATGTGACTGGTGCATGGTACTAGCAGTGTTGTTTGATCCATAGTACGCAAGATAAGGGGTTTAAGCTGGTATATCCTTATTTGTTCAATTTCACACATGTTCAGATATCATCAAGATTATGTGACAAAGTAAACTTGTTTGTGCCTTCTGTGTTTTAATTCCTTACGACTATATGCAATATAATAACAATTCCTAGCACTTCCAGGCCATCAAATAAACCTAAACTACTCAGCATTGCTTATCAGGGTGCCCTAAACATTCTTCACATATTTTCTTAAATGTGTGACAGAGTAAACCTGAGTGCACCATCTAACGAAAAAAGTCGTCAAATATGTAGGTAATGGTCATATGTACCCATCCAATCAACTGGACACTCAAAAATTTGGTCAAAAACGGCAGCAAGGGGTCCATATTTACTCCGTCACATGTTTATAGTGTGACAATGTAACCATTTCCGTGCCGGCCGTATTTAAGCGATATCTTATCATCTGATTAAGATATCGTTATGTGACAAAGTTAGCCTAGAGAATGAGACGATTATCCTAACCATCAAGGGTTTTTGTAATTTCATAGTGTGACAAATTCAACTACACTGTGCCTTTTAATAGGGTCACTTATATTTACCAATATCCTCAAACTCAAATGAACGTGTCCATACAACATGTGATTCGAAAAAGGGAATGTAGATTGTGGGCCCTCGGACAATTTTAGGGAAATTTACTTTTAGGATTAAAATCTTACAATGAGGGATGATAAATCTAGTCACGTTTGTGTCACCAATTTTGGATTATTCTTAGAAAATTTCCTCTTTACTCCAGAAAAATTGATCGGAAAGAATTCTTTTTACGCGAGTATCAAATTATACATTGAGATATTGTTCATTTAAAATTGAGTAATTATAGGCCTATCGAATGTTTGTTGATCCGGGTCTAATTCGGCTCCCATGAACAAAAACAATATGGCCGCTTAAGTTGTTGTTTAAAAGTTTAAAATCGGAAAGTTTTAAAAAAAAAGCTAAAATCGCTACAATCACTCGAATCACTCAATATTCCTGATAAAATGTTTCAGTCAACACGATCTTTGTTTGTAAAAATAGTCCTAAAAATAAATTAAGCGTACAAGAATTATTATAATACAAATCACAATACGTGGAGCTTATTCACATTATGAGACATCTATAGTCTATACGTAGCCATGCAATTGGGCTTGTAATATTTCGCGTGAACAAAACGTGAGCAAAACATGACAAAAACAGATTTTTGCCCATAACTCCTCGGGGAAGCTTTTCTATCCTACGTCATGGAGGTGATTCGGAATCAGCGTCCAAAAATACATCGATTGACGTTACTTTTAATTTTTTTCGAAAATATTTTTAAAAATTTGGGCGAGCGATTCAGTGAGAGTGATGCAATTTTAGTGGTGCCAGTACTTAGTACTTACTCATTGTACTTACTCATTGTTAAATTAATTTGATTTTCATGACGATCATTGGGGCTTGCCTATTTTTATATTTAGCCTTTCCCTACCGGGCACCTACTCTTTTTGTCATTCTGCTTAGTTAGACTGGACACTGTTGGAGTATAAACAGTTCTGATAAATTTTATTGTGATAATTCTGTGAAAGGGTGGGAAAAACGAAAATTCAACATTTCATTCTCTCAGTAGTCTATGACTCGATTATCTGATCTGATCTAGGTAAGGATGGTCATTTATTTTACATATTAATACTAATTTACATCGAATTTTCCGAATTTTCACTCTCCGAAGACTGGATACAGAATCAATTATGCAATAGTCCATATTCAAGGCATCGGTGATGCCATCTTTCTCAAGACATTTTATTACCCAGCTGGTTATACCCTGCCTCTTCCTATAAACATTTAGAAGCCGTTTTTTACGTCCAAAACTGGCCTAGTGACGGCAATTTGGTGTTCGTGGGTCTTTTGGCCTGGAAAAAAATAATTTATTGCACTTTTGTGAAAACGAGCTCGTTTTCTCACAAAAGTGCTTAAGTGCCATTATACTTTTAATTAAATGTTGATTCTGTCAACTGAAGCTATATAATCGGTACTTACAAATCTAAATTTTAATGACGGATCGATTGGTGATGGTTATAAAATTCAGAAACGCTAGCTTTGCCGTCAAAATTGCCGATTTGTCAATAGAACCTTTCAAAATATACTTCAAAATTTTCTTTACAACTTTTATTCTCTAATCAGTTGAGACTGCAAAGTTTTAGCTTGCCTGACCTAAAATGAAGCAAATTTTCGATTGGTTTTCGTCTCCGAATCAGAAATTATGGATTTTTTCGTCAAGTTTTAAATATAAATAGATATATTCTCGATAGTAATAGTATTGCCTGAGTAAATAGTATCTGGAGAGAAGATTTGTAGGATACAATACTTGAGAAGGAACAGTGTGCCTCGTGACGTGTAAAGCTGTAGGTACTTCGCACGACAATAGCTGGATAACGCAACATTGTTCACACACGTTTCGTGTACCTTCTTAGCTTATCAATTACAGTGAATGGGATATTGACTCTGAGTAGGGAATTTTAGGACATGATTGGATCTTGTGATGTAAAGTAAGAATAGCTCATCGCATGTAATACTCAACAAGCTAGTATATTTTTGCTACAAGCTTACAGGAAAAATGTTTCATCCTTTTATTTTGTGCTCGATAGACTCGGCATGGGTCAGCTGCCTTATAGAGCGAAACATATCTATTCATTTCTATAGCTAATCTTATTATATACCTCATATTCACGCTGCTATCAATCTACATTTTTGTTCGTATTGATTCGTGATCAAAGGGACAGTTTCAATATTCCGTATTATTACAACCTGTTCCTGACCATACATTTTTCTTGTACGATTTTAAATCTCTTTTCGAGTATGATGGTGGTGCCTTATAACATGGTAAACATTACTGGGCGGCGCTCAGCCTGTCATTCCGCCTAATCTCTATTCGATTATGATTATGAACATAAATATAATAGCCTGAGGTCCCCAGGTAAGGTAAACACTAAGTTATCTGCTTCCCTAGCTCATAGGCTTCCTCAAACCTGTACATCCGCTAGCTGAACGCTTTATTCAAAGAAATTTAAAATCAGTTATGTTATAGTTTCTTGTTATCATCTATATCTATCTACGATCTAGCTCCGTAATATAAATTGTATGGATTTTTATTTGCCGATAACGATAAGGGTCTGCCCACACTACGCCATGTGGCGACGGGCCACATGGCGTGGGTCAAAAGGCACAGTGTGTTTAGAGCCTCTATTCTCCGAGAGTTTCCACGCCAACTGGCGGGAGCTCTAAACACACTACGCGCCTCGTTGTGTGAATCCGGTGACTAGTGGCGGGAGCTCTAAACACACTGTGCCTTTTGACCCACGCCATGTGGCCCGTCGCAACATGGCGTAGTGTGGGCAGGAAATCCGTGCCTCTGAATAGAGGCGCAGATTTGCTAAATCCACGCCAGGTGACACAGTGTGTAGGTTAATCAGGCCATGTGGCCCGTCGCCACATGGCGTAGTGTGGGCAGACCCTAAAGGTTTTATTTAAGTATTCCCTAATCGATACTTTTACTGCATCAAAAAACATCGATCACAACCAAAGTTATGGATATAGTCATAGCGTAAATTGTAATGTGAGCTAGTTATGACGTATCATAGTTTTAAACTAATTACAACACTACAAATCTATTACATTTATTGAGAATTATGTAATGTAACGCGATGGAAGTATTTTAAGCGGGCATATCCTGTCCAAACCCAGGATACACGACATAAAGAATTTGTTTTAACTTGTTTGTATGAAAAGCATCAATAGAGCATGACAACGCGCGTTGCTAATCTGTTCTTGCTCGCGCAAGTGCAATCTCTTGATGTTGCTAAGCAACGACGCTGTTTACCTTTGCTAAAATAAGTATAACGCCATTATTCTAACGTTTATTTTACCTCACTTCCGACGTTAATTATAGAAAATCTAAAGCCTTAATCAAGATTATAAGAATGCTATAGCCTATTCCTATCCTTTATTCACAACCCTGCTAAAAACAGCGAGATTTCAACTCCATTTGCGAGCTGAAATTGGTCTTGATTGACGATGTCAACCCTTCCAGATCATTGCTCTGCGAATTAACAGAGCAACGATTGCTAGTTTGCTAGTTTGCGCGGTGCGTCGAAGCGGCGAAGTCCTCCAAAAATTGGTCACGCCAGAGGGTCATTTTTAGGTCAATTTTCAGTGGTTTTTCTTGACCCCGTTGCCGGGGGGAATTCGTCAATTTTAAAATATAGTATAGATAATTCGCAAAACCTTGGCCTTTTTTGGCCAACTCATCTGAGTTCTTCATTTAATTTAGACTAAAGAAAAAACTTATTTATTATTATCCCGTACTATCACCAATCGACTCTTCGTCAAAACAAGCGTCGAAATGCTGGTAGAATTCCGATTCGAAAACAAAATCTTATAAGGAATTGCAACGTTTCATTCCCGCTCGTTGCCACTATTTTTTAATCCGCTGGGGAGAAGGGAGTGTTTTGGTGTTCTTAAACCATCACAAATCAATTTGTCGTAAAATTTTAGGTCAGAATGATCGCAGATAAAGTTCCCACTAACATTGGTGCACTTAAGCACTTTTCTCAGAAAACGAAATTTTTAAATTTTTTATTTCAGCGTGTCATAATTTTACAACCAGTGTTTCATCACAACAGTTTAAGGCTAATTTTTCGTCTTATTTTCGATGACCAATGGTTTGAACGGGTCATTTTCATCATAACATGGAGTTTTTGCTGATGTGGCTGTACTTAAGCACTTTTCTAAGAAATTCAAACTATAATTTGTGATTTTGAGGCACTTTCCGAGAAGTTAGGATGATGAAACCTTGTCATAAGTCTCAATAGTCGACAAAGTACCTCAGAAACATTATAGTGGGTGCAGTTTAAATTTGACAGCAGCTAGCCCAGAGCAATTACCGAATTGGAATCTTTAAAGTCAATTTGCACAAAATGAACCTTTTATCTGCCAACAATTCATTTTCATTGTAGTTATTGTGTAGTTATTGACTACTGATACAGTATTTATACGTTATCGGATAAACAGAACCATCCGCTAACAGTAACACTACCGGTGCAGTGTCATGTGTGATATAACACCAAGCTGCAGCGGTCACTGTCGTGTCACTAGACTACCACGACTCAAAACACTACTAGTGTTGACGTGCAGCCGTTGGTATTCATAAAGTTGTAAGTGTGAATTTCCTAATGTTTGGATGAGCGCCTCTGAGAACCATCCACATAATAGAGTATGGATCGCGTTGATTTTCCCTTATTATTTTAAGAGCGAGATGAATTTTCGCGACCAATTAAGCCAAAAATTTCCGACGCCGGGAATCGAACCCGGGTCTTGTGGGTGAGAGCCACAGATGCTAGCCCCTACACCACGCCGGATACATTCATTATTTTGCTTATTTGTTACTTGAATACATTAATAACTAATCACATTAACGAACAGTGCATGGCGTAGCCAATTTATTCGAACACATTTATAAGTGAATTTGGGGTGGAACTTTTTTTAACTTAATCTCCAAGATCCGATGAAAGAGTTTCAGTCTGACATCACACTTTTGAAACCGAGATACAAATTCGCAACTGATTAATCCAAAAAGTTCCGACGCCGGGAATCGAACCCGGGTCTTGTGGGTGAGAGCCACAGATGCTAGCCCCTACACCACGCCGGATACGTCAAAATTTTGCTTACTTGAAGGTCGAAGACATTACAAACTGTATTACAAACTAATAAATTCAACGAACAGTGCATATCGCAGCTATTTATATTATGTATTAGTATTTATGTAACACCGAAATGAGAACATTTAAAAACTAATTTCCAGAATCCGATAAGAAAATTTGTGAAACATTAAGATATTATAAAGGCCCGGAGGGCGACAAATCTTTTCAATTTTTACGGGAAAGTGATAATTTGCAACCGATTAAGCCAAAAAGTTCCGACGCCGGGAATCGAACCCGGGTCTTGTGGGTGAGAGCCACGGATGCTAGCCCCTACACCACGCCGGATACAACCAACATTTTGCTTACTTGTGGTTTGAAAGCATTCTAAAAATATATGAAACAGTATAATGGGTAGCCGCTTTATCGATCGTATCTAAGTACGAAGCTGCTCTTACCTCAGTAATGACTTCTTCCCTGGTACCCATCATCATTATCTTCTGGTTGTTCTTCAATTTCAGATCTGACAGTACACAATCGTCCGGCGGAGGTTTACCTGAATTACGTCACTTTAGCTCGGTTGGAGGCATCTTTCAACTGCACACTTTTTAAACAGTTTGCAAGTATTTCAGCTGCAGTTATCGATAAGCCATCCATATGGGGGGGCGGGGGTCATGAGTATATTTATATACTACATCCCTCCTTTTACCAGTTTTCAGACTATATATATATTAAACAATTCCCTGCTGGCGCTAGGAAAAACTTATTGCTCCTCATCAAGCAGACCAGAAACACTGTATTTACAGCCGTTGAATTTCTGAACAAGCTTGCCTTGCGCTTTGTAATCCCAACTTCTACATTCGGCGAGTTATTTCCGTAGCTGACCTAGACTTAAGCAAAAGTCTGATAGAATATTTATTATATAAAATTAGAAAACAAAATAGTCTACTGATTGATTAAAGCTTAATAATGAACTGTGAAAGAGTGGTTAAGAACTAGTATATGACCCTGGTCATTAGGAAAGTTCGCACGAGATGGACCACATTTTCCCATTTTAACTTTAGAAGATTGTCACAGGAAGAACTTTTAAGATAGGCATATGATATTTCACATATCTATAGTTCAACTAATTTTGTTTTGATTAATAAAAGTTTTGAAGCATTTAGTCGAGGGCAAATTGAGGCTAACGAGTCATTTACATTTTGTATCCTAATAACACCTTCCAAGCATGCTATAAAAGTTTAAACATGTTTAATCGATTCATCAGATCTCACTCTTTCAGAATCCAGAGAGAAGAGGGAAATTTTTTCACTAATTGAGGGAAAAATGAGGCTAACAAGTTATTACTAATTTTTGAATTATTTTTGAATAATAGTGTCTATCAAAGTATCCTCTGACCTAAAATAGATGAGATTGATGCTCTAGGTCGAAGGCTGGCCCAGCCGACCCTTTTTTTCCTTCTAATGGAGGGGGGAATGAGGCTAACAAGTCAATACTAAGTCATGAATTATATTTTAATAATAACGTCTATCAAGGTATCCTCTGACCTAAATTACATGAGATGGATACTCTAAGTTGAAGGCTGGCCCAGCCAACCCCTTTTTTCCTTCTAATGGAGGGGGAAATGAGGCTAACAAGTCATTACTAAGTTGTGAATTATATTTGAATAATAACGTATCCAAGTATCCTCTGACCTAAAATACATGATATGGATTCTTTAGGTTGAAAGCTGGCCCAGCCGACCCCTTTTTTCCTTCTAATGGAGGGGGAAATGAGGCTAACAGATCTTTTCTAATTTTTGAATTATGTTTGAACAATAACGTCCTTTAAACTATCCTTTGCCCTGGTATACATTATATGGATACTTGAGGTCGATGGTAGACTCCACCTACCCTTTCTGTCTTTTGATGGAGGGTAAAATAAGGCTAACTATCAAGGTTGTGTTCATTGCATTTCTTGTTCTATTGCTTCTTCGGACTAGCCCTTCAATTTCAAATTGTTTCTGCCTAACCTGTATTCATTTGAGAGGTAAGATTGAGGCTAACTCCTGCTTATTATAATATTTTATAAGTGATAGTTTTAATGTTGGATGCTTTTATTTTCTTTATATAACTCCACTTTTGACCCATTTGAAAGCCACTTATTATTTTCAAAATCACACATTTCAAAACTAATTGCACTGCTTTTTTTAGCCTTCTCGCCAGTTGTACTACCATGAAGAGGTATTGATTTAAATGTTGGAGTTATTCTGCAGCTTGACGTAGATTTTTATTCATCAGTGCATTAATCAGCTTACGTTGCGGCTTTGGGAAAAATGTATATTTATAATTTGTTTAAAAATATTTCCTTGCGTTTGAGATGTGTCAAGCAAAATAAAGACTTCCCTTGTAAAATTTCTCAAACAGTTCCATTTTTATTATACTTTATAGTTTAGAGTCTAATTTGGCATGATATCAGATCATGTGGTATTACATGGCCCCATGGGTAGCATTGCCAGAGCAATTGGCCAGAGAGCTCCATAGAAGTAAGGGGCCTACTCTAGCCAACAGCTCTAGAATACATTTCCTTCCTCAACTTCATTTTCTTCATCTAACTGCTGCTGAGTGCTGCTGCTCAGCAACTACTTGACAGCTGGCTCAGTGACGTTTTTCTGCGTAGTGTATCTGTTAGCCTCAATTTTGCCTCAAGGAGGGAAGGTAGCCTCAATCCAACCTCACATAAGTTTCGATAAAGTCTCAATAACCTTCGGGCTACAATTACAAGTTTTATAGTGGGTCTATAACATGTTTCCGTACATTAAAGTTAAAATGCGGTCAAATTCTTTATTAGCCTCATTTTAGCCTCCTACAAGTAGACTCGGCGATTTCTGAAATGTTGAGCTTGAAGAGGATGAATAAATTTGTATTGTTGACACATTAGATAGTCACAATACCGAACCATCTCGAAAATATACACAAAAGTATACTTGTTAGCCTCATTTCACCCTCTCAAAAGGTGGTTAGCCTCATTTTCACCTCGAATATTTGAAGCTATAATCCCAAGGAATTAAATGTGCAACATAGATATCAAGTAACTTGTGAGTTGTTAACCTGTTACCGTACATTAAAGTTAAAATGCGGCCAAATTCTTTATTAGCCTCATTTTGGCCTCCTACAAGTAGACTCGGCGATTTCTGAAATGTTGAGCTTGAAGAGGATGAATAAATTTGTATTGTTGACACATTAGATAGTCACAATACCGAACCTGCTCAAAAATAAACACAAAAGTATACTTGTTAGCCTCATTTCACCCTCTCAGAAGGTGGTTAGCCTCATTTTCACCTCGAATATTTGAAGCTTAGATATCGATAAAGTATCAATAACCTTCGGGCTTCAATAACAAGTTTATTAGTGGGTCTATAACCTGTTTCCGTACATTAAAGTTAAAATGCGGTCAAATTCTTTATTAGCCTCATTTTAGCCTCCTACAAGTAGACTCGGCGATTTCTGAAATGTTGAGCTTGAAGAGGATGAATACATTTTTATTGTTGACATATTAGATAGTCACAATACCGAACCTGCTCAATAATATACACTAAAGTATACTTGTTAGCCTCATTTCACCCTCTCAAAAGGTGGTTAGCCTCATTTTCACCTCGAATAATTAAAGCTTAGATCTCGATCAAGTATAATCACTATGGATTATACTTGCAACTTGGATATCATGGACGTAACACGAGAATGTTCTTTTTTGAAAATAATGAGTAAATTCGTTAGCCTCAATTGTCCCTCGCAGTTCAATCACTCCTACTGAGTCTTGTGAGTGAGCTAGGAGGTCGCCGGACATCTCATTTTTAAGCCGTATTAATTTTCTATACGCATACAAAAAATTAAATGCAAAACTAAAACAGAAAAGAAATTACGGATGTTTTAAATTTTTTTTCAAAAACGAACTTTTAGGGGTGTTTCTAATGATCAGGGTCATATAGTATTTAGGGGTAAATAGTATAATGAGTATAATGGCGGCGGTGATATCGCGTGATCGAGACAGTTTTTCGCCAATATCTTGCCAGGGGAGCATTTTAACCCTATGTCATGGGGGTGATTCAGAATCAGCGTCCGAAGATACATCGATTCAAGTTGGTTTCAACTGTCGGGGGGGGGGGGGGGGGCTTTTAGAAAAATCTCGAAGATCGAGTGTAGCACGCTCGAGTTATAATCTATATTGAACAACCATTACATAACAGTGTTACACATCTCTTAATATACTTAACTTATATACTGTAACTTATAGTGCTCTGATACGCACATGGGACAGAATTCAGGAATAATAACTCCCACGTGACACAGGGATGACTCCCACGTGTTGCATTTCGTCCCGCTCACAGCAACGCAATACTAGAACGTGTGTGTCACAAATATATTTCCACGTGCCGCATTATATATTCTCGTTCCTACAATGCGCACGACTTGTGGGTCATATATCAGTGATCTCATACTCTCTTTGTCACTCCGTTTTTTGTCTGTTTGTTGTTGTGTCTTTAGTTACATAAAAACAACTATAGCTGTACCATGTTTACATTGTAAATTCAGCGATTTAATGAATTGAGCACATAATTAGTGTTTGTGCGAGATCTTATCAGTACCGAGTATTAACTGCAGTATATGTTAGCAGTTCTGAGTTCCGGGCTCCATCAGTTAATTATCTGCGCCGGCTAGGTATTTTATAGATACACGTTGTATCGGGAATTGCACTTAAGCAGGTTTTTAGGAAACAACGGCAGAAATAATGGAATTAATGGTCCTTGGAGGGGTTCTAAAAATATGCTCTTTTTTTAACGATTCCCGCTAGCAAACATTATTTAATGTTATTAGTTTAAATATAGATTTCTACATCTATAACTAATCCTTAAACTAGGATTCTCAAATCTTAGGCTGCGGTACTCTAAAAGTATAAACGACAATTATAAACAGCAAGTGTGACACAATAACTTTGCGGTTCCGCACTTGCCTAAAATTTCTAAACGTGGGGTGATCAGCTCTAGGGCCAAGGGCTATTTCATGGTCAAATTATTTACCGCAATAAAATGAACTTATACAATATTCGTAAAATAGCGATTATTATCATGGTAGACTACGTTAAACTTAAAGAAGAAGATGAACCACCATCTTATGAACAGGAGGCAGATCCCCCTCAACAAGGGTACCCACCTCAGCAAGGGTACCCACCTCAACAAGTTTGTCAGATTTGATTTTACATCTTCGTGGTTTTTAAGATATGCATCACCCATCTATGATTTAGTAGATAGTAGATGTATAATGTAGATTCTAGTGGGGATGTGTTTTTTAATTTGATTGATCAATACTGGAAGCTCATTTGTTAAACTTAATGGTTGTCACATGTCTGGAAAGATATTTTTACCTCCCCACGAGAATCCACATATAAATAGTAAATACCTCGATATAGACCTCGATTATGATACCCCACAGTTCTCAATATTGGCCTCACATTTCACATCCCAAGAAGAATACTTATGTTAAAAATCTCAATCATTAAGGGGGGGGGGGGGGGACATTGGATATTTTTTTGTGAAACTTGATTGCGAGATAGCAGTTGACCAACAAACTAGGACCGGTGACCGAACTTTTGAGGGGGTCCCGGACCCCAACCGCCAAACAGTGCCCGCAGGGCAGCCACGCCCATATTTGGTCCAAATTAGGCCCAATTTAGCCAAATACCCTGAACATGCCCAAAACCCAGATTTTAGGTGCTCTACTTGTAGCTAGTGGTCTCTTGAACTCGTATATGAAATTTCATCAAGATTGGACAAAAAATGACTGAGTTATGGGCCAAAAACCATATGCCCATATTTGGGCATACGCACCAAATTTGGTAGATTTCGTCCCATAAATTGGACAAATATCAATATTTTTAAATGAAACTTACTTTATATGAAAGGTAAGCCTAAACTACATATTTTCTATCAGGTATAGCTTTATATCTGTTTAAATGAGGATACTAAGGCGAAAAGACCACAAAAAATGAACTAAATTGCTCGTATCTTGGTTCGCGATATTCGCGGAATTGATCTCATTAAAATTGTAACAACTCAATCAGTTTTCAAAATTTTTCCATGAAATTTTTGGAATCGACTCGAAATTGCATTTCCACCTTATTTTGAGGACAGATTTTTGATTTAGGCCTCAAAAAAATTTGGCGGCCAAATTCTGAATTTTTCCGGGAAAATTTTGGAATTTGGCCGCCAAATTTTTTTGGAGGCCTAAATCAAAAATCCGTTCTCAAAATAAGGTGGAAATGCGATTTCGAGTCGATTCCGAAAATTTCATGGAAAAACTTTGAAAACTGATTGAGTTGTTACAATTTTAATGAGATCAATTCCGCGAATATCGCGAACCAAGATACGAGCAATTTAGTTCATTTTTTGTGGTCTTTTCGCCTTAGTATCCTCATTTAAACAGATATAAAGCTATACCTGATAGAAAATATGTAGTTTAGGCTTACCTTTCATATAAAGTAAGTTTCATTTAAAAATATTGATATTTGTCCAATTTATGGGACGAAATCTACCAAATTTGGTGCGTATGCCCAAATATGGGCATATGGTTTTTGGCCCATAACTCAATCATTTTTTGTCCAATCTTGATGAAATTTCATATACGAGTTCAGGAGACCACTAGCTACAAGAAGAGCACCTAAAATTTGGGTTTTGGGCATGTTCAGGGTATTTGGCTAAATTGGGCCTAATTTGGACCAAATATGGGCGTGGCTGCCCCGCGGGCACCGTTTGGCGGTTGGGGTCCGGGACCCCCTCAAAAGTTCGGTCACTGGTCCTAGTTTGTTGGTCAACTGCTATCTCGAAATCAAGTTTCACAAAAAAATATCCATTGTCCCCCCCCCCCCCCCCCCCCCCCCCCCCTTAATAACACAAGTGTATTTGTAACGAATCATTTTTAGCTTATTCTGAATTTGAACTACTTCGATTTCCTCAGGTGTACCCCCCAGTTCAAGGTCAGCCCGGTCAAGGTTATGTTCATCAACAATATCCTCAACCACAAGTCGTTGTGGTAGGTATATTTTTTTTGAAAGTTTTCATTTTATTTTCCCATTTTACTGACACCACGACATCAACTTTAAGACGTGTTCCTGCGAAAACCGTGAGAGATATAACATTATGAAACCTTCTTGGCTGGGTCGAATCCGTTTGTGCTTTTTTACCAGCATGAAGAAATAATAATTGGCCAAGGAATAAGAACTTTAGGTTCCCGTCTTAACCTAAAGTGGTGTCTCTTGACACCACTTTTATTTAGGTTAAGACGAGTCCCTGCTAGTAATTATAATTGAAATGTCTCATAATTTTTGTACTATTCAAGGGGACTTAACAATCTATAGTCAGTACTCTGGTTTCAATAAGATATTCCTGCACTACGGTAAATACTGCTGAGTGTAGGTTTTATCTTTATAGCGCAGCGGTGATATTAAACTTCAATACACTATTGGAATCATCTTCAAAACATTTCCCAAACTCCCTCGCCAGGCACAGTAAAGCAACTTAATTAATAAAAAATAAGACTCTTGTTTTATAACTTGAATCGTGTATAATAGCGACTTTTAATAACAAACTAAATAGTAAATATCTTATTTAATATTTTATTCTCTAACCTAAACGTAATATGGCAGAGCATCTTGTGGAGTGAGCTAATTGCCCATCCTTGGCGAACTTGGTGAATGTCCTTGCTGTACGGCAGTGTAAAACAAGGAACTGAAACCGAGGGGTTCCTTTCAGGCCCTTCACACTTTGTTTATGTCTGGTTCTAATATACCGTTACAATAATGACTTTAATATATATATTAAAGTATATATTTAATATATATATATAACCTAGGTACAACAAGGATACCAAGGATTCCCTCCCTCCCAAGGATTCCCTCCACAAACACACACTACACTAGCCTGGATAGCGTGTCTGTGTTTCTTCTGGCCGGTTGGACTGGTTGCTGTAGTGAAAGCTCACGAGGCAGAACAGTGTGTTGGACGAGGAGATTACGAGGGAGGAAAAAGAAGTGGAGAGGTACGTTATACTTAACTATTTGAAATTTGAATCTTAATTTAGTTCCTTTTGCTAGGATAATTTTTGCTTTCCTTCTATAAAAATGTATTTTACTGTAGAACGATTGGTGCGCAAACCTTCTCATAAACCATTTTCCCAGGCGGCTAACAAATGGGCTATTGCTGCAATCATCACACAATTAGTGCTAGGAGTTGTTGTGGGAATCATCTACTTCACTATTGGCTTTTTTGGATTATAACTGTAAAGTTCCACTGAGTACAGTTACGAAGGAAAGTAGCGTAAGTGTGAAATAGATATTTTTATTCTATATTATCATGATATTTTGAGTATTAATTTGATATACTTAATAATCTGATAGGTGAATACTCCGTTTTCAGGTGAACACCCAGATTATCAGATCTCTTAACAACTCTCTTTGGAGATGACTACTCCTTACAACCGTCCAAATCACATCGATTCTTTGAGCGGACTTTGGATTGTTGATTCTCGCATGTAGAATTGTAGATTGTAGAACAGACTAATTAGAAGAATTATCATCGTTATTCTTCTGTTTGCACGCGATCCCTAATTGATGGATGGGAGAGTGGCAGGAGTATTGCACACATCCTGATATTGGTACTAGAACTACAGTTCGTTTATATAAACACGGAATGCTACAAATACAATGTTCTAACTGTAACTAAGTCAAACTTAAGACTAATTGGTCGGTATCCTTGATACAGCAAAACTTCAAGCGGGTTTTTACTGTATAAAATATAAATGGCCAAATTACGAATCTCGCTCTATCCTTTAAACGTTTAAATGTGGAACCAAGGTGAGCCCACTGAAAATATCTTTACTGTAGGTTGTAATAAATGCTTTTCATACAAAGTTACAACAAATTCTTCATGTAGGGCATCCTGGGTTTGGACAGGTTATGCCCGCTTAAAATATTTCCATCACGTTACATTACATAATTCTGAAACATATATTATATAATTTACAATAAATTATGCAATATCACAACATTACAATCAACAGAATAAATTTAATCGCAGAATCTCAGATACAAATAATGTTTTACCAGATTTTCATTTAAATAGGTCCGAATATTTATAGATATATGTAAATGTCGCCATCTTTAATTCAGAAAAGAAAACTTTTACCGAGAAGAAGTCATATCTCTGAAATTATTGGTTTTGATATCACAGAATGCATGCTGTTTTAAATATATTAATAGCAGGAACCCGTATGACCCTAAAATGGTGTCAAGACTCAAGAGACTAAAATAATTATTACCTTTTTAATTCGCGTTTTTGACACCACTTGGGGGTCCAAATTTTGGGCTCTAAAACTCCTATTTCTTGGCCAATTTTTTATCTTTTCATGCTGATTTGGAGGCCATTAAAGCATTTGGCCCAGTGAAAAAAGTTTCAGTTACAATATCTTTTACGGTTTTTGCGGAAAGTCGCATTAAAGTTGATGCCGTGGTGTCAGTAAAATACGGATCCATATATAAGATGATAAAGTAATGTGCTTTGAATTTTTCTAATCAGTCTCTGATTTAGTGATTTCCAGAACTGTACCGAAAAATATGGTTGAGGCAATTTGGGAAGATTTGAACTGAGAAAACATTCAATTTGATTAAAAGATTTTACATCCGGTATTCATAGAAACTATACCATTACAGGTCACATAATTAACAGAAGCTTTCATATTGCATGGTGTAGTAACTATCAAGGTGTAGTAACTATCAAGCCGATACTTGTTTGATCTTATTTGCGTTCTTTAATTTTATTCTGCTGATACTTTTTACTATATTACAGCGAAAAGAAGCAGTGTAGCATTATGACTATTGATGCTTTTCATACAAACAAGTTTTTTTATTTTTTATTTTTATATAATACAAACAAGTTAATGTTACTCCGAAAGTTATGTTACTCCGAAATATAATTACTCCATGATATAATGTCAAGTCTCCAGACATCCTGGTTTAGGTCACTTGAATGTGAATCCTGATTCCTGTACCATCTAAATTAGTGTTTCTGACTTGATTTACTTACTAATATGCATATTCAGTTTTAGGGAACTATCATTTATTATAATTAATACGACCAAGATTTCGATAAGGTTATACAACTGTACAACTTATTACGAATCAAGTCATTGAAATTATTTCGATAAAATTGTAACCATATATTTTGTCCCAATAGCTTGAGGGTTTAAATTTAAACAATCATTTTTCAACTCCGCTTTTTTAAATTGTCCATTTTCATTCTTCTTCCAAATCTATGTTAGGAATATTTTGAATGAAGTCTAGTATTTAACACCACCAAGGAAAATGATGGTCAAGACTTGATTATCCCTGAAAGTCTTAAATCTTAAGCAAGGGGGGGGGGTCAACCTCATTTTACCTCATTTTACCTCATCCCAATTTTGCCTTTTTTGGCTGGCCTCATGAGGTAAAATGAGGTAAATCTCGGCAAAAATTTTTAACAGGTAAAATTCTCTAAATCGTCAATTTAGTCACGAAGGAGAATGGGAGGAGTTCTAAATGTGTGCTCCTCTAATATAAACAGTAGGAAATGGTTAACTTTAGTCGAGGTCTCAGGTCTCTACAATGTCGGGAAGTTCCTGCAGGAATTTGCGCATTGCGCTTGAAGCGCAAGATTCACAGCGCCAAAAGCGAAGGTCGTAGAGACATGAGACCTTGACTAAAGTTAACCATTTCATACCATTGCTATAAGAGTATGACACTTTCAGAGTCCTGAACACACTCCCATATCTCTTAATCGTCAATTGTATGAATTTTACCTGTTAAAATATATCATCTTTTACTGATATCAATTTAGTTTAACACTGTTAGTTTTAAAAAAGAAAATAATACTTCACACCAAACTAACACACAATATGAGAATATAAAGAGGAAGGTTTTCTTGGAGACCTGGACCATCAAAATAGTGTACATTGCTGCTGTCATTGTCAAGACTCCAGAATAAGAGGGTCTAGTTGTGGGATTATGCTGGATAACAGATATGATTTAGTGGTAACATCCTACAAAAGAATGTTAGCTCACTAAGGAATTTTCCTCTTACCGAATTATACAAGAAGTTAACTAAGTTCCTCCTAGTCCTAAGCATTATCTTGTTTCAGAGGGAATGAGTGATTTAAAAAGATGAGGCCAAAGAGTTAATTGTGAAGAAGGCATTTGTACTCTGTAATTTCTAAGCTAATTTTTTTCGATATTTATAGCTATTTATTGATCTTGTTTTGACGTATCAGCAAGAGATCACTGGACCTCGTTAGTTGTTAGTCATGTTATGCTGATCCAGTTAGTGACGAGCTATGAAGTAATCATTCGACCTCATTTAATACTGATCCTATCAATGACGAGCTATGAAGTAATCAGTGGATCTCGTCAATGCTCATCCTGTCCGGACTGTCAGTGACGAGTTATGAAGAAATAAATGAAGACCTCATTAATTGCTTGTTCCAAGAAGATATTATAGAAAACCGCGTTTCTTGGTATTTAGTGTATGCTAGTCAAGCTCTAGTCACGTAGCACGAACGGCAGGGCGTACCGTATAGTAGAAATGAAACGAGTAAACTAAAATGGATAATTAATTAAAAGGAAAAGTAATACAAAGTGAACGTCAACAGATAAAAACTTCCAAGTGTTCGCTCCAATCAATTGACGTGACTAATCACAAATGGTAGTGCTCAGTAAGACTGGCTACCGTCAATTTGAATCCCTTAAAAAGATTAAGGGGCAACTAAGAAGTGAGCTCTCCACTTCCGGCTCTTCGGGTATACTCTAAAAACTCGTCACGCCACACTGCGTGACGGCACAACGCATTTGCTTGTACCACGTGACACGCCGTCTCGCCAATGAGCACTCCACTAGCAGTCACCCTGTGTCCGCGAGGACCAACCACAGGTCTGGCTGTTAGTCAGGTGCAAAGTGAGCGGACGGCTCGTTACAGACAGTTAGTCTGACAGTAGTTCTGCCAGCCAACCGACTTACACTCAAAATGTGTAACTCCCAAATACGAACATATAAAAACATTGGTTATTATATAATACCCGGAAACACATACTAAATTCTACGTCCCTTAAACGTTATGCTAAACTAAGATATCCTAAAAGATATCTCTAAATACCATATTACAACATCTCTACCCAAAAATTTTTTTCGAATATTTTTAAACAATAAAATAATCGCCCTATTCAAAAATTAAATTTTAATGCTCCCACGCATCAAAAGTCCAATACTTAAAAATAAGTCAAGTCTCAAAATAAAATACACGGCCCTAACCCTGTGCATTAAATTTAAATCCTCAAAATCCTAAAGTTAAAACTGAAATTGACTTCCACAAATCTTTCAAAACTTTCCAAAACTTTCAAATACTTCCCTCTTGCACCAAGTTGTAGAGTCTTTGGTGTTGAGTCTTCATCATTAGATAGAGATGTATCGGAATCTCTAAAACGTCCTTGACAAGCAAACAAAGAAGTCAAAATAAATTCGAAAGTTTCTACGATCCCACCGTGGCCTCCAGATATAGAAAACCGCGTTTCTTGGTATTTAGTGTATGCTAGTCAAGCTCTAGTCACGTAGCACGAACGGCAGGGCGTACCGTATAGTAGAAATGAAACGAGTAAACTAAAATGGATAATTAATTATAAAAGGAAAAGTAATACAAAGTGAACGTCAACAGATAAAAACTTCCAAGTGTTCGCTCCAATCAATTGACGTGACTAATCACAAATGGTAGTGCTCAGTAAGACTGGCTACCGTCAATTTGAATCCCTTAAAAAGATTAAGGGGCAACTAAGAAGTGAGCTCTCCACTTCCGGCTCTTCGGGTATACTCTAAAAACTCGTCACGCCACACTGCGTGACGGCACAACGCATTTGCTTGTACCACGTGACACGCCGTCTCGCCAATGAGCACTCCACTAGCAGTCACCCTGTGTCCGCGAGGACCAACCACAGGTCTGGCTGTTAGTCAGGTGCAAAGTGAGCGGACGGCTCGTTACAGACAGTTAGTCTGACAGTATAGTAGTTCTGCCAGCCAACCGACTTACACTCAAAATGTGTAACTCCCAAATACGAACATATAAAAACATTGGTTATTATATAATACCCGGAAACACATACTAAATTCTACGTCCCTTAAACGTTATGCTAAACTAAGATATCCTAAAAGATATCTCTAAATACCATATTACAACAATATTCCTCTGGTAACAACCCCTTCTGGCCTGCTTCTGAACATAATATGAAGATTCGAAAACCTAGTCTACCTAAATTGGAACTTGCTGACTGCATTGGAAAATGGAGAACAATCGAGAAATGATAATCAGTGCCAGGATATAATCAAAGTTGAATTCGGAATCCAACGAAAACCTTCCTTTTTTATATTATAAATACATATACAAAATATTCAAAATTATAATTGATAGAGGATATAGCCGTGATAGACTGATTAAAGGCATTAAACGTTGTCTGAGGAAATATGATAACGTTTTCAGGAAGTTCGGTATTCTAGATGACCATAACATTATTAAAGAACTCCCCTGATATCTTTTGATTTATTGAAACACGGGTACTAACTCTGCTAAACTGAAAAAATTCTGAAACTTAGGTGAATAAGTGTACAACGTGCTAAACCGAAGTTCAGACTGACCAGTGAAAATGGGCGAGCGTACCAAGTATCATTTTAATTAGAAGTTTTAGTCAGTGATTTATTATTGAAGCTTGTAATTACAATATCTAATGCTCCTATAAATACTTTAATTAATTGTTTGTTCCGTTATTCTTTTTCCTTCCTCTTTTCCTTGTCATCCCCTTTAGTTTTAAGATTCTTGCTATAAATGGCTACAGCTAACACTATTAATGCTAAGTACCAAACAACAAGTGGGAGGTGGATCGTTGGTATACCATTAAATCGATTTAACACCGCAATTCCAGTCGCAAGCCTGGGACCACTACTAGCATAGTCACAACATCTATAAAGCTGCCATATAGCCTGACTGACAATTTTCTCGACTGACTGACAATGTTTCTTCTTTTTCCCCATTTAGAATACAAAGATTAGTACATTTTAGCTTATGATTAATATTATATTTTTACCTATAGTTTACCTAGATTAAACTAAATTGATATCAGTTAAAGATGATATATTTTAGAGGGTAAAATTCATATAATTGACGATTAAGAGCTGTAGGATTGTGTTCAGGACTCTGAAAGTGGCATACTCTTATAGCAATGGTATGAAATGGTTAACTTTAGTCAAGGTCTCATGTCTCTACGACCTTCGCTTTTGGCGCAGTAAATCTTGCGCTTCAGCGCAATGCGCAAATTCCTTCAGGAACTTCCCGACATTGTAGAGACCTAAAACCTCGACTAAAGTTAACCATTTCCTACTGTTTATATTAGAGGAGCACACATTTAGAACTCCTTCCAAACTCCTTCGTGACTAAATTGACGATTTAGATTATAATTTTACCTGTTAAAAATTGGTGAAAAATATGGGCGTGGCCCAAGTCAGTATTATACGAAACCGTAGACACAAAAAATTGTTTGGTTGTTCCTGATCCTATAGAGCAACTAATTAGAGGTAATATCTAATTATTTGAACGAAAAGTGGTTTTGTGAACCGCCCTTTACTCTACAGCGAATCATGAACATTGAACATGTACAATGTACATAAGAACTTAGAATTGTATGAAGTATGAGTTTATATGAGTAATTTATTATGAAATGACCTTTCACTATGCAATTTCGACTAAATTCATGTAGATATCCAATCCAGTTCCATGCACAACTGTTGTTTACATTTAGTCTAGTTAGACACAATTTGTTTCAGAGTGACTCGATAATCGCAATATCAAACTAAGATATTATTTAAATGGTCCATGTCATGCAATGCAAATGCGGAAATATCCCCATAAATTGGCAACTGCCAAAGTGACACTAAAGTTATTGCTAATTCCTTTACAAAACTTAGCAAGTGCTATTAACAATTTCCTAATGGATCATGGAAATTGAAATGTTCAATTTTCTTTTCATAAATAATAATTATAATGCAAAGTTTTATTTACCCAAAGTTTGGAGAGTAAGTAGGTTAAACTGGTAATGCCCCTTCCCAGGGACCACATCACCCCTAATAAACCATTAAATATCATTGGAGACCATGCACAGCCTCGAATTATAGTATAATGACTTCGAATAAACCTTTTTTGTCTCTAAAAAAAGGCTTAGAAAACTAGATTTATTTACCTCATTTTACCTCATTTTACCTCATCCCAATTTTGCCTTTTTTGGCTGGCCTCATGAGGTAAAATGAGGTTGACCCCCCCCCAGCAAGGGTCGACCGAGTCCTCGGTTTTACTTGCTACACGTTGTATACCTCTCGTGCACGCGAAGCGTGCACGCCGGCCGGCGCGCGCTCAAAAGGGGTTACAGCGTGTGTCAAGGTTTTACCGAGGAACAGCGATTTTTCCTCGGCCTCGGTCAGGAGGACAATTCCTCGGTTTGCCTCGGCCTCGGTTAAAAATTAAGTTGTTATTCCGCAGCCTCGGCAAAATTTTGAAGATTTTAAGGGTCGCCCGAGTCCTCGGCCTAGGCCTCTGTTTTAACGGGCCGAGGAATAGCGAATCGGCCTCGGTCAGGAGGACAATTCCTCGGTTTGCCTCGGCCTCGGTTTTATCAAAGCAAAATTTTCTCGGCCTCGGCCTCGGTCGCAAATCCTGCCCTTGGTCGACCCTTGATCTTAAGTTGAAATTTGATCAGCTACGAAAAAAAAACAATTCACCATCACTATAATACCAGCGCAATGACTACAAATAATAAAAACACGTTTCAGACTATACAAACATTAATTCATCCTCACCTTAATTGTTAATAAAATCCTTACCTTTGAGAGAAATACCACATAGTTTCTGTCGGACTGGGAGGACCCCCGTGTGTTCCTTGATCAAGTCCTTGAGCTCCTTGACAGTAGTGGAGAGTGGTATCTGCTCCAATGGGTACTCGGAGCCGCTCCACTTGATCTTTACTGAGATCATCCTGAACTTGCTACCCGGTAGTTCAATTCAGTGATTTGAAGTAATAATTGCATAAATTTATTGTTATTTATGTTATTTGTTATAGCCGGTATTACAGAAAATGTCGAATAGGAAGTGGGTCGGTGACTGATTTATAAAGTATGGCTTTGAATTTAACCCTAGCATAATTAAACTTTGACTTATTTCTATCGCAGTAACAATACGATTTTATTGAAAACATCCGTAAAACATAAAAATCGATTATAATGTGTCAAACGATCAAATCTGTTTGTCAAAATCCAACCCACAAAAATCATTATTCGTTATGTGGTGTGCAACCCTCACTTATAAAACGATAAATAGTAAAATTTGAATTTTTTGAATATTTTACAATCTTATAAAGTATGAATTAAAAATGAAATCAGTAATAAATTAAATATTTTATAAACTTTCATATGAAGCTATTCATCCGCAAATACAAATATAATCATACACACATTTTAATCTTGAGGCTTGACGCTCATAGCTTCATAGTTAAGTAAGTAAAGTAAAGCATTTCAAGAATAGTAAAGCATTTTATCCCCTTTTTATATTTAGTCGCTACTTTCAATATATTGTAAGATTGTTGTCATTTGGTTAATGCCTTAACTACAGAAATTTGTTTCCTAATAAATTCCAAAAAAAATAACTCTGCGCACAATTTTGCGTCCTATCTGAATTCTGAAATCATGACAACCAATTTAGGAATCGCATTCTTTGGATTAACTCGTTCCCCCAACTGTTCAAGATTTGGTTGAAAACATGGGACTTTTCGACTACAAGATACTGCAGCAACGGCTGAAGGTGTTTTCTATAGATCTCTGGCAACAGTCACACTTGTCGAGTTTGATCAACTTCTCCTTTAACAACTGAAACAGATTACAGGCAAGGCAAGGTTATTAAATATATATTATAACGAAAATTGAAGATCGACGACCAATATGTTATATTTGACGTGTAACGGAATCTAGTGGGGCCTGGTGATAGTTTTTAATCGATTGGTATCATGACTCATGAGATAATTATGAATTATACAATGTATTATGTACCTGTTCCATATTGCGAGACTGGACGGACGCTTTTCTTTCATCGAGCATCATCTTCGCTAACAGATGAAATGTCTAGATAGTGAATAAAACGTTTATAGAATTAAATTGAGATAGTAGCACATGTCTAGATTTGAATTAGATTTTCATAATTATCACCAAAGTATGTTTGTATTCAAAAATCATATTCTATTTAACTCTTACAGTTTTCACGTTGACATTTTCCTTAGCACTACTCTCCATGAAGGGGGCCCCAAGTCTGCTCGACACAAGAAGTCCTTGCTCGACAGGAATTGTTCTGGTGGCTAGGTCACACTTGTTACCAATGATGAGAACCCTCGTTTGGGGTGGACAGTAACGCTCTATGTCTGTCTGCCAGCTAGTTATACTCCGGTACGACTGCTCGTTGTCTACTGAATACATCAGTACCACTCCCTGAGGTTACATTCAGGCTTTAGGACGGTCAGTTCCCAGCGTGGCCTGTAGATGTGGCTATAACACCAGTCTACTGCAATGTACATACACGGTAATTCTGTGTTTGTTCAAGTGGGTTGAGACTGGAGTTTGACCAACAGCTGTCAGTTGTCACTCCTGACTCTAGGAGTGAGCGCCACTACGTAATATGTGGTTTAATTTGGCGGCACGGCGAATTCTAAAACTCTGTTCCAATCCACGCAAGCGCGCCAAAACCCTTCGTGTACCACGTTTTAGTATGGTCGTGTCGCCGCGCGTTCCAATTATACATGTTACTTTTGAGACAGAGCAAAGATGCGGAAGGTTTAGACATCCAGGCACCGCAGCATTTAGAACGTTGGTGTTAGGATGTAAGCAAATCTCTTGTACAATCCCTTGTACAATCTCTTGTACAACGTGTAAATATTCAACTTAAAATGTAAGTGATAATGGTAACTTCCGTTATGTAAACTCTCAATAACCCGTACGTTTCTTACTGTCTAATCGAGAAGACATGATGTGCTTATGAATGAGGATAATATCTCTACCACTGTATGGGTGCACTACGTAAGATATTCCGGTCATATCTAGATATTATCTACCTGAGCATTCCGGAAATGGTTTCTGGTAAGAGCTCTGTATCTTTCTTGACCGGCTGTGTCCCTGAAGAATGAAATTCTTAGACTCTCAGTCCTCGCGGAGTGAAACGGTGTGCGAGCTTTAATCTATTTTTAGCAGGGAATGCTGAATATTTGTCAGGATTGTTCGCAGGATTCACCTAGCCTCGCATCAGATTACATATATCACGCTATTTTCTCAGTACTTACATTTGCAGGGTTTAGTAAGTTTACCGGTACTACTAGTGCCCCTTCCTGAGCCCTTGACCAATGATTTTAATCTTATATAATATTGTAGAAAGCAGGAAGTCTTGAAATGAACAAAACACGTCATTAAGAGTATTACATAACTCAAAAGTAATTGCTTCCTTAATCTTTCTACTTTTCAACAAAAATCGTTATCACCTTGTATAGCAAGCAATACCAATTGTTATGATGAGTAAAGGTGACCGCATTTTCAAGGGAAAAAGCAGCATTTCTATTACTGCCATGATGAGTGAATCAAAGCCTTATAACTCACCCAATATCACCCAATATCTTATTAAAACTCACCAAATATCCAGGACAATAGCTTGATTCTCAATAACCATCGTGCTCTTTTTGTAGTCTATTCCTGCAATTAATAATCCATTAAAGCTTGCCTGGGTGTGCTCGATCCTTATGAATGTAGTCAAACACACCATAATTGCCTTATTGTTCTAAGACAAAGTGGCGATAAAACAATTAAGTGTGGTGTCTCAATGCGAGACCAAAATAGACATTTTCCTGATACACCAAACACTTTGTAATTTATCGCTTTTAATATTGTAGATTATATCTAATCAGTGCGTAAGTATAAAACAAGGCCACGTACGTGCTCATCTCAAATTTCAAGTTTTAAAAAAAATTTACGGTCTAATACGGCTATTTTCAGGAATTAAACTTGACAGTGTTGTTCTACATACAGTCAAGCACATGGTATGTAAGGCTGGAAAGCGTTGACAGGTACAAAGTAACCAGCAACATTTCTAAACCACTCACTGGAGGCACTGTTCATGGGTCAGTTAGTCATTACTCCGGTTATTATACATACGTTATATTATTATATAAATACGTTAAACATACTGTTTATTAAACATTGATGACGTAAAGTAACAAACTTAAAGTTAACCGTTTTAAGGTGTTACAACATCCAGAAGTACAAAACCAACACTACGCTGGCAATGGCCCAACTGGCCCAGTTTAGATAACAGCATGTTACTCACCAATAGTTGTGGATATCGATGGTGATGACTGGTTCTCCGTAAACTGCAACAACATTGTGCTTTTACCCACTCCGCTGTCACCTGTACACAAACACAATGTTAAATGTAAACTGTAACAACATTGTGCTTTTACCCACTCAGCTGTCACTTGTACACAAACACAATGTTAAACTCTTGTTGTATGTGATTTACTAAGTTGTATGTGACTTATTTAGCTTGATGGTGAGATGGGAGCTGAATTGTTAACTATGTGCCAAATTTAAAGTGCGACTGTAAGTTTGTTAGCTGTTTTGACTGTAAACTTTGAGTACAAAGAATTGGAGGACAATTTGACAATTATCGCTGGAACAAAGATACGGCCCCCTGGACTGGTTGCTTTGTAACGAGTTTGAGAAGAACAGCTAGACAAAGAGACACCACCCAGTTGTCCTGAACTAGACATAATGAAACCTAGAACACGTGATAACTGGCATATCATGTCCTTTGTTCTAGTACTTTGAGTTGTTTTCTCTGCTTCTCAATAAGAACAATCGAGCAAATTGCTCCAAAAAGAGCTGATGATGTTGACTCAAGAGTCACCATGTACCAGGACTATTCTATTATTGGACACTACGCAGGAGATGGAAGAGATCTAATCTATCCACAGTCCACTAACTGTGCATGCTAACATATTGAAAGGTGGTAAACAGCAGTCTGAAGACTGACAACAACAAGGCTCCAGGAGGTGCTAGGAGAGGTGCTAAGGGTGCTAGGTGGTGCTTGCTATGTCACAGAAGTGTGGTCGATACGGTCACGACTGCTGCTGACGCTTTTTATCGCACTATTTTATTATGCTGCTTTCCGGACATTTTTTACATGTTTTACATGTACGTACAATGCAAGATAAACCACATGATATATCAACAGCAACCTGCAGCTGCATCTAGCTGAACTTAGATACTTCTAAATATAATGATATTTACAGATAAATTATGACGTCATGTGGTGCAACAAGCTTAATACCGATTATGTGGGTCTGCTGCAGTCCCCTGCATAGCATTTCCTTCTTTTTTGTTGTTTCTCGAAACCCGATAAGGTGTTATCGGTATCAAGTCATAAACAATACTCGGCACGTTGGTGCCGATAAGCTCTTTTAAACAATTTTTATATCTGTAACCCTTCAGATTAGACTCAAATAACTTCCGTAATAGTTTTAATTAGTAAAATGTTACTTGACAGTTAACGGATATCCTTACTGCACTGGGAACATAACACACGTACCACCCACCCTAATATGAGGGGGGGGGGGTGACATGTCCGCCCTAATATAGCACCTAGAAATATGTTAAAACCTTACGTAGTCCCATTAAAACACCTCAGCCATACCACGGGACACCCCCAAATTCTTGAAATACTCCAACATACCTCCCTCTCTCTCTCTCCTCACATTGTTTACATTCTCACACACACACAAGTACTCACCGTAATACTTGGCAGAAGTCCTAGACGCATTCTCACAACACATGCAGTATAACATGGCTGGGGGAAGCATGTCTGCAAACACAACTCTCTCTCTTAATACATATTATTCTCCCTGTACTGGTGAGGTTTCACTCCGGCGTGGTGAGCCCAGTGCTGCCCAATGTGTCACAAAGAGGCAAGCCATACTGTTGTCAGTAGGAGTAGAATAGGGCTTTAAATTTTTAAGTAATTTAGATAGGGGAGGTTTAGGATGGTAAAATAGGGAAATTCTGTCGGGAACCAAATTCAATTTGTCTAAAATGTCTCGAAGTGACCGTAAGTATTTTACTTTGTAGTTTTCAAAACCATAGCCTTAAAGGGTAATTTCAACTTTAAGAGAATTCCTACAACTCCTGGAATTTAATCTATTTGCCCAGGATTATAAGGAGAAATAATCTGTCAGGAACCATTCAGCACAGTTGCAGTTTTAATACTCTTGCCAACACAATCGGACAATTGTAAGTCATCTCGACTAGTGTGTAATATTGTAAGTAGGTTAACCGACAGGAGGATGAAACAATGTATTGATTAGACTGTTCAGTGTGTATTTATACACACTGAACAGTCTAATCAATACATTAATACATACTTATAAGTACAGTGTAGTGATGATAAGAGGGCGGAATAAAGTTTATAACAATGATAATAACAAGATTACATTTACTTAATCGCTTTAAAGCCTAACAAGTACTACATAGCTGACAAGGTAAATTCTTAATACTGGATTGTAATTTTAATTTCAACTTTTCTGCTATATTTATTGCAAACCGGATACAACGGCATTGACAATATATTATGCAGTACAAGCATGGACCAGATTCCAAATATGACCAAGGGATCCTTCACATATTCGCATATTCACATATTAACATAGTACGCAAGCAATTAGGGAGGGGATATGGTTACACAATCTGAGAATAAAATCACGAGGCTCACTAGAGTGACTGAAGCTGTTTTGGAGCCCTTCTTCAGTGTGGAAATAAAAAGATATCCTAAATTATATCTTAATGTGACTCGGTATTATTTTACCGATAATATTATCACAGTCATCGACATGAATATTATGAAAGATAATATAATTACAATTTATTTTTAGATTATTGTTATTTATAATAAACATTGATTTAGAAGCCCGTAGCGGTGCCCATCGGGGTTTCAAGCAAACAAACTTCAAATAATGTTCATTTGTCACCATCATTAGATCGGTATTGATGTGCTTTAAAACGCCATATTAATATTATACACCTCCAGAAAGTACCAAGGTGACAGTGAATCAGCAGCACACAGTATTAGGAAATATATAACTTTAAAAGGATCAGCCCGATGATTACGGATGTGAGCAGAGCTAAACATAAAGTTAAATACTGGGTATATTTGAATGTCGAAGCGTGTAATAAATGTTAGAATTTATTTATTTGTTTATATTACAGTATGTTAGTTAGCGTAAGTAGCGTAGTTACAATGATATCCCAGTCTGTGGACACACACATATTTACACTGTTAGAATATTACAGTGTCGTCTATATTAAGTTAAAACTTACCGAGGAGAACAACTTTAAAACGGTTGTCTTGACCCATGCTACATCTGGGCTGGAGATTCGTCAGGAAGGAACTCAAGTTCTCTTGATTGTTAAAACCATGTCACTAAGAGTGGTAGTTTTGATATTATCACAATTGATTTCTATCATCAAAGGTAAGATTTAAAGAAGGTTGTCTCCTTAATATCTGATTCTATTCTAACATGTGCGGCTATACATTTATAAAAACATAATGTTACACAGTTGCAACTTAGTATAATGTAACAAAACAATATCATTTTACTGCGCTTTTATTAACCAATACAAATATAAACAGCGCCGAACTGAGTGTCCCGACTACCGATGATTAATAAACCCTTGTGAACTGAAGCAATTTGAAAATGAAGAGCAGTTCTAGATCCCGGTGGAACTAATTTGATACCAGATATCCTTAACAAGCCTTAGCAAGATAGCACAATGAAATCAAGACGAAGAAGATTGCTAATGAATACTCTGGTGTGTGTCGTGAGACTTCATAAAAATAGCACTGATTAAACTGTATCCTACTGAATTATGAGTGGGATGCTATAATATAATACCAACATAGTCCAATCTACAATCAACATCCTAGTAAAGTTTGACAGATTTATCAACTTAAATCACGTACTGTGGTAGCCACTTCATGGAAACCAACTACATAGTGAGTCTTGCAATATCACTATTTTACTGAAGTTAATGTACACCGAACATCTATCTGTGGGGTGTGGTGAATGATGCAACTTTCAAACAAGTTTCCTGCATTCTATATCTTAAAAATGTAGTCAGCCGTCGTCGGTCAATGACTGAAAGCACATTCCATGAAAGTCTGCGACGGTGACAATATTCTAAGATATTTCATGAGGTTTAACGGAGACAGAACCCATGTATCTGTGACCGTGTGTAATATTACAGCACGAAATGCAGTGCAGTAATAATCCTGGATCAGACGATGTACATCTCTTGCACCGTACTACGGAGGAGGATCTAGATTAAATAAGACTAGAAATTAATAAACTATAGCACTAATCAAGCCACTGGATTAGGTTTAATGCTAGTGTTTACCTTGCCGGCTACACGCTTTAATTTACTCGGAATATGCCTGGATTACGGCGCTTTGTCTAGTGCTGTGCAATGTGGTGTACTATTATATGATACCTCGTACAATGTACAATGTACTTTGTACATGTATGATACACTGTGTGACTGGTAATTACTAATCGTGAACCAGAAACCTAATAAAACTGACCACACTAGATCTAGTAGAACTTCTAATTTATTATTTTTATCTTTGTGCTCTGCTTTCTGATGGTTGCTTTTAGCGAACAATTCTACAATTTGCACTCTGGAAAGAAAGGAAGGCACGATGCGCGGGTGATACAACAACAAACTCTTTAAATCATCCATTAGCCAGCTGATATAAACCGTATACTATTTTTACCAAACCAAGCTGCAGCAACGTCCAGCGAACGCCTTTTAACATTACGTAATATCCAGATTTAAATGATCTGTCAAAGCACTCCATTATATTTAAATTTGGTTTAAATTAAGATTCAACTGTAGGATGGTCTGCAAGAAGCTTACCAGCTTTAATTCCTTTTAACTAGCCACACAGCAATGAGCAAATATATCATCATCCACTGGGTACTGGGTTGTCCAGGTTGGGTACATAACCAACACTACAGAAGTTGTAATTATACTGGACAATGCTTGTTGATATTATCATCCACTATAATAAGAGAGTTGAGAGTGACTCAAGATAGAACGGTTAAATTTCCCGCCAATAGTTAGAACACCTGTTACAGAAGGAGCTTGTAACAGCTGGAATACAGTGCACTCCTCATCTATACCTACAGTTGTGGTAACAATGACCTCCAACGTAGCCCCCTCAGGGTCACTTGTAAGACACACATCTCGTAGCGTTTAGTTTTACTTGTACAGTTTCCCCAATGACTGATCAGATCCGAGGTCAACACTTTCATCACTTTCACCGCTTTCACCGCACACATTACCAAACAATATAATATAAGGTGTTTATTGTTCAAACAGCTGCCCTATCACGTGACCAGTATTCTCACACTTCCCCTGGTGGTCGGTCAATTGTACATTAAACAGATTAACTGCATACTACCTGGCTGTGGAAGTACAGGGTGCAAGGGTTGTATATTGGATTATACATGTGATAACAGTGACATGATACGGGGAGAGCGATGACATATTTCTCACGGGCCTTCCACTCAACATCATGCAGTACAATATGCATTACAGGGTCTATAGTTATACGTCATATTATCACGAGTAAAATAATACGTCCCGTGCTATGATCATGATAATATCTACTCCTATAATCATGTGCCAGTTGATGAAAACATACGACACAGTATAATGTCATAATTTTTATGAAATCATGAGGATGACGAAAGTTAGAACCGATATCTCACATAATACCGACTTATCTGCTTTATCTGCCATGTACCCTGACAATAGCCCGTGAAAGGTTGTAAGGTTTTAATATGTTACCAAATTGTACTGTTGGCAAGGTAGCCCATTGGACACCATGTCACCAAATGTCTCCAGTAACCTGGCTGCTACAAGGATTATCTAGTTCCCTGGCACCTGCACACTTTATCTCTCCAATCACACGTACTACTTAGTGTGCACCACCGACCAGTCACAAATGTTGCTATTTCTGTGAAATATGATTGGTTGGGCTGAATATAGCACTTTCTTCACAAGCTGTGTGTACACAAGCAGCGCGGTATTATATCCTAGAGGAGGAGGAGGAGGAGGAGGAGGAGGAGGAGGAGGAGGAGGAGGAGGAGGAGGAGGAGGAGGAGGAGGAGGAGGAGAAGGAGGAGGAGGAGGAGGAGGAGGAGGAGGAGGAGGAGGAGGAGGAGTACAGGACACTACACTACAGGACACTACACTACTAGTGCACTGCATCAGATGAGGGGCAGGACACTGTCTTATAACACTCTGTTATAAGACTCTGCAATAATAAGGACCTGTTACTCTTCCTACACCGTGTTTTTACTGCACCTCCACTGGACTGTGGACGTGCAGTAATAAGGACCTGTTACTCCACCTACATCGTGTTTTTACTGCACCTCCACTGGACTGTGGACGTGCAGTAATAAGGACCTGTTACTCTTCCTACACCGTGTTTTTACTGCACCTCCACTGGACTGTGGATGTGCAGTAAGACACACTTTACACTCAGTGTGCTCAGTACTGGACTATGGCCAGCACTCAGTGTAAACCATGCTTTTGCAAAATTCAACTTATCTATCGGATTAAAATATTGTCTGATAGCTCAAGCCTCAAAGCACATTTATTTGCTACAATCACAACACACAAGATATGACAAATTGTCAGACAATAGGCTGTGTGGTTTCAGGCGCCCAATTAATTTGAAGACTCGACAACACTATAAATCAATGTTATAATGCCCCACTAATGAAGCAATTAACTAATTATAAAGCAGTGTAGGAGATTGTTATTTGATACGGTTGATAAGGTGGTGCTTTTTAAAGAGAACCTTTTAAAAGAGGAGTGTGTGTGAAGTGGACCATGGCCTGAGTTGACGGGGTTATTCTGGGTTTCTCTGGGGTATTCTGGGTTTTCACTGCGTGAAGTTTAAACACCAGCTCTGCTGTGAGTAACTAGCTGTCATGGGTGCTGTGATTGTTCTCCAGAATCTAGAAGGAATTGAGAGACTAGTACTCTTTGTCACAAAGATTTCACACCAAGGGTACACTTTGAGAGAGAAAGTCACGCTTTGTTTTAGAGCTTGGTAGGATCAGTACTAACGGATAAATAATGACTTTGAGAAGCGACGTTCATCCTCCATTAATCACGACGTTTGATCACTTCACCAGCACCTCCTTGCAGCCCACTAGTTACCCCACCAATCACCATCCAGACACGGTATCACGTGATGCTCACAACGCCAGCCATGATGTTTATTTCCCATTTTTAACAGAGCTTCTGACAACAGTTCTCTCTGTAAGGGAGACCTCTGTGACGGAAGTGCTAGGTAGAGACACACAGAGCGGCTGTACTAACCACTAACTACTAGACGAGAATATCCCAGAATATCCCAATCAGGCTACACAAGTACTTAACCCAGGCTACACAGGCTACACCAGGCTACCCTTGTCAGGAAGAAGCAGAGAGCCAAATGTCAGGTTTAACATCTGGCCACTTCTCTCAGACCAGAGCTAGGGGAAATAGGTTACCTACCAGTTAATTTCTGGAACCAACCTTCCAAATTTATAGTGTTCAAATTGTACAAGTGCCAACCAGACTCTAAAATAGAGAGATCGCTGAAAGTTAAATTTGGAGACAATTCTGCTCTGGGTGTTTTCATATTCAGCCTAATAACTACCCTGTATATTGAGAGGATACACCTGACCACTAGACTGGCCTTTTGTTCAGATATCCTGACAAATATAGGTCACGAATATGACTGATATCCTGCAGCTTTATTTAATATGATGTTCAGGTGAACAGTGTGCTGTTATAGAACTGCACTACAACTGCACTGCAACTGCACTACAACTGCACTACAACTGCACTGCAACTGCACTACAACTGCGCTACAACTGCACTACAACTGCACTACAACTGCACTGCAACTGCAATACAACTGCACTACAACTGCGCTACAACTGCACTACAACTGCACTACAACTGCACTACAACTGCACTACAACTGCACTACAACTTCACTGCAACTGCACTACAACTGCGCTACAACTGCACTGCAACTGCACTACAACTTGCTTGATAAGCTGATGATCTAATTCAGAGCTGCTTTGTTCGAGATCGCTAATAAAAACTCTTGAAAAGCGAGCGAATACATGGTGGAATGTGGTCACTGGTTTAGGTCATATAAGGCGTGAATTCTTAAGATTTAACAGTTGCAATAAACATTAGATATTAAACATATTTTTAGATCTTTGTGGCACGTGCAGTTCTGAGTTCTGTGGATATCAGGTGAATAAAATTTATAATTCAAAAACTTGATTTTCACAGTTATATATTTATCAAAGTATTATAATATCATAATCTATGTTTTAAACTTTATGCGGTAAAAAGTATCGATTAGGGAATACTTAGAACTTTGCTATCATCAACTAATAAAACTCCACCCCATTCACAGCGTGTTGCAATATGATGAAAGGAAATCATGAAAAGTTTTATTTGGAAAAAATTGTTTTATCCCCGGTTTGACCAGCGAATTCTAATAATTTATATAACAAAAACGTGACCAGTGTAGTGGTAAGATAATTTGAATTTTTTTGTTTGGGTCCCACGAGAAAGGAAGAGGGTAAATAAGATAAGTTTATTTACAACACAACACCATTCCTGGGTTAATCGATAAGAGCAGCTCTGATTTCATCGTGTGTGATTGTTATTTGTTGCGCCTCCAGAGTCCAGAAATTTGAGAACTTCCTAATTTATCACTCTACATAAAAGGTGGGGGCAGGTCATTGATAGGAGGGGACTTATTTACAAAATCAGTGAAATCATCGCATGACGGGTCAGAGAACCACATATTCCACTACATGTGGGTCGTGCTCTAGAGAGTGGAGGTGCATAATGAGCTGATTTCATCATCACAATCTACTACTGGGAAGTGGAGCTAAGTGTGGGAGCTGAATATCGCACCAGAGAATGAGCTAATCTCTTCATTACACACTAATTTAATTGCTTCATTAAAATTGTCACAACTTTCTTGCCCAGTAACTTACACAGATATAAGTGCTTTACACTGCCCGCCACCTCGCAATAATTAATATCAGTACTAGACTAGGTATCTTACAGCTCAGAATGACAGAATCTGCCTAATTAAAATATTAAATCTAGAGTCTCTCAGCAAGTTTAGTCAGCCGTTTCAATGTGACATGACGTGCTCTGATGTAAAAATGTAGTTTTATAACGCTGTGTGCAGTGGTTCACTGTTACTTCCACAACATTCTACTCAGTAATGAGTTTTATCGTGGTGTTATGTAATGCATGTTCGGCTATTCAACGGTTAACAATGGACGTGTAAATTCCAAGAATTGATGGAACGGTAGCTGATCATATTATGTATTTGTATCTGTGATATCATCTGTTCTAGTATTTTCTGCAGAATATCAATATTAAAGCTAGGAATTTCACTACACAGCTACTACTATACTAGGCTGCTAGTCAAATACTCAGTGCACACAGCACACAGCACACAGCAGCTAAGGAACCAATAACTATAGGATTACTTCAGTACTCATCTCATCTAGAGGTAATGAGTTTCTATTAGAAGAGTACTACAGTACAATATAGGTAGCTGCTCCACTACTCCAGGTACATTGTGGTTATTAATGAACTACTTGGAAGTGTGTCTGTGTGTCGTGAGTCACGTGGGTGAGTCACGTGGGTGAGTCACGTGGGTGAGTCACGTGGGTGAGTCACGTGGGTGAGTCACGTGGGTGAGTCACGTGGGTGAGTCACGTGGGTGAGTCACGTGGGGCGGTTCCTAAGTATCTGGGTTTCAATAAAACCTGTAGGATTATAGACTGCACCTGTGGACACTGAACCCTTCAACAGGTATAAAAATAAGTACGATTTTTAAATATGCTTATAAGGGGGTGTTATTGAAGTAGACACCGAAACTGTACAATTGTAGTTTTTGAGGAACGAGTAGACCGGTTTCGTTCTGTTTCATAGCTAAAATGACGGTATTATCGTATTGCTGGCGGTAGAGAAGTTTTAAGTAAGGTGCAATTAAGACAGCGTCCGGAATGTCATCTACTATTAGGAATAGATTATTGACTTAAATATTATTATATTAGTGGCAAAACCGGAAGAGTTTGCTCGTTATCGCTGTCGAATTTCTATCAGTATTTTGGACTTTCGATGTAAAGTTTAGCATGGTTATTTATGCTCCATAAATCCACACTGTAAGCAAGAGTTGTACAATACATAGAAACCCAGAGCTTCCTCATAATTAACAATTTGACCAGGGACTACCAAATTTAGACATGGTATTTGGAAAGACTAGAGAGTTATAATTAGTAATCTGGGTGCCCTAACTGGAAACTTGTAAACCCCCGTAAATAAAGTGACATGAGCCGATTGAAACAAATAAAGTGAGTTTTAAACACACAGCTGAGTTAGAGGGAGGTATTAAAGTATTAAGGGGAGGATAGTGTTAGCTGTAACGCTATGTAGCTGGGTGTGGTGTGCTCTTTAAGTACCAACACTAACATTATCTAGTGATCCTACACGGTGGTAGTGGACGATCAAATGAGAGATCTAATGGCCCGGTAAATTTGTACCAATCAGTAGAGATATATCCTCCGTGTTATAAAGACTAAAGAAGCATGTACTATTTTAGGGTGTTTAAATCTTGTCGGAGGGAATTGAATCCGTAATGTGTTTTATAAACTGTTTTCCCGGAGCTATGTTAAAAGTAAATTAAGAAATTGTTGGAATCAATAAAATGCTTTCATATCAAACTATAAATAATGATTTAATGAACTTGTAAGTAAATATAGTTATTGGTAATTGATACAGTAATCCGAATTAAGTAAAATGATATTTATGTAATTTATCAAAATTTGGTCAAAGAAAACACACTACAATTTGGTCACACACACTACGTCAACCCTTATGTTGATCATACCCATAAAACGAGTACATAACTGGAAAATAAGTTAAATTCTGAAAAAGGCAACCAATTTTCAATTTGAGTTGAAGTTATCCATAGTAGAAAAAGCCATCTTATAAAATATAAAAAAAGTTGTGCTGAAAAACTCCTTAGGCCATACACAAAGCCATGTCAATTAATTAATTAAATATAGTGTCCATGATGAATAATATCCGTCCGATTTATAACTTATAGTCAAATCAGCTGCTAGCTGGCCAAAAAGCAATGTTCATATTAGGAAATAAATAGCCCCCAAATTGTGAGCCCCAGTGAGGTCCATATTAAGGTCCATGTTAAGGTCCATAGTAAGGTCCATATTAAGGTCCATAACAAGATCCTAGACACGTGCTCCCCACTCTAAGCTCCAGAGTTAACCTCACAAACACCAGTACTGCTGTTATTAGCTGCACAGCACTCCGACAACTTGGACATGAACTCTGCGCACTCGCCCTCTCCTCCGTTCACAGCTATACAGTTGGCAAGGTTAGCCATAACTTCGGTGCATACTTCTTCAGTCATGTTGGTATGTGTATGAGGTAGCTAGGAGCTAGGGGTAGTAGCGGGTTAGTTTTAACTTGTCTAGCAGGAGGAGTATTATAAAAACAATGTGGGTCTAATATTGCCGGGATAGTTTAATTGAATATGTTAAACTGTGTGGACAATATAATGGGATAAGAGCTGCTCCTGGTCTAGTTGGGATAAGAGCTGTTCCTGGTCTAGTTTTAAGGAAATCTTACAATTTCGCAATAATATATTTTACACAGAGTGATATATATTTGTTACTTTTTTTTTGACAGGTCTGTCATTTTTAGGGCACGTATCAAGAAAGTTCATCTCAATCCGACCGCCTAGTTTTTAGAATATTGTATAAGTGCTCTTACGCATTATCGGCTGATTTCTATGTTTTCAGTGGAATGCAAGCGGCGGATATATAAGTTATCGAACATTTCATTACATTAAGTATAATGCACGACAAGCTGGAAAGCGGGGTGTGGCAGTTTTATGAAATCAAGTTGTTTTCACTTACATCAGCTTGCATGGATTGTTCTAGAAAGAGCATGACTAATGGAATTCCAGGCTTGTGTATCATCAACACACAAGCACTGGACTGCATCATAGCACTTTTAAATTATTTTAGCACTTTTAAATTATTTTAAAACAAAAATCAGTCATAACACGACATTTTGTTAAAACTTATCAAATATCAACATATGTCAACCGACACAAAATAATTTTTACAAATACACCATACATTGGTAGGCGACATGTTTAATGTTTATCATATATTTAGTATTTACCTTGCAACTAAAACTGAACTGTATTAGCTACAGAAAAAGGTTTAACATTAACATATAATACTGTTGTACAATTTTCAGTAATCATCATAGATCATCATAATATTTAAAGGAGATCAAATAACTATGAAAATATCGTTTAAGGAACCTAATTAGTAATTAATGACAATAAGATTGGAAGATGTGTGTTATTGTCAAACATAAACGTGTAACAAACATTCCGGACAACATTCCAACGGTTACAGTACATAATGTAGTTCAATCGAAACACTAAAAGATGCTGAAAAAGTGGTTGACTTTGCCGAAGTGTTTTTCACACGTCACCGACCAGTCAGACTGACAAATAGAAGCCCATCTCAAAGTTCATGTGAACTTCAAAAAAACATGCGAGAAACGTGCCACTGATTACGAGAGAACAAACCCCATTTTCTACTTTCAAATACAAGAAAATCACAAATTAATAATAAATAATCAAATAAAATAATTTATCTGGCGGTATAACATCCAAAAAAGTTTACTTTTAACAAATCTTATCAACACAAAAGGACTGGACGCTCAAAGAAAATATCATTATACGGGTGAACCGGTGAACGCCGAACGGAGATACACACAATATAACACAAGAAGAAAAAAACAGGCCATAATATGGGAGCTATGAAATATTTTGCACACATGTAAGCAGGAAATGTAACGTTAAGTGACTCACACCGGCCTAACAAATCACATTACCACTAGGAAGTACATTATCTTGGTATTCGGGAGAGACTAGAGGGGGGTACAAAAAGTCAGGTACGGGGGAATTAATCGTGTTACACATCACAAGGAATGAGTGTGTCACGACAGTCACATACGCTCGCATTGTCTCGGGATATATTATCACTAATCAGAGGTAACAATATATTATCATGAAATATATGAAGATAGTCGGTGTAAGAGTTAGCATATTATGCAGGAATATGCTGATCAGTGATTGGCTACAAGAAGGGGCGCCATGCTCATCAACCACAGGGCCTGGTGTGTATACATTTCTCTTTAGAAAACGTTCTTAACAGTAGTACACAAGGGTCTCACATATCAACGAGGGGTTTACTAATTTACAATCTTCAGGATTCCTTCTTGAGAATATTCAAATAATTCAATCTGCTACGTTATTCGGAGTGTAACATTTCTTTACTTCAACCTCGTCACAAATCTTCCCTTTCCTATAAACCCATCTCAAATTTGTTCACACAAACAAACATTAAGTCCCCTTACATCTTTACATACAGCCCTTCAGGCTCTGACAGATAGAAAATGTTCGAGATCATTCCCTCGGGATCAGGATTGAGAAAACACTGATCTGATGTTTATATTTGAGGAGGACGAAGAAAACTTCAATCCACGCTTGATAAAGGAAGTCTTGAAACCGACAGTATTGCCACCGGGATTGCTATTAGTACGTTTGATACCCTTTTGGAACTGAGCCAAGATGGAGAGAGGTTTAACGATAATGTCGTGTTCCATGGCAGTCGTCACTGAGTTCAGATCTCGTATATTAGGATCGTTATTCTTCCACGAAACGTAGAACTTATACCTGTGATACAGATAACTAGCTAACAACTTCCGGTAAGTGGGATAATAATTTACAATTATTACAGATGGTGGGTGTAACACCGCACCTGGCGCCACCATTTGGGCACAGAATTCAATCTATTGTGGTAAATATATTAGGGATCTAAAGCACCGTCCAGAGCGATCCATGTTACTAGTCTTAGGGAAGCAGTGCAAGTGCCATTGACACTGCAGACTACAACGTTCTGTATTACAAAACAAACGAGTGCTGTCTCCTTAGCTTAGCAACTTGTCACACTTACCACACAGCGCAATACAAGTCCATCACAATGTAGATGAGCTGTTTCTGACGGATAAAGTGCCGGTTGAGGATCTCTTTCCGTACCAGTCGTACAATAGACCTGGTAAAGTTGAGGCCTACCAAAGCAAAAGGGAACCCTTGGTACGATGATGTGGATAACTGGAACACTGAAATTAAGCTAGTTTAGAGTAATATGTCACATACAAACACATTTAGTACAACATGTTATCTTTCAATGTGGGTGTAACGACAAATTAATCATCTACTATATGTATTGTTTCGCTTAGAAACAGGTCCGTACAGGAACTGTACATGTTTATAATATGTGCAATACACCACCTCTAAGTGTAATGTACTTATCTTTAGTGTAGGGGATGTGGAAACTACCTTGTACCAGTGTGACTAACCATTTAGGTGCTTACAAATCATCACTTAAATATACTTTAAATAATGATGAATTAGAGCAAAGGTTACAATGAGTGTAATTTAAGTCATTTCAGTCATTTGAGGATGAGCTTTTCAAAGTTAAGGGGACACTGCTGCCAATAAGTAGTGTAACCCAGTGTATGGTACCAATAACAAACAAACAAAAAATCTTACCATCTTCTGCAAGAGCAGGGTACTGAGTAATGAAAAAGAGCAGAGAAACTGCTCCTAACATTTTAGCAGAGGTGAGGTCTATAGAAGGGTCTGGATGGTTAAAACCAACATCCATCCAATGAGCTCCCAGTGCAGGGCAGGTAAGAGGCCCGCCCATTAGCCGTGAGTAGATAGATTGTAGGATTAGTAAGTGTATTGGTTCAGTCCTCTCGTACCTGCAATTATATGAAACCATGTTGGGACATGTAGATCAAAAAACCGATGTGGTTTGAAAATATTAGTCCCAAATACATTCGACTCCTCTTTTTAAAAAGCATTTTCAAAATAACATCATGTTATAACTTACTTGGTCTCAGCCATAAGCAGGAATATGTCTTTCTCATTACTCAGATTTGCTGACAGTCTTGGATGAGGAGAAAAAATGCCAAGAATTTTACCATTCCCATGTTTAGCATTCTGTTCAGCAAGAATACGTTGCATTTTCATAGGATCCTGATTCTGAAAATGGGAGAGAATTTCTGCAAACGTCACAAATGAACTTGGTTTATTTGATGGTCTCCTCTTTTCTAGTCTTGCTTCACTACCCCTTCTTTTGTAAGGTTCTTGAGTTTCATCACCATCAAGGGACTTATTCAAATCATTGAGAGGGTGGATCATTTCTTTAGTCAGATAACTGTCATAACTGGTTTTGAGACTTCTGCTCTTAGACAGACATTGCTTCTTTTTAGCTGAAGCTGGGATTAAGAGGCTATCATCGAATACGTCATCAAACTCCTCGCTATCATCAGGACTACTGGGTCTGGCTTGTAACATTCTAAAAAGTTACAAATTTGGGGATTAATGCTTTTTTTCTAGCAGAACTTTGCAAAAACACATGGATGATCATTTCTGGCAATGCTTTAAAACAGACTATATATATATAAACGCTCTTTTTCGTAATAACATATTCAACATTTAATACACTAAAGATGTAACATAAAAACATAGATCAAATTATAACATAGTCAAGCTCAAATGCTGTATATAATAAATCATGTCACTGCTGATGATCACTTAACCCTCCATAGTGTCCTAACAGGAATTTAAACGCAATGTTGTCAAACTGTCATATATATAAGATTGATCTAAATTTAATTTCTAGCAAAATATGTTTACCATAAGTTAACCTACTTGATGAAGGTGGCATTGTTGCAAAAAAATCTAGTTTCCAGATAATGTCAGAAATATGATTCACTTCAATTTACTTATAAAATGTTGAACTCTACTTTATAATACTACCATTATCATTTTCTATTTGCAGATGATGGTGCACTATTCTTTGATCAAACCTGCAGAAGCACATTTATAAACATGAAAATAGAACTTATGACAATCTTTAAATGGCTCAGTGTAAATAAATTATCACTCAATGAAAAGAAGACTGAATTCCTATTGTTTGATTCTGTTGATCAACATGATGAATTAACCATTGAATGTAATGAGGTAACTTTCACAATCAAGGAGTGCAAAGAGACAAAATATCTTGGCCTCATTCTAGATAGTAAATTAAACTTCAAAAGCCATGTAGATTATGTTATTAGGAAGGTCATGAAGAGAATTGGTGCCATGTATAGAAGTAAAGCACTGCTACCCATTAAATATAGGAAAATGTTTGCCAATGCACTCATGTTGCCACAATTCGATTATTAAGACACGATCTATTGTAGAGCTGGCAAGACAAAACTTGCTGAACTTGACACTCTGTACAAAAAGGTAGCCAAAATAGCTCTCAACGTTCCACAAACAGAGAGCAGCCTTAATGTTTATAGAGACATGAAATGGTTACCACTCCATCTTAGACGACAACTCCATCTGTCAAATTATATGTTTAGAATCATCCATGACAATTGTCCTACAAACTTTATGAACAAATTTAGTTACATATCAGGAGGTAGTAGGAGCGGCGAAAGCTGCAACCTATATGTTAATAGATCAACATCACATAAAAACTTTCAATACTTGGGGGCAAAATGTTGGAATAATGTTCCAACAGATCTACGAAATCTGCCCGATGTTAAAAGCTTTAGTGATTCATATAAGAAACAGCTACTCTCATCTATAACAACAGACCCTAATTATACCGTCGACAATTCATATGACAAATTTTACACTGCAATCATAGTCGACGATAACTAAGTATCTTCTAATTCTTTTAAATCTGAGGCATATATAATTGATGTATCGAAAGGATTTTCCCTTTTTTACCACCTTACCATTTTGATTGATTTTGCGCATGACTGACATGTTTTGGCTGGAGAAAGGGTTCGCACAGTGGTAGTTTTATAAACCACTTTTAATTTATTGACCTATTATACCTGGTGGTAGTTTTATAGACCACATTTAATTTATTTACTTATTATACTTAGTATTTATTTTTGGTGACTGTATCACCCAGTTTTAACATTTGATAATTGTACAGTTTATTGACGACACATTGACTGAATGTTATTTTATATTCTAATTTATATTCTAGATATTTTATTTATTTTTCAACAGACGACAACTTCCTGTTTTTTCTTCTATATTAGTTACTCATATCTCTTTTACAGACTTTTTTACAAGGACATTGACAGTTGATACTCACATTAGGCATTCATTATTGCATCTAAATTATTTCACTTGCATTAGGTTTAGAAATTTATTCCCTGGTTAACAGATTTCAAATGTTTAATTAATTTGTAGTATGACAGTAAGGTATATAAGAAGTTATTTAATTTTGCTTGGGCTATTATATTGACTATTGAGGTTTAATGATGATATGGAATTTGAATTCTATATAAATTTACACTATGTGGTTGGGGCATTTTGCATAGTAAATATGGTTACTGCTCCTATATATCATATTATTTGATTGGTATTCGATTTCTGATTATTTCTCTAGGAATATGATTATTATATCTCAATTTGGCTTTAGGTAGGGTGCCCCGCTAAAAGAACTGGATTCTTTCAGGAAGCATCCCGTGCACAGACCTTGGTCTACATATATATATATTAAATTATTAACCATTCATTCTGTATGTGCACGAAAATTTATTTCAATCAATTTTCAGGAAAAGAGGTGACCATTCCATCCTTGAGTTTACCCATTAGCAACTGCAACACTCTGTCTGGTGATTCCAAATTCAAAAATAGAAGCTTCTTCCAGGACTTAAAAAAGTGTTGATAGGGATGTATTTTAAGAGTATAGAAAAAGTCTACCGTGAACATCATGCAAGTTTTAAGAACACAAAAAACCCTCAATTTCAAAAAAAGGATCAGAAAACTGGTGCCAGCATGCCTTTGACTTTTGTCGGTTAATCTTATTTTCAGTTTTGTGATTATACCATACCTTAGACATCGAGAGAAGCTAACCATCACTATGTGTTGAAATTCGTAGTATTTGGGTCTAAAAAATCACGCAAAGTCAGATAAATAAGATTCAGAATAATTAGCCAACAAAATCGTGAATAAAACCATAAAGTTTTTGAAAAAAAAACTGAAAACTGATAGTACCAAGATGTTTCAATAGGCTTGGTACAACACTTTAGTATAGAAATACAAAATCTTTCAACAAAATTCTTTACTCATACACCATAATGTTAGGGTGAAGCAGAAGCAGCATAAAAATGTGAACTTCTTTTGAATAAAGACCTATCTGAAGTTGACACCATACGAAATCTCTTGCAAGCCTATGGCCTAGCTGTGTGAGGAATTCCGAATGCTCAGATCACACTCAACAACATTTTCTCATTTAGTGTCAACAAGGTGCAACTTAAAATAATGCAGTGTCCTCTATTTCAATTAAGCAAATGCTTCTTTAACATGTGCACTAAGGAGGATGCCTTAAAATGGAACCTCAGTCTTCGATCAAAGCAATAGCACATTGGAAAGGCTCATAGTGTAGCACCATGCAGCAACGGATAGCCCAATGAAAGGAAAACAACAGTGAAAGCAAATTACCTTCGAAAAAATGATAAAACAAAGCAGCTCTCAAATGATTAGAACATATTCTCGAATGGTATTCAAACAACAGTGTTCACACATGATAATGTACAGAGATAGCAGATTTAAAAATATTCGTGGCTTAGTATTATTAAATTCGAATTTCAGGTCGATTCTGATGTAAGTGTTTGAAATGTTCAATCATGTTCGATAAGTAGTAGTTGTACAATTTCATGATTACATCCAGAAAGATATTGTCAGAACACAGTCAACTGTGCACCACGAATCGCAAACTATTATAGCGCTCGATTCTTGTTGAAAAGGTTGAACATTTAAAGCCGCGAAAATTTTCAAATATTATAAGTTGTAGGTTTATATACCTACCAGGACGCGCGCCGAGTTTGGAGTTGGACTCGTCGACGGTCCAAACAAATATTTTACGAATACTACCCGTTAAATTAAAAGTGGAAATAAAACACAATTTAATACATAACACCTTGTGATTCATTTTGTGCGCGAGTGCACGCTTCGCAAGTGATGCACGAGACAAGCTTGCAACTTGTATGTTGTAGCAAAGCACAGTTAATAAAATATATTTTGAAAACGAACAAATAATAGGTGTTTGCATGTTTTTTAGATTTCAGATTTTGGCTTTCGCCACAGTACATTATTAAATGAAATTACTATGAAGGTCACGACGTGAGACATTGTAGCGGGATTCACTACGACTGTGTATTGTGTTTCCGAAGCAAAGCAACTCGATCTCGTCAGATAAGAGGGGAATTGTAGGTTTACAACCTACCAGGACGCGCGCCGAGTTGGACTCGTCGACGGTCCAATATATGGAACAGATAGTTTACGAGTATCACCCATTAAGAGGGGAAGCATACGCATAATATTGCGCGCGGCATTCAGTGCTGCGCGTGCGGGTTGCCGGCATGAAGCCATAGTTTTAATGTTTTATATATATTACATACTTGTAGCATGCACGATGCACTTGTCATACGTTGTATGATCCGCCGCGCACGAAGTGCGCGGCTCCCCCTGTAGCGTCGCGAAGACGCTATAGTGAAGCGACCGTGGGGGTCACCACGTGATACAACGATGCACTACTGGGCCGCGCTGCGCATATATCGAAGATAATTCTTCTCGCAACCATTTTTGCAATGTAAATCGTTGATTCACGATGTCAATCCTTCGCAGCTCGGTGAGGCACAGTGGTGCATCTCGCCGATCTGGTTGCGAGAAGCATTATTTGATGCGCGCGCGACCCAGTAGTGCATCGCGCTACAATGTAAATCGTTACTGGGCCGCGCTCAGCCTGTCATTCCGCCTAATCTCTATTTTTTATATATTTATGAACATGATAGCTTGAGGTCCCTTAATTGACGATGTCAATTCATGGCAGCTCGGCGCGGCACAGTAACGCATCGCGCTACAAGAGGTCCCCAGGTAAGGTAAATCGGCAAAATGCACCATGCCACTAAACTGCCGGCAGCTCGCCGAGCTGCAAAGGATTGACATTACCTGGGCCTGGGGACCCCCCCTGTGTATGGTCATAAACATAAACAATAATAAAAATTCGGCGGAATGACAGGCTGAGCGCCGCCCAGTAAGATTGACATTGTGAATCAAATTATATACACTATAAGCGCTGATCGATGTATTCAATTTGTTATGTGATAACAATATTTTACCAAAACCCATAATCATGGGTAGAGTGGACTGCTGCCTGTGTCTCTCTTTCCCAAACAAAAGGAAATGATATTAATTTGATTGACCGTTCTCAAATGCAAAATGATACCGAGAATGAAATCGGTCGCTCGCTTTTCCCATTAATTCATTCACGGCTTACAATCAATCACATGCTGTAAAAATTCCTTTGGGTTGCGTTCGGGTCGATATCAGATATACTAATTAGTGCGCCATCGACAGTGAGCCGCGCGTGCCGACTGTAGGATGGTTTTTTAGCGCTAATTTCGGCCAGCACAATTTTATTCAAACAAATAGATATTGAGTATCCTTCCCGACCTCCAATTGCAACAAAAATTGGTAAGCTTACTCATAGAATTACAAGGAAAGTGTCCGAAAAATGTAAAGCATATCCAACCATCAGACATTATGTTACAGCTAAAAGCAGCGTATTATGCCCCATTTTGATCACTATATCAACTCCGATATCCACCAAATTTTTCGGACAGTTGTGAAAGCTTTATTGGAAGGTCGTCGCCAATTTCCAGAATTAGGGGGTGCACCATAAAAATAAACTTGCTCGGATTTTAAAAATTTTTGTACCATTGTTTTCTAGAGACTGTGAGAATTTTCACAATACCAAATTTGTCATACCTTTTTGAAAAGATCAGTGAGTTTCGCCTATGTGCCATATTTGATGGTGCGCGGCTTTTGGAGCAAAATTAGCTGTAAAAGTTGCGTAATTTGACCAAATTTGATCAAATTCGTTGATTTTTGTCGTATTATTCGGATATATCTTCAGTTCCTTGAATGAGATCATTCTGAAAATTGGCGACGACCTTCCAATAGGGCTTTCACAACTGTCCGAAAAATTTGGTGGATATCGGAGTTGATATAGTGATAAAAATGGGGCAAAATACGCTGCTTTTAGCTGTAACATAATGTCTGATGGTTGGATATGCTTTAAACTTTCCGGACACTTTCCTTGTAAGTCTATGAGTAAGCTTACCAATTTTTGTTGCAATCAGAGGTCGGGAAGGATACTTAATATCTATTTGTTTGAAGAAAATTGTGCTGGCCGAAATTAGCGCTAAAAAACCATCCTACAGTCGGCACGCGCGGCTCACTGTCGATGGCGCACTACCTACCAGAATGATCTCATTTAAGGAACTGAAGACATATCCGAATAATACGACAAAAATGGTCAAATTTGGACGAATTTGGTCAAATTACGCGACTTTTACAGCTACTTTTGCTCCAAAAGCCGCGCACCATCAAATATGGCACCTAGGCGAAACTCACTAATCTTTCCAAAAAGGTATGACAAATTTGGTATTGTGAAAATTCTCACAGTCTCTAGAAAACTGTGGTACAAAAATTTTTTAAATCCGAGCAAGTTTATTTTTATCGTGCACCCCCTAGATATACCTAGTATTTCGGGATAAGGGTGGTACTGGTAGTTAGTATTCATTCACGGCTTACAATCAATCACATGCTGTACAAATTCCTTTGGGTTGCGTTCGGGTCGATATACCTAGTATTTCGGGATAAGGGTGGTACTGGTAGTTAGTAAATTAGCTGAAGTTTATTGAATCTTTATTGCTGAGTACAGCTGCCTTCGGGTAGTTCTTCTTAATCTATTACAATTGTAAATTAATGGAAAAAGCGAGCGACCGATTTCATTCTCGGTATCATTTTGCATTTGAGAACGGTCAATCAAATTAATATCATTTCCTTTTGTTTGGGAAAGAGAGACACTGGCAGCGGTCCACTCTACCCATGATTATGGGTTTTGGTAAAATATCATCTCTTTTTGATTATAATGTAATATCACTATCAGGATACTTTATAAAATCGAAATAATAATATAAACTGATGTCTTCATTAATAAGGAGGAAGTTTCAACGATTTCGAAATTTTTACTTTAAAAACATTTCCTTGTGTTTAAGTAAGCATATCGGTCTATCACTGACTGAACATAAAACATTATAATCATTCAAGTTGCCATTAACTTCATTTATAATGACATTGAACTGTCGTGGTAAAGCAGAATTTGTTCGAAATCACGAATGAGCATAATTCTCACCGTTCGCACGTGCAAACTTTGAGCGGACGTTACGTGCACATCCAATACTGAATCGCCGTAAATTTTTGCATAGCGGTATTTTATATATAGTTTGATAAGCGTGCAAAGTTTCAAAAGATTTCAAATAGAACTTGGATCACAACGGGACTCCAAAGTTGATAAAAATCGTGAAAACACCAATTTTCAGTGATTTTAGCAATTTTTAATCAATTTGGGCGTGTCCCCACGTGTGCAACTTTTTGATTTTCAACTTTAAAACTAGCCTAATGCACAATTTATACCTATAGGAAGCAGAACTGAGCTCCACGACCCAAGGGATAGCCCAACACCAGAGAATACTAAATCGCAAAATTGACGTTTTAAAAAAATAATTTTTCTAAAAAGCACTAACTTCAAAGGCAAATATCTTTATGAAGGAGTAAGATAAGAAAACTTTCCGGTAGATTTTCAGAATGCTTGAACAATTATCTAAGGTGAAAATTTCCTCAGATGTTGAAAAAAATTACTTTTAAATAGTGTTAAATCAATGTTAGAAGTTATTACTTTGTCGAAAATCAAGTTTTAAAAACGGTTAACTTGATGACGTCATCAAGGGGTGTTTATGACGTCAAATATTTTTTTTATACAATCTTACTATATATAAAGCGAGACGATATATATGGTTCCGTGCCATTTTACTGACACCACGGCATCAACTTTAACGGGACTTTCCTCAAAAACCGTAAAAGATATACAACTGAAACTTTTTTGACTGGGTCAAATGCTTTAATGGCCTTCAAAATCAAATCAGTATGAAAAAATAAAAAATTGGCCAAGGAATAAGAATTTTAGTGCCCAAAATTTGGACCCCCAAGTGGTGTCAAAAACGCGAATTAAATAGGTAATAATTATTTTAGTCTCTTGAGTCTTGACACCACTTTATAGTAAGACGGGTTCCTGCTAGTGTAAACTAAAGTGTAAACAATTATTTTAAAGACCTGTGGTCGGAAATGGCTGTATCTTTTATACTTTTGAATCTAAGGACACCTAAATTTAGGATACAATTGACTATATTTGACTGTCAAAGCGTCTATCCCTGAATATGTATCACGACAATCTGTCGTAAAACAGGGGTTCTAGAAAACCCACTTCCCGATGCTCCTGAAACCTGAAACTTTTTTTGCAGTCGATTTGGTCAACGTCTAGACGCCCTGAAAAATTTCAGATCTCTAACTCAATTTTAATGTGGTTTTTAAGGCACCTGAATATGGCGATTTTGGGTTTTTTACCGAATTTCGTATAACAGTGCTGGCGAGTATTTTATGCAAATTTCTTAAAAATCTCAACATAACTATTTTTTATTCCTGTCATCTTTGACATCAAATTAGAATGTTTTGAACTAAAAATAAATCTGCTGAACGACTTCTTAATGCCTGAAAAACTCCTGCCGGAGGCGGCGGCCTTCGGCCGCCGCCTCCGGCCGGAGTGCACGCTTCGCGTGCACGAAAGAAGCTTGTAACGTGTACCAAAGGGGGTATAATTATAGTAAAGGGGGTATAATAATAAATGGGGTACATAGTATACCCACAATAAATGCAACGGTCGTGCTTGCCAGCACTGTGATAATATTAACGGGTGATAACATTAACGGGTGATACTTTTAAAATATTTGACCGACTGACCGTCGACGAGTCCAACTCTGGACGCGTCCTGGTAGGTTATAACCCCCCCCCCCCCCCCCCCCCCCCCATGACGTAGGGTAAAAATGCTTTCCTGATCCTGGAGAGTTATGGGCAAACACTGTTCTTGGTTTTGGTCACGTGACAGGCAAGTTAAACACAAATCCGGTTGTTTAGGGCTCGAGTTAGGCCGGGTTATTGATAGCGTCGGGGTTATGGTTAAGCCAGGTTGGGATTTAGGGTTTATGTAAAACTGTTTTTTCGTCTATATACAAAACCATAAGAACCAAAGTCACGTGATAATTTTTGGGCGAGTAAATTAGTAAGAGCCGTCACGACTCACAAAACCAACACAATACTGCATACTGATTTATTATCGATATTTAAGGAGACGTGATCATACTTTTTACTCTGTAAACTGTCATGATATTAGTTCAGTTGTTGCAAACTAAATTAAACACTTTGTTTATCAAGGCCGTTGGAAAACAAATAATTAAATCGCATGTGCCAATTATCTGACAAAAAACTTCATATAAAACATGGTTCATCAATCGCACTAACACACAAAAGTAGTTCCTAATTCCGGGTAGAAAAATATAACAATCGAACCAGCATCCGCTCTTACTTTTAGATGAATTAGTGTGGGAACTGTCTGCTTGTATTGCATATTTCAATTTCCTGAACCATGAAAAAATGATAGGACAAGTAGCAACATTTTCGGCTTACAAAGATTTTGAAATTCATTTTAGCGCATTCACAAATACAAAATAGCATCCAGATGCATTATGTAATCAATCAAAAACAATAAATCAGTTTTAACGATTATCTTCAAAGGAAATTAGAGCAAATAATATAAGTTATACAGCCATGCAGTGACATACTGGACTACAATTGCCATCTAAATTAAGAAAAAAAGTAGAGAATTTGGACAGCGATTATCTTTAATACAATTACAGAAATAAAAAGACCCAAAACCATTTACATAACACAGAGAAAAATCAAATACATGTTCTTTTAATAGCATGAGTACACATTTCGTGTAGATCAGCCTAGCAATCCCAATCCAAGTTTAGAGAGAACTTCTCCCGGAGTAGTGTGAGCTGCCTCTAACGACTCCTAAAGGGCAACGATAGCAGCATTAAGCGGCAGCGCAGAGGGAGGATAGTATCTGGTTTAGGAGATACAGGATAGTATCTCGTTTAGGAGATACAGGATAGTATCTCGTTTAGGAGATACAGGATAGTATCTCGTTTAGGAGATACAGGATAGTATCTCGTTTAGGAGATACAGGATAGTATCTCGTTGAGGAGATACAGAGGTACCAGAGGGGATATCAACTAGGAGGTTACAAAGGTACCAGTTGGGACGTTGGGTGTCAGCTAAGTCGCTAGGAAGAAACAGACGGGTCCTGTATAACGATCAGGAGGTAATCCTTGTCGGGTGCCACCATGATCTCGTGCTTTTTTGACCTGATGATTTTGATGGTTTAGCTAAAATCGAGTTACGGTAGTTACTGACAAGAACTGCTCAAAACTTTAAATCGAAAAGATAACAAAACCCCTGTACTGAGTACTCCACACAAACCTTATTCTAAGGAAAGTGAGGTCGTTCTGAGCGTCTATCTCTCGGACACCAGACTTGGCCTTGATTGCCAGTTCGTGGATAAGACCGGCATATTGGACTGTGGTGCTGTTATCAAGAGTCGTTCTTATTGGTATACCTGGGTAAACGATATTTAGGTTTGGTATTTCAAATACATTGTCAAGTTGGTGAGCATATAATGTTGGTAAGAATTCATCCGAAATGTGAATGCATTGGATTGGATAATAATACATGCTTTAAAAAAATGGGTTTTCAGTCACATCTTTCAAACATGGGTTGCGTCACTGCGACCAATCAACAAATCGCGCGCTTCTGCTAGACGACTTTAATTGAAAAGTCCGGTTTAAAATTTAACAAGGTCTCACCATCTTGACTGACGACAATGATTCCGATCACTCCTTTGTGCGATTGAATTCGCTTGATTGTCTCTTCAACCTCAGACATTGCTGACCCTATATCAGTGAAACAGAGTTAGAATAATCCCGGTAATATCAAAAAGTAAAGTAACAAACCAACATATCAGTGAAGTCTAAACGATGGAGTACTGAATTAATCTCTTGCAGAGTGCATTGGTAACATGCATAGTGCATACTCGCAGAACTGTAACCGCAGTCAAAAACAAGAATCCGCAAATGTGAAAATATGAATTGGAAAATTCTGTAATCATGCAATGTTACATTATGCAAAGCTCCTGCACGAAAGAAAGCGCATAAAATTCCGTAATTTCTTGAAATAATATATAGACTGGAACCTTCGAAAAACAAAATACAGAATAACTGTCTAAAAATATTGGAAATTCAGCCCTATAAAATGAAATACTTTGACATACGACGAATATTGATAAATTAAAATTAAAAACTTCCAAAAAAAATACAAAACAATATCATGAAATAGATCTAATAATTATAATAAATAAAAACCCTGTCACAAAAATGTAGTAAGTAATATGCCAGAACAGCATAGAAAGGCACAACAATCTCTCCTAAGGTTTGTCCGGCATAGACTGCTTGAAAACAGCCAGCTGTTTCAGCACCCCATCCCTCCACTCCAGGTTATCCTTGTGTTTCTCCATGGGTACATCTCCCTCCAGGTACTCAGTTACCTTAACCAGTGTCTCCCCGGTCAGAGGGCGTGGCTCTCCAAACGTGTTGCTCACTCTAACTATCCCGTCACTGTACCGCTCACAATAATCCCTGACTCCTCCGGGGGCGTTCAGGTGGATCGTTTCAAATGGTCCGATAAAAGACCAGCGTAGACCCAGACCACCTGTCATGACAGTGTCAATATCCTCAGGATCACAAACTCCGTCCTCAACAAGACGCCAACTCTCCTGGAGTACCGCGTACTGCAGTCTGTTCAGGATAAACCCGTCACACTCTTTCTTAGCTACTACCGGCTTCATCCCGATCTGTTTCATGATACTGATGGTTTTCTCCTTCACATGGCCGGAGGTCCAGGGGGCAGGGATCACTTCAACAGCAGGGCAATAGTGAGGTGGGTTAACAGGATGACAGACAATACAGTTAGCACGATGGGAGAGGCTCTCTGTAAACTTGGAGGGAACAATACATGAGGTTGAGCTGGAGAGGATGGTGGTGTCTGATACCATGGAGTCTAGTTCGGTGAATACTTTCCTTTTTAAACCCAGATCCTCCGGAACACATTCCTGGAGAAGGATAGCTCCCTCCACTGTAGAGGAGAGGGAATCGCAGGTGGAGACGCGGGAGAAACATTCTGCTGGGTCCTTTCCTGAAATCAGAGCAGAATTGAGAAGAGTTAAAATGACAAGCACGTTCAATTTAACTTTCCAATCGAGTAAACATCTGAGTTTACAAGCATTTGAGTTTACAAACCTCAGCAAAAATCTAAAAAGAAGGCTACAAACCTAATAGAAGGTTACTCTCGTGCAGAGAACGAAGCTGCGTCTCAATAACCCCCATTGCTTGAGTCATTAGTTCCTCTTTAACATCATACAGAACTACTCTGTAACCACCACGTGCAAAAAGAACTGCCCAGCTGCGCCCGATCAGACCAGACCCAACTATTGCTATCTTCTCCGACATCAGCTATAAGGAGAGCAGGGTAAGAATTTACAGTTCTCATTTGATTGATTTAATGACAGTTATTAATGATTCTATTAAAGCTGTTTTCATGCGTGCAAGGAAATGGGGAAGGTCGGACGAAAATTGTGTATTTGAATGTATTATATTTCGATTTCCTTAAATCGGTAGACGATGGCATGCTGAGTTGGCAAGAAAGAACACCTGAAGTCTAAGCTAACGAACAAAACTAAAGATATAATACAATTTAACAATCTAGTATTCACATGTTATATATTTATATTTTTTTATGTTCACAAAAAATAAATCTGAAACCCCTTTAAAGACAAATGAATTCAATCTAAAATGTACCCAAAATAGAAACTTATAGTAACAAATAAAAAAAAGGAAAATACTAATAAAAAGTAAAATAACTAGTCAAATGTTTAATTGGTGTCTAGAACAAATTTGATAAACGACACACTAAATACAATTTCAGAGTTAACTGTGGCTAAAGGTAGGCTTATTAAATCCGGTATCATGCAATGCACTCTAATATATATCACTGGTAATTACTGCTTGAGGATAGTAAAACATTGTTCAATACAATTGTTTGCAGAACAGTTTATAAGAATTCACGGAGGAAAACAGTAAAGTTAGTGTGCTTCATTATCTTAAAACTCGTCGGCATAGGTTGTCAAAGGCGATAGTATATATTTGAAGTTTAAAGATTACATTTTTCTGAAAAATAAGACTCGGCTCAACAAGCCGAGTTGGCTGCTAGCTTGTAAAACTGTGAAGCATTCGTTGAAAAGGATTTATTGTCAACATTTAACAGGATAAATTAAAGATACACCAGTCGTAAAGTAGCTCTAATAATCCTAATTAAACAATTATTAAACGAGATCTACAGTTTAGTAAGTTCAGAGCTAATCAAAGGCTAGATTTTGTACCGGTCTCGCCCTAGACTCGACTACCATAGTAACTAAGCCCTCTAAATCTAACCTCAACGTCCCGTCAGGCGACTGCTGGTGAGTGAACGCTTTGTACATGGACTGAACAGTGACACAACATCGCATGTAGTCGTCAAATCCGAGCGCTTGCATGTTGCGGGAGTCAAAGTTTTTGATAAGAACTTTGCACATTGTTTCGTCAACTCCACAGCCACATGCCTAAAGTGGGAAGGTGTGCTTTAAATTACAAGGACGCACGAAGGTCTAAAGATAGGCTAACTCGCTAGTACAATGCTTGACATGGCAAGCAGTGAGGCCAGCAGTAAGTAATGAGGGAGGAGACCTAATAAGCTGTGCTGGGTGGAAAAAGTAATTAAAAAGGCACAACAACAGTCCGCACATTATGCGGGATATTAACCTTCAAGGTGTCGTATAGTTGTGTTGAGTTGATGCCAGGAACGGTGCTGTTCGCAACATTCAGTCCAAACGTACTCTTCCAGCTCCTGATGTACTTCACCATCCCCCCAAACTCACCCATATCAATATATCCGTCCTCGTTAACGTCAAATAGCCCTGTATTTGTTGTTCTGGTGTCAAGTTTCAGTGTGTAAATTTGAGATATGGTTCAAATGTTCTTCATACAACTTCGCCACACTGATACATTACGGAGAAATTTGTCGAGTATAAAGTTTTAATTACCAAAATTATGATTTGTGAGAGTTAAAAAAAGTGAACGTGTTGAAAAAAATCTTACCCATGAGGAGTTGGCAAGTTTCGGGGTTGAAGTCGTTCTCATTAGATTGCTTTAAAGCATTGTAAAGTTCCTTTATATCGATAAGACCATTCCTGTCGCTGTCTACTCTGTAGAATATGGACTTGAGATTACTTCCTCCTTTATTTCCGTCATCCATCGTTAAATTTAGTGGTCATCCTATCACGAAATTGGGGTTACATATCATAATAAAATTGCACACTCACTCGTACGTGTGTCACTAAGGAGTATATCGGTATAGTATTCAGCTAATTGCACACATAGATAGCGAATGTGTTGATCAGTACGCATGGCGATGCATAAAATTTGTGACCAGATGCATTATGCATTAATCATTCGCTATTTGAATAGTCAATAGGCCAATTGGATCCAATTTTCAATGAAACTACGGCAATTGCTCTGCGGGCGCAGGTGCGCGGCTTTCGATAAAGTCTATAGAAAACTCTGAAAAGGAGACTTTTTTCAGCGAGATCCAGTTCGGCGTTCGCGCGTGAGCACCAATTTTGCTTCGAGCGGTTTGTTGATTTAACTTCAATTCTTTAATCTTGTGTCGCCCTCCGGTTCATCTTCGTAAAACCCAGCAATACCAAACTGGCCTTGTTTTAAAACTGCAGGCTCATCTTCACCGAGCCTTTGTTGAAGCCCCGACCACGTTCGATCGTTTAGATAGTTAACAGCAATGTCCAAAGACCTGAACTTTTCTATGGCTTTGTCGTTTATATTATCCGGGTTAGTATCTGGGGATGGTATATCGATGTAGTTGCTATCCAGTAGGGTGGAACAATCGCTGATGTAGTCTATTTCCCACGGTCTATCAACACAAGCTATCTCAAGTTCGTAGGGAGTTACTATCGGCTGATAGAATTCCTTACAATCAAGCAAAGAATTTTCAGGGCATCCCACCATCACAAAGGCGCCTATCTCGGCAAAGTTGGCAAGTTTTGGAGGGTTGGGTTTTCCAATGCTGACAATGTAAAACTTCTTATCGGCCGCCTTTATGACTTGCTTCATACGATCAATAACTTCCCGGAAGCTTTTAATTCCAAGAGTTCCGATCAAAATTCCAATGATCTTACAACTCTTAATTTTCTCAATATTGCTGAATCGTTTGATCAGCATTTTGTTGACACTCCTCGATTCCAACCGGCATTCCTTACTTGTCGGATCATAGGACCACACTTTCCTTGATCCATTATTGAGTATACAATTAGTTAGCGCCAAAGATTCTGTTCCCACATAAAATACTGAATATTCGCCATCACCTGACATATCCTCGGTGGAATCATCGCCAGAATTAGAAGTATTTTGTTCTCGACAATACTTCCTGACACAAATATTAGGATAACACCTCAGCAAGTCCTGGTTAAACCGACTACTGGCATGATAATATACCGGGTCAAAAACAACCAAGACATTGTCCTGCGCAGTGTACGTCTGTTTATAACACTCGACCAGGCTGTCTACTTCTACTGGCTCCTTGCCAAATATAAACAGGGTGGGGAGAGAGAGGACACGAGAGTTACACGAGTGACCAAAGTGTATGATGGCCTGAGTGCTGAGTCGTTGTGCCGCCACTTCGTCCACACAGCACGAACCGTAGTTGGTGTCTGCTAGTATGTGAAGTTGAGTTGTGGTTGTTGTCAGGGCGTTGTACACCTGAAATAGACAGGGATTCACTACATTGAGATAACAAATCGGTCAACTGAGAGTCAACTAATTTCACGTAAATTATTCTGGGGTTCTCATTTCAAAAACAGTTACGGCTAATTTGAGCAGGTAATTTATTGAGAAATGGGAGTATAGTAGTCTAATATCCAATTGTTTTCAATTGGTGGAACAACCTGTCAATTGACCAGGTGAGGCTGCACAGTGGGGGCACAGTGCACACATAATCATATTATACAACTATACAATAAGAGAGTTCGTGCAGCAGACATTAGACGTCAGTTCATAGTATTCATCAGTCATTAGACTGGCCCAACGTTAGCTATGTGGTGTCAGACACAAGCGGTGTGGTGGTGGAGAAGGCTGGCGGGCTTCCCGGCTCCCACACTTGCAAAACTAACCACTTCTTTAAACACCACCACCTCCCCCTCATGTCTAGACTACAATCAGATCTGTTTAATACGATAATTGTCTCCACGAGCCACTGAGCCAGTCCCACCGCTTCTAATGCTACCCCATATATATGAGTGTGCACATATTATTACAATGTTATATCCAATGGGATGGGTACCGACTCTTGAGGGCTCTTGGCGAAATTATTCCAGTTTTCGGTGTGGTAGCTGCGTTTTCAATTCTAGTGTCTAGCCGTATTGATTGGTATGGGTGGTGTCTCGCAGTGTTGCAACAATGAGTTCACACAATTCATTATAACTTGAGATATGTGCAGTCAGTATGATTGTTTGGTTCAGCGAGGAAACATTGTAACCAAACGTAACCAGGATCGTAGTCAGGGAAGAAGGGATTCAGCTGCCAGCGGCTCTTGTGAAGAAAAAATGCAGCTCAAAAGGGGATGTAAGAAAATATTTGAAGTGGGTAACCGTCACCCAATCCCAGGAGGTCCTACCCCAGTAGGGTTAAAGTTGGGTTAGGATTTGGGTTAGAGTTAGGGTAAGGCTTCTAGGCAGGAATTTCTGGGGCAGGAAATCTGCACCATGAACCATTAAAGTCTTCATTTAGGAATCCCTAGAATCCCCCCTGGCTCCGTGCCTAACTTGAACACAGGACAATCCTAATGAGAAAATGAGCCACTTAGACACAAAACAGACATTTTTTCTTATTGAAATTTCACCTAAATCAGTCTTGAACCCCCCTACCCTCAAGGCTGATGACTCAATAGATGAACAGGTACTGAAAAAGGACAATATGAGTGATTGGATACGTACTAGATACTGTTGTTCAGAAAGAATTCTTCTAACTCACCTTGGTGCTATAAGCCAGAAGATGGTCCGGGAACTCACCTTGGTACTATAAACTAGAGGATGGTCCGGGAACTCACCTTGGTACAATAAACTAGAAGATGGTCCGGGAACTCACCTTGGTACTATAAACTAGAGGATGGTCCGGGAACTCACCTTGGTACAATAAACTAGAAGATGGTCTGGGAACTCACCTTGGTACTATAAACTAGAGGATGTCCCGGGAACTCACCTTGGTACTATTAACTAGAAGATGGTCCGGGAACTCACCTTGGTACTATAAACTAGAAGATGGTTCGGGAACTCACCTTGATACTATAAACTAGAAGATGGTCCGGGAACTCACCTTGGTGCTATGAGCTAGAAGATGGTCCGGGAACTGCAGAGCCACATTCTTGAAGTTGTTTTCCTCGCACCATTTCTTACACGAGTCTAACTCGAAATACTTCTCAACATCTGATATATCACAAGTCTCTAATTGGTCCTCTAAACAAGGAGGTAGTTCCCCCGACATAGAGCTAGGTAGTACAACTTGTAATTAGTAGAGTTTTCATGTGGTTTCCAATTTATGTATGTACATTTTATTAATGTACTTTATATTATCATCTTCAAGTTTTCAATGAGATATTTAAGCTTGCATCAAAACAATTTATCGGGCTTTAACATTGATTTATTTATTCATATATTCCAATCATGGCCAATTTCGTAATTTGGAGTTTGAATTTCTAGAACCAATTTCGTTCAGTTTAACTCCGTGAAATGTCAAAATTTCTGGTAGTAAAAGAAGAAAAGAAGAACACGCAACTTTGTACATAATTTTGTATATATATGATTAAATTATGAAACTAATACTGTCATTAAATGTTTACAGTATATGTAAGCAGTAGGGTAGCTCACGTGATAAAACAAAGCACTGGGCAGCACACATGGCAATTACATACCCGAACATGTCTGGAACCCAAAAATACAAAATAATTAATGTCTAAATAAATCTGTACTAATCAGCGTTTAATAACTGCGCTCAAATTGCTATCTTCGTGTGCATAAGTCTGAAAATTCTGAACATGTGAAGGGAAAAAACTTCACCGAATCTGGTTATAAAAATATTGATTACATAACATAAATATATTACTGTTTAATAAAATGATTTATATGTTTACTCATATGAAATAAATATGATTTATGATACATATTACTACATACAAATAAAAACACATATAAACATGTTAAATACTATACACAATAAAAACCAGTCTCTGGGTCAACCAGAAACTCGACCACAACTAATAACAGTCTAGACTCCACCCCCGGTTTTTAGTCCTAATGCACTTCCATTTCACGACGATTTCACTTTGTCCTGTCTCAGCGTTGTAAGGATCATGTTTTGGAAGACGAAAGTGCGCACCGAGTACACGACGTACCGCACGATTACCAGCAGGGTTATGTACTGTATCCACGCGTACTTCATCGCCTCCCAGAACCCAGGCTCGTACCTGTGCCGTGATTTGTCGTTAGTAAGGGTACAAATAGAGTAATAAAGTAAAATAAGACTAAGTCAACTATACTACCATACTTAACTAATGACCTCTCAATACTTACGTTTCTTTTTCTGGCTTATTTTTTTCTTACATTTAGACAAATAAATAAAAGTTTCGTTATAAGGAAGACCAGCACAACATAATGTTCCTACGTGGACCAGCAGACCAAAATAGAAGTTTCTACTTTCAGGGTTCTATTGTTGTACACCAGTGTTGAGAGTGTCAGCAATGTGGAGTAACTCTGTAACAAGCCACGGGGGTAAGCTAAAATATTCATAATCACTCCCTTGTGACACGACACAGGATTACATTTTAACTGTGAGCTCCTGAGCCATGCTGAGCCAATTCCCAATATTTGGAGCTTGAATATAACAGGAGATGGAATTCGAGTGTTATGACTTATGTTGTACCTTGTTGTGGGCCTTGTGGGTATGATGCCCCATTTGCACGAGACTTCAATAATTGTATTCATTAGAAGATGATATCCAGGTGTAATAATATGTAATATCTTTATCGTGAACCTAACCGCAGGGAGCCGGTGCACTACGGATCAATAGAATGTACGTCATAGTGATATAGTACATTCGCACTTATTGCCCCAATAGTAAACCCATAACATAAAACATAAATAGCTTAATTTAGTTGGGTTGGTAGAGGAAGACCCTATGTCAACCTGTTCGCACATTATATCTACACAGTATATATTATATGGGTACACTATATCGTATAATATTGGTATCTCTCTCACTCACTACATAATATCTCCTACTTCTCCCCTCTCTCTCTCCTTCTCCCCTCCAGATGCAGCAGCACCAGGCTGGGGCGTGTGCATGTTAGTCACTACTACACATACTTTACTGGTATTAAACTTGCTGGAATTGCCAGCATTCCTCTTTCTAGTAGACACCCAATTTAGACAACCATAATAATTTGAGTCTACGTTAAATTTAATGAAAACAAGAAATTCATAGGTTTCGTAGATATCTCCTCTCAGTATTAGGTGTAGGGAGGATGTTATCAGAGAGGAGGGTGTTGTGGCGGCAGCTGAGTATGAGATAAGTATGGAAGTTGTTGAAGGCAGGTTGTGGAACAATTAACTGGCACGACAAGGACCGCCGTCAGTCAGCCGTCACACGGACGGCAGGTGTTGTCAGCCGTTTTAGAATCTACTATTAGTTCTGTCTGTGTCGGTGTGCCGCTGCAGCTTGATAATTAAATCTTAATTATGATAATTGATAATTATTTAATGGTTGTGATTATGCTGGTATGTTCGGGTTGGTATTTCGAGTTAATTTGTCATTATAATGTCATGGTTGAGTATTATTGGGCGATGATAATTTGCAGAAGACCTGAGAAGATTTCTGAAATTTCTGCTATCGTTTTCAATTTTAAACAAATTCCCTGACATAATGATAAAGTAATGCTTGATTAGTTATCAGTTATCACATACTCTGCATCAGATTTACAGCCTGCAATATCACGTGTTGTGACGTCAGCAGAACATTGAAAGGGCTACTTCAACACGAAGCTGTAAACAGCCTCAATCAGGATTAGAGTCGCTATGAAATCCTCCAAAAATTACAGGATTATCGATTGTATAGTATAATACAGGATAGGATACAATATAGGACCGTGTTTACAGAAGAGTGTTTACAAAAGAGTATCACAACATATTAGTGTGTATATGATAATGTAATATATTGTGTTTCGTCTTCTCGGGCCAAAACAATATCATTTGATTAAGAGAGAGATAATTTTAAACTCCAGTTTATTTCCAACAACAAACCATAAAATTACCCTAAAATTAATATGATTACGTATAATTAATCACACATTCCCTAATTATATGACATGTAATTACCAACCCATTACCAACTAATTACCTGACACTTTGAGGGGGTATGTTTATAACATAGCTGACAGTAAACACATCCCCAGGACTGCTTACACTGTACAACTCATCTAACTTGGTGCTCAAACTTCTCTTCGAAACGCTGTTCAGGATATCCACTATGTCGTACGACTGAAATCGTGAGTAATTACACACAAACATCTTGTGACGGTAACTTAAATTGGATTGGGGCCAAGAAGCGGGGTTACTCCATGATATCACAGTTTAAAATACACAAGTGTTTAGGGATAGTTTAAAAAGATCGGGCTCACAATTCTGAAATGACCAGGGCTCCCAATATAAATAGACGGGTCAATATTAATAGACAGCCAGAGGGTCTAACTTTAGACTAGACCGGGGGAGTAGCTCAGCTTTAAACCTGCTCTGAACTGCAGAGTTTTAAGAAAACTTTCTAAAACGTGCCCAGCTCAGGTGAAGCGTAGGGTTACATGTCAATTAGATGCACTGACATTTTTGACGATTCAAGAAACCTAACAGAGGGTCTATGAAGCAAGTGAGGGACGCTATATAGCACGTGCGTATTTGCAGGGTGCCGTCAAATAGCTCCTCCCAGGGCCCCTCACATAACTTTCCCTGTGCATTACAGAACACATGCGCTTCTTCGCAACCCACATACACACACACACACACACACACACACACACACACACGCACGCGCGCGCACACACACACACACACACACACACACACACACACACACACACACACACACACACACACACACACACACACACACACACACACACACACACACACACACACACACACACACACACACACACACACACACACACACACACACACACACACACACACACACACACACACACACACACACACACACACACACACACACACTACGTGCTAACACAGAGGGCTGCATGAGTACCTGAAGGAGAGCAGGATCCCGGAGGAGACTGTCGTTGTAGACTGTGTGAGGGTTGTGAGGTTGAAGTGTCTGTCGTTGTTGGAGAGACAGGTCTCCGTACACCACCACTCTCTGATCTGTCACTGTCTGAAACGATGATTGTTAACACACAGAGGGAGGGAGGCGACACACACACATGAGAGAGAGAGAGAGAGAGAGAGAGAGAGAGAGAGAGGGTGCTACTCTCCTTCTCTTGTGTCAGGATATATTATTTGGTTGTAGATCGTGACATTTCGTTGTGATACTTCATACTTTACACTACTCTAAAATTCTTTTGTTTTGTCTCGAACAGTTCTAAAAATGGTATATGTTCAGTGAGCTGGTTATTGGTGTATTCAGTGAGCTGATTGTTGGTGCAGCTGAAAGAAGAGTTGCAGTGTAATGTCACACTCTGGCCGTGCCAGCCAGTGGAATGCTGCATTGTCAGCGCTCCCAGTGCCACCAAGTCAACAAGACCATGCTTGTGCTGGAATGTGTCAGTGAGGGTGTTCGCAGGAGAGACCAGTCCGTGTTTTGCCTGTATCGACTATCAGTGAGCAGTTATTGAAATGTAAATTACTGGCCAGCATCACTCATCACTCTTTATTTTTCAGCCTCTCAGATCTCCAGTGCGTTCTGGTGAGTGTGTGGGTGTTTGTGTGTGCCGTGCCTATAACATTATACCCACACTATAACATTTACTGTAAACACATATTTTGTGCCAAGCAGTAACTTTAGTAACCCAGCTCAGACGGCGAGGGGGCTGTGCGTAACGTAAAGTAATAAATTGAATCAATACGCAACACAGTGTGGAGTGTTACGGGGATATAGAGAGGGAGAGAGAGAGAGAGAGAGAGAGAGAGAGAGAGAGAGAGAGAGAGAGAGAGAGAGAGAGAGAGAGAGAGAGAGAGAGAGAGAGAGAGGGAGGGTGTTTGATGCGGTTGTTGTACCAGGTGGTAACACCCTCTTATCAGCCTCATACCTCACATTATCATTATATCACCATACGTAACCTGCATTTAGCTTAAATTATTATTTTCTTTATTTATTTAACAATATTCCTAAATGCATCAACTCTCCTACCCTGCTATATTATTATAGTAGTAATTGATTTATTAATTTCCCGATATTACACGGTGCAGCAAGGGGAGGTGATGTGAGTGTGTGGGTGACGTTCCCGGCTGGTAATAGTGGAGGCCGGATTAGTTTGTTTTAACAGTGACTGTTGTTAAAAACCCGATTAGAATACATAACTGTGACACTTTAATGCGGTGAGAGTTACATATATATTTAGCTTTAAATCGGTTAGCTTATTAATAATCGTCAGGGTGACTGTTGACACATTTTCTTCCCCGCAAAGAAAACTAACGTTCCAACTAAATTGGAGGGCGTTATACATCAAAAGAGAATATGTAAACCAATAAAATAAAACTTTGAAGAGGAAAACCAATCGAGTAAACAACTAATATTAACTGGTGTAACTAATTACCGATTGAATATAGATGGGAGTTTCCATGGCAAGGTGACACAAGTCCGTTAACTGATACTGGAATACTAGCAGGGCTTGACAAGACTTTATGTCACCCTCCGTAAACTGAAATAATGATTGTTGTTAAAACTTAATAAACTTACTCCTGCAACACAGAGTGATGATTACTGTAAAGTAAATCAAATTAACAGACAATAACTAGCTCCCCTCAATCCTACTGCTTCCCCCCGTATAATATAATTGCAAAGCCTGCATAATAATGCAATATACTGCAGAGTAGCGAGCTGGTCGGTTACAAGGTTAGACGTACACACAGCTGTTGCTGCGCCGCGCACGTATTACCATAGTAACCCGAGGTACAGGGGGATGTATAATGCGGCTTCTTGCTGTTCGTAAAAGACAGTTGAACTCTGGCAACTAGACAACATGCTAATTACAGGGCGTCCAGACAAGGCCTAACTAATGGACATACATGTGCAGTACTGCTAGCCACATATCAAACTACTGCTAGCCATATATTCCTGAATATGTTAGAGCAGTTAGCCCAGCAGCAGTAGCAGCCGAAAGAGAGAGAGAGAGAGAGAGAGAGAGAGAGAGAGAGAGAGAGAGAGAGAGAGAGAGAGAGAGAGAGAGAGAGAGAGAGAGAGAGAGAGAGAGAGAGAGAGAGAGAGAGAGAGAGAGAGAGAGAGAGAGAGAGAGAGAGAGTCGAGAGAGAGAGAGAGAGAGAGAGAGAGAGAGAGCAGTATGGTCCATCCTTCTCCAGCCACTGCCTCGTGCCTTGTAGACCAGCGAAGACTGGTTTAGCGAGCCCTGTTTTGTTCACGTAGTAGACCTAAACCTCTTCTAAGTAGACCTAACCCTTTCTAAACGAGAAGAATAAGAGATACATCCCACATATATCTTGAACTCTTCAAGTCACATGTTGCTGTGATTTAATATTAATAATAGCCGGACTTTTTCAAGTGACTTAAAACTGTCGATTTCTAAGCAACTTAAAAATCCCTAAACTGTCACAACTCTCGTCAAACTTTCTATGCTAATTGAGTGGCCTTATAAAGTCGAACCAAATAATAAAAGTACAGTGCGGCAACCTTTAATGAATACTGATTTGTAACATAATGTTAAGTTAATTAACTGACCTGTAAGGTAATGTTGAGTTGATCTGTCAGTCCGTCTCTGTCAGTGTCCTGCTCAGCTACACTGACACTTGGTACAGACAACATGTCCTGTACTAGCGTGTTGTAGTACGACCACGTGCTCCAAACTTTACTTTCACTTTCTGTATGGGGGAGAGAGTGTTATAAAACTTTACTTTCGCTTTTGGTGTGGGAGAGATTGTTACTTTCATGGTGAGACAACTCAGCCACTTGACAATAATTACCAGGGTGGCCGAAGAGTGACACCACAAAACGCAAAATAAAAGCGTCTTCAAATATTTTTGGTTTTGTTGCAATATTGGTGGCACGCCTCGGTCACATGATTGACCAAAATGTGCCAACACAAAAAACAATAGATTGAAACAGAATTGAAACAAAATCAATCTGTTTTTAAAAACATTTTTTTGCTTTGATGTTGGCACTTCTAGCCCACAATTATTTAGAACTGTTCACTAATAGTGTTATTCTAAGTTGAGCCATGTAACCACATTGACCTAGCTGGCTCCTGACAGCTATCCATATTACATATATCATAGCTAAATTTAAATATTTTATACTGACTGCTGAGTCACAGTTTGTTTAATAAGTTATGTAGGCCACAAAGGTCGGGTTCTACCAGCTGCACTGGTTCAACCTGTTCTACCGGTACTGCCTTATGTCGGCTTAATAGTTAATACATATAAATAGCCGCGCTTTCATCGATATAATGAATGAAAATGGTTATCAACATTCAACATGACATATTATATCAACATTATAAGATCAAGTATTGTCAACTGTGCCAGATCTTAAAATAGATGTGCATTATATGGATGTTCCTGTGTCAGGCCTTTAAACGAGATCGTGTAATCTACATAGTTAACAAACCTAATCTCATGAAATTAACCTGAACCACAGAGGAACAATCCAACATAATGCATTTATGTTAAGGCATCTCAATAATCTATGCGATATTATTATAATAATACGAGAGCCGTACAAGGGGACTTACGACTATTTTGTAGTTGAGTAATCAGCTTGTACTTGAATTGGACATGGGGTTGTTCGTAGTATGTCATGTCTGATACCCACAGGTTGCGGGTGTAGAAGCCTGATTGGGAAATAAGTTATAATTGGTATATAGATAATGAGATAAAATCAAACTGTATTATATTCATATAGCAGCATTAAAGAATGAATATTACTTCGACTTAAAAACTTAAAAGTGGGAGTGGTGAAGTATTAACGGTTTATCAGGTTAATTCAGGTAATTTCACGATACGTACCTACCTATGACCTATGTGACCTATGTTGAGTTTCGTCAAGACTTGACGGGGCCATCACATCTTCTGACCACCCCATAGCGAAGTAGAGTCTCGCTCGTTGCGCCAGCACAGCAGAGAGTTCGTATTTGGAGGAGTATATCCCCTGATCGGCGGCTTATCAGGGAGAGACAACATGAACTTTGTGAGCTTATCTTTGAAGTGCTCTAGATCTTGAATGACATTCAGATGGTAGGGGATTGCATTCCACAATTTAGGTCCCTGAACTGCAAATGAGTTGTCAAACAAGGTGAGGTTTGCTGTTGAACTGGTTCTACGTTTTGATGGAATTACTGCAAGGTTTCCAAGCCTTGGGCGTGAAACAAATAGAACGTTCAGATCATTGCTGGTCTTTCCGTGGAGGATTTTCCACATATGGAGAATGATGAATCGCTCCCGCCTTCGTTGAAGAGACATCAGAGATAGATAGACCAGGCGATCCCAGTAGTGGAGATCGCGCATTCCTGATATTCTGGCGGTGAATGCTTTCTGTACACTCTCCAGTTCTTGGATATCGCTGATTTTTGAGGGATGCCATAATGGACAGCAATATTCAATCAGACTTCGAACCATTGATTTGTATAGCGTCAGCATGATGGAGTGAGATCGTGTGTGAAATACACTGAGAACCCATGATGCTTTTTGGCGAGCTTTATCTGCAATGGCTCGTATGTGAGGGGACCAAGAGAGATCACTTGACACTATGACGCCTAAATCCCTGAGCTGATGTATTGGCTCAAGTATAGTGTCTTTGGAAACTGAGTATTGATAGTGTTCAACCACAAATGGAAGTTCAGATAGTACATATTGGTGGTTGAATTTATGACACATGTACTCAAATTTGTCTTTGTGAAGGGCCATATTATTTCTTTCAGACCAGTCAATGACATTTTGCAGATCTTCTTGGAGGAGCTTGACGTCATGCTCCGATTTGATAGCAATGGATATGCGAGTGTCATCAGCAAAACATCGAATTATAGAGTGCATGATACAATGTTCGATATCATTGATAAAAATCAAGAAAAGGATCGGCCCCAAAACCGTACCTTGTGGAACTCCGCTGATTATCAGTGCAAGGATGGACAGATGACCGTCAACAACAACTGCTTGTTTCCGGTCTGAGAGGAAAGATTCTATCCACTTTATGATTTTAGGATGGATTCCATAGAGTTGGAGCTTTCTCAGTAGGAGTTTGTGATCGACTTTATCGAAAGCCTTGGCATAGTCGAGGTATATTGAATCAAAATCTGAATTGTTGCTCAGAGAATCCAAAACGTCATCAAAATGGTGGAGAAGTTGAGTAAGGCAACTCCGGCCAGATCTAAATCCGTGCTGCTTACTACAGATGAGGTTATTGATATCCAAATAGTTTACCAGCTTTTTTCTTATCACCCTCTCGTATACTTTAACCACATGAGAGGTGAGTGATATAGGTCGGTAGTTAGCTGGTTTGGCTCGACGTAAGTTGCAATAATTCGAAATTAGAGTATTTTAGGAATATATCGCCGGATAAACGCGAATCTCTGAATTAAATTTGGGAAATTAACCAATTTTGATGTATTTCAGCAACGTTTTCCCCCTTTTCCAGAATTTCTACGTAAAAATCATTTATTATGCCTTAAGCGGGTGTATTGGGAGACTTTAAAATTTAACCACTTGAAATTTACGAAAATCTGGGTAATTTCGGACACCATTGTAATTTTTAACCATGCAGATCTCAGAATATCCAAATATAAATATCAAATAATACATTAAATTAAATATTTCATGTAATATAACCAGAGAATAAGAAACTGATATAATACTGACCTACGAGAGCAGGAACCACAATTATGGTAGCAATGCTGAGAATGTGGAAGAGCATCGCCACCGAGCATGTCGGTGTCATATACTTCGTTTCTGACGTTTTCTTATACACTGTCGTTAACGTCATGTCGGTTGTTAAGCTGATGCGTTTCTTTAGCGTCTGTTGCTATGGTTATTGGTTACTAAGGTCCTCCAGCAAGTCGTATCTCGAAGCAGCAGCACGTGATATCACCTTGACAAGCTGTATCGGGGAGGCAATGCAAACAACACTCGTTACACTGAAATTGTAACTCGTTACACGGAGAGTTAAACTCGTTACATTTGAATTTTAACTAGTAACCGTAAAATGGCGGAGTAACCACGAACCCACATAACCGATTAACCGAGATTTCTCACTGTACTGCCCCAATCTTGCCACGTACACATATTGCGGTAACTATTAAAACTGCGATTTACTGGAAAGTTAAAGTTGCTTGTTGGTTTCGGTTTTCAACTGATGATTCTGGGAATCTGGGTGGTAGTTTGGTTTTAAACCTCTAATGGTTACAATAATGGTTCTATAACACGTATTCTACTGGGTCGTATCATTACCGTTGGTGGGGGAGGGAGCTAAAATATATAACACTGGAAATGTGTGGCTGATGACGAGTCTTAAGAAACGATACATTTTATGTGCATGTTGTCGTATGTGTGACACGTTAGTAATGACATTGCCAGCACTGTCCACCTAGCTAACTACAACTTACAGCTATCAGGGTTACAGTCCCCAATATATTTTACATTTACGATCAACACACCCTCATTAACCAAAGAACACTCCCGTTTAAATGTTTTACTTTTTAACAGCTTCTCCTACACTGATCCTACTATTGCCCTACATTAATTATAGACTGATCCTACATTATCCTACACTGATTGTAGACTGATCATACTATTATTCTACACTGATTGTAAACTGATCCTACTATTGCCCTACATTAATTATAGACTGATCCTACATTATCCTACACTGATTGTAGACTGATCATACTATTATTCTACACTGATTGTAAACTGATCATACTATTATCCTACACTGATTGTAGACCTACCTGGGCTTGTGTGGGACACAAAGTATCAGCTAGTTGTTGTGAAGTAGGACACCTACAGTCGCAGCTCTCTGCTAAACACACCAAACAGCTATCTAGGGGGTTAACTCCGGCGCAACAAGTCGTCGCACAGCAACCGCCTTCACAGCAATCGTTCTGAGGAAATTATAACATTACTTTAATTTGATCAAACTTTTGGGGTGTAATTTACTTTGACATATTTTTGAAACACAGAGAGAGGTATTTAAATATTTTATGAATTAATTGTGGCATTTATTTAAACACTTTGACAATTTAGATTAGCTGAGGAAGAAAGTTATTTACTTCAGTGATTCAAGCGTTGCTTTGATAGAGTAAGCAAAGTACTTAAGCCTTCAATTTATTCTTTGACTTGTCACTACTTGTGACAAGTTAATGACGGTGTCACTTTAAATCCGTTATCTTGATAATGACAATATGATTAATATAACATTTAATATAACATTTAAAATCGTTATCTTAAATATAATACAATGACAAAATATAACTTTTAATTTACCCTAGTCAGATGTTTGATGAGAAGGATCAGGAAGATGATGAATATATACGCTGATAAGACGATAACAGCAATAGTCGCCGCTCCTAGCCCGTCAGACATTGGCAGCTGACATTGCTGAGGGGAACAACCATCAATCAGGAGGTCATGGTCACGTCACGTGACCGTTTCATGACGTCACGTGACCACTTCGCAAGTGTGTGGGACACGTGATTATTTCTCTACACGTCACGAACCAGCAATTCTCACGAATTCACGTGACAGTGCATTTTAAAAGACGGCACAATTTTAGATTGAGACTCGGCAAAGAGACAGCATTAATCAGTTCTATTATGAATTTAGACGAGAGAAATTAGGACTAGACTGTGGCTCTTCAGGACAGTCCTGATAATTAACATTTGATTGGGAATGAGAGCTGTCAAGCTTTTACTTTTCTCACCACTGCTAAATTGTTTTAATTATGGGCTCATTATTCAGACTACTGCGATATGTATCCGATTGTAAATGGAATTCTGTTGGAGAAAACGTTTGAAAAGACATGATTCAAGAGAGAGGAAAACTCGGTGATTTTTTTTTTCTAAAATTATAATTATGCTTCAATCAATATGAAATATATAATTTAATCATAACAATATGATATTTGTATGCAACAACGGAGCACAGATGTGACTATTTAATTAGTTACACGTGACTGAAACATAATACGGTTACAATAAGATAGGCTGGATTTATCTTCAAGTACCTTATTTACTGTACTTATTAACGGTTATTTATATATCACCTTGTATATATATATTCAAGCTAAGCATTGAATCATTAAACACAACATAATATCATATATGCTACCTTAAGAAGATGACCACAAGTTTCACTATAATTCTCTCACACACAGTAAAAACATAAAATAACATAATTATGTAACTGCTATAACTGCTATAACTAAACTCTTGCTGGTGAGCACAGGTTCTTTAAACATTCTATCACTTAAACTGCAACATTACGTTTTGTAAGTTCTGCTTTTCAGTTTTCAGCGTTTTTAAAACAGGCAAGAAATCTTTAAAAGGTTTTATTTTCATATATAGTACAGTTGGGATATATCATGTGCATCTAAAAGGCTTTGGAATGGAGTTTCAATGTAAATTAGTACTTGGAAGTAGTTAGTAGACACATTTTTTGAGTTATTCATATTATGTGGAAGGTGGTGCTGACAATAAAACTGCTTAAAACAAAATGCCTCCTTTGAATTGCAAATTTTGGGGTGATATTTTTTACAGTTGCAGTTGTGCACATATTGTAAATAGTTGCTAGTTAGAAAATTAAAACACCTCGCCTCATATAAGGCGCAGTTTCTGCAAATACCTACGGCTTATTAGGCAAGCATGCGAAATTTAAGATTTAAAAAAATGTCCAAAGCAAACTTATAAGAGATAGCCTGCACTGATGTTCACATTATAAAGGACAGGGGTACAGGTCTACCAGCTCTATCAAGTTGACATACCTCTCTTGCTATCCTAACCAATACGCCAGATAATTTGCCAGTCTAGACTCAGATTCAGAAGTGTCTACCAGGTTTAGCAAGAACCGTTGTAAGTCTAGTTTGTCAACCCCCTCTCATCCCACCCTCCTAATTCTCATATTCTCCTCCGTCACCCATTACCGGCACTGATATAACATTTTAAATTATAATATATTTATACGGGGTGTTCGACCGATTACATATTCAGAAGATCATTTACATATTCATTACACATTCAGATTTCATTTACCCCCGAAGTTCACACACTGCACAAAATTAACCGTTATATAAAGGAGCTGCCTCATGTGCGTGAGAAAGTGGTATCAAACCGATCAAATGGGTAATTATATCATATAATCTTTCAGCGTCAACAACCGATACGATTTTAATACTTCAACCTCTAGCTCCGAATAGCACTTAAATAAGTTACATTTTAAACAACAACAACAATCTCCCGATACTCTTCATAACAACAAACATTATATCGAGGTATTATTATCGTGTGCCCAATGTTTTGATACATATCTCCAATTTCTCTCTCTCCAGACATTCGATCAGAATATTATACCCAACGAAATTGGATTACAATAATTTTCGTGTAAAAAAGAATCAACGGTTAGAAATATAAAAACTTGATGTGACGGGGTGAGGCTCAACATTGAGCTAATTCTCTCCCTGTGCACTCAGTGCCGCAAGTGCCATGTGCTCTCTCCCGCTAGGAGAGAAGGTTTAAAAGATAAATCATTATTCCGATGGTGGGTACTATGTTTGGTAGGGAGGCATATAGTCTGTACTGCGTAGCTGCAAATTAGTGAACTTAATTCTGTAGTTATTGTTGACGGAAGGGTCTCGGAGTAGCCCAAATGCCTGACTGAATATCCCCACAAAGTGAGAGTGTCGATGGACAGTGCCGCTAGCCGTGACAAGCACCATGCCACTGTGCTGTTCTAACCGGCCCTTGATACCGTTTCTGTCCAGGTTAGGGTTCAGATAGATGCTCTCCCGAACCACCAGACTGTAAAGTCTCCTTGATACGTTCAGGGCCCCGCTGTAGTTTTCCTCGGTTGTCTGATTACGGGCGGTTACCTCGATTTTCAGAACGGCATCCGCCCAGAAATGATGCTCACCCCAGTCGCTCATACCATGAGGTGCGAGAGGGTCGTGGATCATGTTGGTGCCGCACTGCCGTAACAAATCATAAAACCAAGGTGTCCACTGCTCGGCATACTTCTGACCATAATCGTCATTGTCTTTTTTCTCCACATCACCACAGAGCCCAGGACTGGTTTTGGGCGAGTGGCCTGGAGACGTGGTTGATGAGGCGGGTTCCTGAGTTACCCCGTGAGTTTGTGAGGTGCTGGAGACGGAGGGGTCTCCGTAATCACAATCAGCTCCGACCCCTCCGTTCTTCAACTCCTTCTCCTTGATCTCCCACAATTCCATCACCTTTTTTATCAGCTGCTGCTTATCAGCAGTTGATGGGACGAACACCTGATTCTCGGCCAGGTACTGAAATACATGCTCGCGGCGCACTTTTTTCCGGCGCAACAGCACCTTAACGTTCATTGTAAAACTGAGGATAGCCTCGATCGCATCCTTACAAGTTTCGACGGTGACTGCACGGTTGGTGACGGTGTCGGTTAAAGATATGAGGTCTTCCCTTGTGAGTCTATCTAACAGACTCCGGATACCATTCTTTTCTACTTCACTTAGCATTGCACTCCACAGTGACCATCCCTGCCCTACACCTGGAACAGATCATAGGTTAGTTAGGTTCAAGTTAGGTTCAAGTTAGGTTCAAGTTAGGTACTAGGTAGGTTACAATAATGTTAGTTAGGTTAAACATACCTTAGGTGGATAATGGAAAATTAGGTATGGCCATCATGTGGCCTCCAAACAGCCTTCATACGGCCACAATACAGCCTTTATATGGCCTCTACCCGGTCATTATACGGTGACCATACAACCTCCATACAGTGGCCATATAAAGGCCGGTGGCCATACCTAACGGCCCATTATCTCTACCTTCTAATAATACAAGTTAGATTTTAGCTGCACGTATGAGATGGAAGCAATCCTCAGTTTTACAATGAACGTAAGGGTGCTGCCGAACCAGCTACAGGTACTAGCAAGTAGTATCTGTCACATAAGTTTATACAACAATTACAGTTTTAAAAAGTGCTGATAATTATGAATTATCACAGCTGCTGCGAATCTTCAGAACTAACTAATAATTTTAAAAGAGTGCTGAAATAAAATGAAATAACACAAGGATAATGATGTGTTAAAATGATGAAACACAATTCCGGATATCGGGTTGAACAAAATGCGGTTCACCAGATGTCATCGTGCGCAAATAATTTATAATAACCCTTGTAATTGATGTTGAGATACAGTAAAATCTTTTTAAAACAGACAATTTTATCGTGATAATTTTGAAAACGAATGGTATTGTCATTAATTATTGTAGATGAAGAAAACAAGGTTAAAATGATTTGAATCATCACAATGAATAACTTAACAAATAAAATTCCCGGCCGGCAGTTAAATAACTCTGAAAGAATCTTGCGGAATAAAAGTTAATTTTCATGACGAAAATGGCAAGAAAAAAGGCCAAAAGATCCAAATTTCAAAGAATTTTGATAACATAAAAAAGCTACGAATTCACAAAAGAGTAAAAATTAAAAGAGGTTCTGGTCTTAAAAACACGTTGAATAAATTAATCGTTTAAAAAAATTAAACTCCTGATGGTCACGTGTCATGACGTTCCTGTCCGGTATCTCTCAAACGAAGCCTCAGCAGCAGAACTTCCTTCGTACTGCACCTGAAATGATAAGACATTTAGATCATGTTGAAACAATATAAATAGCAAGTCATTGTACTGTAGGGTAGTTACCTGGTTGTATCCGAGAGAAGCTTGGCAAATATAGGAATTAAACCTCTAATCAGTACAACATTTAAAGTTAAACTGGCTCTCAGTTTCAAGTTAGAATGGACACTTTGTTTCCATTTCCTCATTTCATCCCATTTAGAATGTCAAGAATTATATGAACACTACAAATTGCTTGTAATTGAGGTTATGATGAAATGATGTGGAACTACCGCGACCGTTCGCCTTCTGGAGAAAATATGTAATAAATATAGAATTTTCCACAGAATTCCAAGAGTAATTAATTTGGAGTTGTAGGGAGTGTTCAGTGGTGTAAATGAGAGCTATACCACTACAATCTACATGGGTGCTAGCACAACCAGGCTCGAGTTTAATTCATATTGGGAGTGGCATTTCACGAATGTGCTCTACGATCCCTGATCTATTCATTGTTACAAAGAAAAAAGAAATAGCCAGCTGGTACCCAGTACTGCGAGGGGGGGGGGGGGGGGTTGGGGTCGGGGGGGGGGGGGGGCAGGAGGTGAGGGGGCCGCTTGTTACAAAACATGGAACACAGAATAATTCAAAAGTTTCCAAGCAGTTAAAACTACAACTATGATAAAGATCACAATAAGATGAAGTTTAAAAGATTCTGACCTCTTCGTCAGAGCTGTTGTCGTCGCTATCGTTGTAATTAGAGAAAGAGGGGGGTAGGTTCGTAGTCTGAACTGGGTTCATCATGTCCTCTTCCAATTTAATCTCCTCTCCTCGATCCACCTGCAAGTTTAACTAAATTAACTTTACTTAGATCTTTAGATTAAAAACTTTGCCTGTGTAAAGCGTTATAAAATGCGAGGGTTAATTGGAACATAGATTTAGCTTTACTCACCTTAAGTTTCTTCAACTGGGCCTCCATCTCATCTTCTTTCCTCTTCTGGATAATCTTCCTTAATTCTTCAAGATGAGGAACATAGTCTTCATAGTACTCGGTCGCAGCGCTGCTGACTTCTTTGAAAAAGTTAGCACAACCTTGTCCAGTCACTGCTGATATTCCTACTGTTCTCAAATCCTGTGTGTAATTTTACTATTTTTATAACTTGTAAATGGTAGTAATTAAAATATTATTCACAAATTAAGCCATTATTAGCCATTCTAATTGTATTAAGCTGCGTTAAACACTGTTAAGTTGCTGGCTCACGAAGCTTAATAAAACTCACAGAAATCAAAAAATTACAAAATTTAAGACATGATAATAACCCTACCTGGTAAAATTCATCCAGAACTAAGCTCATAGAGCGGGAAAGGTTACTAGAATAACTTGGCTGTGCGTCTAACGCCTCTTGAAAAGTCTCAAAATCGTTCATCCAGTCCACAGCAAACTTGTTATCAACAATATCTGTCTGTGGAATTGTACGTGTTTCTATTTTATAATAAGATAACTCACGATAATCAAATCAGCCTACAGTAACGTGAGATTACCATGACCTCAGTGCAGAAGAAAAACATCATATTAGGACGTTTTATGTTTTCAAGTCGAGAGGAAGATTGCTATATCTAATTAAAAACGGACAAAATATTATTAGAAGAAAAGTTTTACATAAACCTTACCTTGTTCATGACCACAATAAGGGGAAGCCTGGTTTTGTACATTATGCTGCAGGCATACATCATATTTGACATAAACGTGACTGGATTTGTACACCTGAAAATTTGAACTTTGTTTTGAATGTTATATTTCTATTTATTGTAGTGAGCTAAACACTAAAACTGATACTTTTAAGAAGCCAGGATTAAAATGGATATCATTCAAAGTGGATAAGAATGGGTGTAGGAAGATAATGCCAAACCTTACAGTATCCATAATAAAAGCGATTACTGTTGGATAGCTTCTTGCTATAGCATCAGATATAATTGTTCCGCTGGCACTCCAAGTAAAAACTTCTATCTGACCAGGGGTGTCTATCAAAACAAAATCTAAGTCTTTCTTCTTCTCTAAGATATCCAATACCTGAAAAAAGTCCGATTTTAACACATGTAAGGCAAGGACAAAAGAAAATCGCGATTATTTCTTTATTTAGGCTAAAAATTGCGGCGCTGCGACAAGCCAAACTAGGCAAAATCGTGGCGAAAATCTCGAAAATCACAGTGAAATATAATGTATTTGCACGAATAGAATTATGAATCAGGGGTAGACTGGTTTGTAGGGTAATGACTTGCTAGTTGGTCTGTGTGTACGACTTAGAGGTGGATACTTAGAGGTTGCGGCATGTTGCCAGCATGGCATCCTTTGTATAAGTTTTTCACTATCACTATGTTCGTAGAAATATTTCCTTTACCCTCATGAGTTTTTGTCAATATTGTGTTCACAAAGGTATGTTATAAAGTTATAATATAGATTAATTGTCTTAACAATTGATCAATGTTCTCATTGTTCCAAATCTCACTTAACAAATTTGTCGCGGAGAATAGGAAAAATCGCGATTCTGCACGTGCCGCGATTTCCTTTTGACCTTGATGTAAGGATGTGATTGATCCAAATCACAAAAACCACTGAAAATATAATACAAATTGTTGCAGATGTGTCGAAATGTAACTTATCTTCAGCTGTGATTCAACATGCATCTGTTTGACTTTCTCTCAGAAATCAAGCTAAAATGAGAAAGAATACGTGACCACATCACTAATTGACTCACCTGGTCAAATTTTGTGGCAAACAAGTTTAAACATGTGATAATTCCACCATTGGGACCAAGCTGATATTGCTTCATAACTTCTTTGTATTTAACACTGTCTCTTATGTCAATATTAGCCGGATAAGGGAGTTCAAAAACTGCTGGATCTAAATTCATGACATATGGGCACTTGTTTTTAGCATGAAGCCAAGCATTAATACGCTGCATAAAACAAGTTTTCCCAGATCCAGCCATTCCAAGAGTTATTATGACAACAGGTTTTTTGGTGGGATTAGCTTCTTTAGGATTGTCCGTTTCAGTTTGAGGAGTTTGAGGAGATTCCATTTGAGCTTTCTCAGAAGTATCCATTTCAGGGGTTGTTTCTGCTGTTAACATTACCAGTTTCCCTACTTTTTAAAGAGAAAGATCAATTATGGGGGGGGGGGGGGTCAACCTCATTTTACCTCATTTTACCTCATCCCAATTTTGCCTTTTTTGGCTGGCCTCATGAGGTAAAATGAGGTAAATCTCGGCAAAAATTTTAACAGGTAAAATTCTCTAAATCGTCAATTTAGCACGAAGGAGTATGGAAGGAGTTCTAAATGTGTGTTCCTCTAATATAACAGTAAGAAATGGTTAACTTTAGTCGAGGTCTCAGGTCTCTACAATTACTTACTTTGGTTACTTTGGTTGTGTTTATCCTCGTAGCAGGAAGGGTCATCAGATTTCTGACCACCTCGATGGCGAGTAGTCTACCAGGGAATTAGACCAGCTGCAGCTATAACCGGAAGTCGGAGGGTTGTCCGGTATCAAAGCAATAAACTTGGACAAACTAACTTTAAACGACTCAAACGTAGCTTCAGCTTTAATATTATCAGGCACTTTGTTCCACAGTTTTGGTCCTCTTACAGCAAATGAGCTGTCATAGAGTGTCTGGTTGCTCGAGGAACTCAACCTAGACAGGGAAGGGATGATTGCTCGGGTACCATGTCTGGATGTTTTTGTGAACCTTATATTGCTGCAATTGGGGACAACATTGTGAAGGATCTTCCACATCATCAGAATAGTGTACCGTTCCCTTCTGCGCTGCAGTGACATTAGCTTTAGATGTGAAAGCCTCTCCCAGTAGTTCATATTTTCCAGACCGCATATACGATCGGTGAATGTTCGCTGGACCCCCTCCAAAAGCTGGATCTCAGTCACCTTAACAGGGTCCCACAGCGGACAACAGTACTCTAGTAGGCTTCTGACCAAAGACTTATATAGGGTAGTCATTACGGTCCTATCACGAGTTTTGAAGACACTTAACACCCATGACAGTGTGCTTCTAGCTTTCTTGACCATATTACCGATCTGTTTGGACCAGTTCAGATCGCTTGAAACCATAACTCCGAGGTCTCTAACGTTCTCAACGGGATGTAGTATTTCCTCGCTGGAGACCTTGTAAAGTAGAGTTTCCACGTAAAAAGGAAGTTCAGAAAAGGTACTTTTTCTATTGTGGAGATGATTCAGGAGCTCAAACTTCTGTTCGTGGAGCTTCATGTTGTTGCAGCGTGACCAGTCGAGAATACCGTACAGATCAGCCTGAAGCAGCAGACAGTCCTCAAAGCAATCGATACGTTTGGAGACCCTAGTATCGTCAGCAAAGAAGCTTACCTTAGAAGAGGTAACAGCTAGCTCTAGATCGTTAATAAACAAAATGAACAATAGTGGTCCTAACACACTTCCCTGAGGGACACCACTTAGAACCCTGGCACTGTCCGAATGAACACCGTTTAGGACTACAACCTGTTCACGGTCAGAGAGAAATGACTGGATCCAGCTTAGAAGTTTTCCGTGAAATCCGTATCTCTTTAACTTTAACAAGAGAAGGTCCAAGTCAACTTTGTCAAACGCCTTGGCGAAGTCGAGGTATATGGAGTCTGTGTCTTTCCCCTGAGTAAACCCTTCAAAGATGTCATCAAAGTGATCGAGCATTTGGGTCAAGCAGCTTCTGTTCGATCTGAAACCATGTTGTTTGTCAATGCCGGGAAGTTCCTGCAGGAATTTGCGCATTGCGCTTGAAGCGCAAGATTCACAGCGCCAAAAGCGAAGGTTGTAGAGACATGAGACCTTGACTAAAGTTAACCATTTCATACCATTACTATATAAGAGTATGCCACTTTCAGAGTCCTGAACACACTCCCATATCTCTTAATCGTCAATTATATGAATTTTACCTGTTAAAATATATCATCTTTTACTGATATCATTTTAGTTTAACACTGTTAGTTTTAAAAAAGAAAATAATACTTCACACCAAACTAACACACAATATGAGAATATAAAAAGGAAGGTTTTCTTGGAGACCTGGACCGAGCATCAAAATAGTGTACATTGCTACTGTCATTGTCAAGACTCAAGAATAAGAGGGTCTAGTTGTGGGATTATGCTGGATAACAGATATGATAAGTGGTAACATCCTACAAAAGATTGTTAGCTTACTAAGGAATTTTCCTCTTACTGAATCATACAAGAATTTAACTAAGTTCCTCCTAGTCCTAAGTATTATCTTGTTTCAGAGGGAATGAGTGATTTAAAAAGATGAGGCCGAAGAGTTAGTTGTGAAGAAGGCATTTGTACGAGTCTGTAATTTCTAAGCTAATTTTTTTCGATATTTTTAGCTATTTACTGATCTTGTCTTGACGTATCAGCAAGAGATCACTGGACTTCGTTAGTTGTTAGTCATGTTATGCTGATACAGTTAGTGACGAGCTATGAAGTAATCATTCGACCTTATTTAATACTGATCCTATCAATGACGAGCTATGAAGTAATCAGTGGATCTCGTCAATGCTCATCCTGTCCGGACTGTCACTGACGAGTTATAAATGAAGACCTCATTAATTCCCTTGTTCCAAGAAGATATTCCTCTGGTAACAACCCCTTCTGGCCTGCTTCTGAACATAATATGAAGATTCGAAAACCTAGTCTACCTTAATTGGAACTTGCTGACTGCATTGGAAAATGGAGAACAATCGAGAAATGATAATCAGTGCCAGGATATAATCAAAGTTGAATTTGGAATCCAAGGAAAACCTTCCTTTTTTATACTATCATATTGTGCGTTAGTTTGGTGTGAAGTATTATGTTTTTAAAAAAAATTAACAGTGTTAAACTAAATTGATATCAGTTAAAGATGATATATTTTAACAGGTAAAATTCATTGTTCAGGACTCTGAAAGTGGCATACTCTTATAGCAATGGTATGAAATGGTTAACTTAAGTCAAGGTCTCATGTCTCTACGACCTTCGCTTTTGGTGCTGTGAATCTTGCGCTTCAGCGCAATGCGCAAATTCCTGCAGGAACTTCCCGACATTGTAGAGACCTGAAACCTCGACTAAAGTTAACCATTTCCTACTGTTTCTATTAGAGGAGCACACATTTAGAACTCCTTCCATACTCCTTCGTGACTAAATTGACGATTTAGAGAATTTTACCTGTTAAAAATTGGTGAAAAATATGGGCGTGGCCCAAGTCAGTATTATACGAAACCTTAGAGACACAAAAATTTTTTTGGTTGTTCCCGACCCTATAGAGCAACTAATTAGAGGTGATATCTAATTATTTCAACGAAAGGTGGTTTTCTGAACTGCCCTTTATTCTACAGCGAAACATTGAACATGTACATAAGAACTTAGAATTGTATGAAGTATGAGTTTATATGAGTAATTTATTATGAAATGACCTTTCACTATGCAATTTCGACTAAATTCATGTAGATATCCAATCCAGTTCCATGCGCAACTGTTGTTTACATTTGGTCTAGTTAGACACAATTTGTTTCAGAGTGACTCGATAATCGCAATATCAAATTAAGATATTATTTAAATGGTCCATGTCATGCAATGCAGAAATATCCCCATAAATTGGCAACTGCCAAAGTGACACTAAAGTTATTGCTAATTCCTTTACAAAACTTAGCAAGTGCTATTTACAATATCCTAATGGATCATGGAAATTGAAATGTTCAATTTTCTTTTCATAAATAATAATTATAATGCGAAGTTTTATTTACCCCAAGTTTGGAGAGTAAGTAGGTTAAACTGGGAATGCCCCTTCCCAGGGACCACATCACCCCTAATAAACCATTAAATATCATGGGAGACCATGCACAGCCTCGAATTATAGTATAATGACTTCGAATAAACCTTTTTTGTCTCTAAAAAAAGGCTTAGAAAACTAGATTTATTTACCTCATTTTACCTCATTTTACCTCATCCCAATTTTGCCTTTTTTGGCTGGCCTCATGAGGTAAAATGAGGTTGACCCCCCCCCCCCCCCCTAATTATATTACCTAAGAGCAGTAAACGACCGGGATTCCCGGCGCCGTGAAATCCCGGCGCCGGGTGAGCTATTTCTTCCCGGCCCGGCCCCGGCCGATTTTCAATTTTTGCCGGGAATTTGGCCGGGAATTTTTGATCGAAATCGGCCTAAAACTTTCATATAAATCTTAAAATGGATTTTCAATTTTGAAAGGATGATGTCCAGAGTGCCAACTTTTCAGTGAAAAGTTCTAACTTGGCCGTGGATTTATTAAATTCACGGCCCCGGCCCCGGCCAAATTCCAGAACGGCCAATTCCCAGTCCCGGCAAAATTTGGACATTCCCGGCCCCGGCCCCGGCCCCGGCCAAATCCTACCCCCGGTCGTTTACTGCCTAAGAGTAATCCAAGTTTTAAACTTCTGAGTCAAATACTATCAATCTATTCATCAATCTGGGCAAGTCCATTATTTTTAAACTAAAAAATAAAGATTTAGTAAAAATAAGCTGGAGGCTATGCAGATAATAAAATAAAGGAAACCCACATGAGCAATGATCATTGATACCAGGAAAGACAAATGTGTCTAGTAGGTGCTGAATGAAGGATTTCCTAGGGTTTTCGCTTGGATACTACACAGTTGTTCATCTGAACCAGCACTCATGTCATCATTATTATAACAAAATCTAAAATAGCTAATAATTTAACTCATTATCAGCGTTCCCCTTTAAGTGTCATCGACTGAAATTAATAACAGTCCAGACCAAGGCGTAACGTTGCCTGTTGGCACCCCCCTGCCGAAAAAGCGCCCCCCTGTTGGCACCTCCTCCCCTTTTGGTGCCCCTCATTAAAATTGAACAAATTAGGTAATTTTAGAGGATACGCCGGTAAAATCTCTAAAAAAGTGTGTATCTAGAGCAAAATGCACAGTTTTGCTAGTACTTTAGTTAAGTTTTCGAAATTGTCCCACATTCAATGAAACAAGAAATTTTCGATGAAACAAGAAATTTAATTTTAGCACATTTTACAGAATAAAAAAATGTAAAACAATTAATAAAATATAATGCCCATTTGGTGTATGACTTTTTGTCCTTGACTGCTAGTTTGGTTTT